TCACCTGCTGCTCCCCTCAGCAGTGTATTTAAGTCAGTCTGCCTGCTCTGTTCCCCGGTCTGTCTCTGGTGAATCCTCTCCCCCACCTCCACCTCTGGCCTGTACCCCAGTTCTTGTATGCATAAATAAATAAATCTTTAAAAATAAAAAAAATTTTAAAAAGGAAAAAAAAAGATGATGCTGAAAGTAAATAAGAAAGGCCCTTACCCCTACCAAAGCCAAAACCAAAGCAAAAGCAAAAGCTTTGAAGGCCAAGGAAGCAGTGCTGAAAGGTATCCACAACCACAAGAAAAATAGCAGCACGTCACCCACTCTTTGGAGGCCTAAGAAACTTTGCAACACTGAAGGCAACCCAGATATCCTTAGATGAGTGCTCCCAGGAGGAACAAGCTTGACCACTATGCTATCATGAACTTCCCTCAGCCATGAAGAAGATGAACGACAGTGCACTTGTGAATGTCGAAGCCAACAAGTACCAGGCTCTCTGACATTGATATGGTCAAGGTCAACACCCTCATCAGACCTGGTGGAGAGAAGAAGGCATATATACAACTGGCTCCTGACTAAGATACTTTTGATATTGCCAACAAAATTGGTGTTACCTAAACTGAGTCTAAATATATTTTTTTCACCATAAAAATAAAATAGATTAAAGTTCCGGATAGAAGAACCGAAACCACAAAGTACTTGAAAGTACACACTACAGGACATCTACCACAAAGATATATTGGGGACTTAAACCCAACAACAAGGGAAACAAAAGCAAAAATAAGCTACATCAAATTAAAAAGCTTTTGTACCTCAACAGAAACCATCACAAAAACAAAAACAACCTATGGAATGGGAAAAAATTTGCATATCATATCTGAGGAAGGACTAATCCCCGAAATTTACCAAGTTTTTACACAACCTATCAACAAAAAACTCAACCCAGTCAAAAAATGGGCAGAAGACCTAAGTAGACAGATTTCTAAACAAGACATTCACATGATGTACAGGCTTATTAAAAATTGTTCTACATCACTTATTATAGGGGAGATGCAGATCAAAACCACACTGAGATACCACCTCACCTCTGTGAGAATGGCCCATATAAAAAAGAATGGAGCCAGCAAATGTTGGTGGCGTGTGATGAAAAAGAATCTCTCATTCACTGTTGGCGGGAATACAAGTTGTTGTGGCCCCTGTGGAAAACAGTATGCAGATTTCTTAAGAAAATTAAAATGGGAAATCTGTACAACCTGGAAATACCTCTGTTAGATATTTATCAAAATAATATGAAAAATCTGATACAAAAAGATTTCTATACAGCTATGTGTACATAGCACTTTACATTCCAGGGGTGATGGAGGGAGAATGGAATACCACACAGCTGTGAATAGATGAAATAGTGGCATTTGGGAAAAATAGATAGAATGTAAGTTGATTATGTTAAATGAAATAAGCCAAAAACTAAATGATATTGGATGGTTTCACTAATCTGTGGAATATAAATTAAAAGAAAAAAGACAGGCAAAATATGGTCACAGTAAATCTTGAACTAATTGAGAGAATATAATGGTTACCAGAGGGAACAGGAGGGAAGGGAATAGGAAATTAGGGAAGAAGAGATTGTGTATCGGCACTGGTGGTTTGATAGGGGGTGAGTGGAATATGTGTACATATAGAGGAACAAAATATGACCCCAAAATTAAAAAATTAAAAAAACCTCATTCTACTCTCTTCTTGCTTGTTGGGTTACCTCTGAGAAGTCATTGTAAGCCCGATGTGGGTATCTTCATAGGCTGTCTGTTTGTTTTTTCCCTAGCTGCCTTCAGTAGTCTTTCTCAGTCTTGAACTCTTGTAAATTTTGTGACTTTCTTGGTGTAGATCTCATTGCATGTAGATGAACAGGTGTTTTCTTAGTTTCTTGTACTTGTGTATTTAATTCCTTCCCTGGGTTTGGGAAATTTTCCTCTATTCTTTTTTGAATTTGCTCTCTGTATTATTTGTGCATTGCTATCTTCTGAGTCACTGATTCAGTCTTCCATTTTGTCTATTTTATTTCTGTAGCTTTCTCTTGAATTTTGTATCTGCTCTATTGACTTATTTACATTCTGCACCTTGTTATTTTCTTATTCAAAGCTTCAATTTCAATCTTCTGTTTATTAATTTTATTTCTCAGGACATTCATTTTTCTGAGTTCTCTTATATGTCTTCAAGCAGCTTTTTTGTGTTTCTTTTTTTTCATATTGGCAATTTTGTACTCTATACAGGACAAAAAGATCATCCATGTCTTTTTGGTTGGTTTCTGGAGATTTCGTCTCTTTCTGTGGTGATATATTGCCCTGAGTACTCAGTGTACCCTTTGTTGTATTTTTCCATCTCTCCATTGTTGACTTTTTAAGTTATTTTTTGTTCGTGTCTTAAGGATGTAGATCTTCCACTTTTCCAGTAGATGGCACTATATGTTAGGGAGATCTAATCTGCAGCTGTCTCTCCTGGGGGTGGGGAAGGGTCTGAAGGGTTTTGTTGTTAGTGAATGTGGTGGTGGGGGTATATAGTTCATGTCTGTATTACCACTGATAACCCTCCTGTCTGGGTTTCAGACCACCTTCTTTGCAGGCTTCAGACAGGGCTTTCAGTGCAACTTCTCATCTTTTCAAACACTTTGCATCCCAAGGGTGGTGGGGGGAGAGATTTGTGCCTTTTTTTGCTTTGCCTTCTTCATTGGGGGCCCTGTCCACTTGGCTCATCCCAGCACTTTTGCCCATTATCTCCCCTTGGTTAGGTTCTCAACTCTCCCTAGGTCTGCCTATCCCAGGTGTGTGGGTTTGAACTGCCTGTGCTTCTTGACACCCTCTTTTTGATTAGAGTTGAATTTCCTTAGCATCTCTCCTGTTGCATGTGGTCAACACTGGTCTCCCATGTCCTGGAGTGCTGTAGTTTTGCCCCAAGCCATAGGATCCTTTGAGTCCAGTGCCTTTCTAGACTACTTCAGATTATTCTCCCTGGAATGCAGCTGGGAACCTCTGCTGATGTCATGATCCCCACTCTTGGATATCTCGTAAACAATGTTAATCTTGTTAACATTGTCCCCTTTTGTTTTTTTCTTTTCTTTAAATGCCATAGATTTATTGAAGTAACTTTAGTCTTGCAGAGTATTATACATTCTGAATATGATTGCTTTTTGGTGTTTCTAAAGATATGCATTTTAAATTTCTAGAGTTTTAAATTTCAAATGCCATTCACTGTTTTCACACCAGTATCTTTTTTTTTTTTTTTTTTTGTGGGACCCTCGCTGGCTGCCGTGGAACGAACTGGCGCTGCAGAGGCTGCGGGCAGCCTCGCAGCCCAATGCTCATCCACTGCGCCACCAGGGGAGGCCCCACACCAGTATCTTTTAAACTGAGTATCATGATCCATTGGTGGGTAATGCAGTCATTTTGGTGTTTGTTTTTTTTTTAAGATTTATTTATGCATATAAGAGTTGGGGTACAGGCCAGAGGTGCGGGGCGTGAGAGGATCCACCAGAGACAGAGTGGGGAACAGAACAGCAGACCGACCAAAGTACACTGCTGAGGGGAGCAGCGGGTGAGTCAGGAGAGGTCTGCTGCGCCATGTTGGCTGCTCCCTGACTGGCCAGGAATCGAATTCGCGCTGCAGTGGCTGCAGATAGCCTCATAGGTTGCGTCTCAACCCTTGCACCACCAGGGAGGCCCCATTTTGGTGTTTTTTAAAAAACAAAAGATAATTCAAATGTCAGACTATATCACAAGATTTATGGGTAGACATTGTTTTGTTAAACTTTCTGTATATATATATATATTTTATGTAAAATCTATGTTGTAAAATAGTGAATATTACATTCTCTTAAGTTTAAATTTAAGAAGTTTAAAAAACTGTTTCACACCATATTATTATCTACTGTACAACATCATTTCATTAAAGTTCCTATTATTACTTAAGCGAATAACTTACTTCCATAGCATTGAACTTAGTATGAGAGAGATAACTGACAATTTCTTTTTAATGATAGTGAGATAGCTAAAATGAAAATATTTAATAATACTAAGCGTCATCAAAGATGTGACACAACTGGAACATTTAGGCATCACTGGCAGAATTTTAAATTAGTTAAATTAGTACAAGTGTTTTGGAAATCTATTTGGCAGTATCTTCTTAAACTGTACAAATCATGTTCTGTGACCAAGCAATTCCAATCCTAAGTATATATCCAACAGTAATGTGAGCAAGTACACCAGAAGCCATATTCAAGAATAATTGTAGTAGAAGTATTCTGAATAGCCCAAAACTGAACATACCCCAAATATTTATAAACAACAGGAATGATTAATGTATTGTATTCACAAGTAGAATGCTATACATTAAGCTATGAAATTGAACGAACCATTGCTATATACCATACTATGGATGAATCTCACAAATATAATATTTATTAGGTAAAAGAAGTCAGACATTATTTGATTTTATAAGTGCAAAATTAGGCACGGTAAATCTATAGGTTTGAAGTTGAGATAGTACATAGTTTTGATGGTGAGATAGTAGTTACTGGGAGGGGGCACAAGGAGGATTTCTGGGGTGTTGTGTTCTGTTTCTTTATCTGTTTTTGGTATATGTGTATTCCTTTGTGAAAAATTTAATTGTACATTTAAGATTTGCATATTTCTGTGTGGATGTTAAACTTTTTTTATAGATTTGGTCTTATATTTAAATTTGATAGCGAATAAAATGCATTTAGGGGTCATTTTTAAAGTGTTTACAAGGCAAAGAGCTTGCTGATGGGAATATAATGATGAACAAATGAGAATTCTATCTCCTAAGGACTCATGATTCTTTTTGGAAGATACATACACAAGTAACGTGACACTTGGCCAACTGTGATGAGAATGTAGTGTTTGAAATCAGCCTAAAGTTGATATGATACAGTACTTTTGTTTCTGGTTGTTTATTTTTAAGATATCTCAGTTATGTCCTGTTGTACTCTTTTCTTTTTATAGCACCTGACAGATACCTCCCATGGTGTAAGAAATAAGTGCCTGCAATTACTTGGCAATCTTGGTTCTTTGGAAAAAAGTGTTACAAAAGATGCAGAAGCCCTAGCTGTCAGAGATGTCCAGAAAATTATAGGGGATTACTTCAGTGACCAAGACCCACGTGTCAGAACAGCAGCTATAAAAGCCATGGTAAACTAAATGGGGACAGTTTTGTTTGTTTTATTTGATTATTTTAGTTCATGGCTAAAGCTACCTGGGATACACTGAATCCCACAGGATATACCTTTTACAGGATATACTTTCAGGAAGGCATTAATGGCCTCACAGAGCTCAAAGGCACAAATTCTGTGTAACAGTTCTGCTTTTCTTTGGACTTACCTGGTAGTCTTCCTCTGTATTTCTGAAACATGGAAAGTGCCTTCAGATTCCTGGGAGGGATGTGACTTGGTATGATATTGCACCTTTTAAGTTCCAGAAATATATAGGTAAATGTTACCAGTGAAGGGGGGAGTGCTTTTCAGTTAACCATTTCTTTCTCAGCCTCGTTACTATAATTTCATATTTTTCTGATATTCCCTTGGAACATTTCATAGGTTGGATTTATTAAGTGAGTGCTTTGAAAAGTCTTTAATCAAGTTTCTTATTTATATAACATGACTTTGACTAAAGGGAGCCATTTTAATATTAAGCATATTGGGCGAACATATGTGAGGTTGTGGAGACACATTGAAAATAGGATCTTGGACTGTGGTGGAAGTGTCCACACCTGATGGGAGAAATCCTATACTGTTAAAAATATTAACCAGGAAGAAAAACAATGGTACTTCATTCAATAAAAAAAAAAATATTCGTATTTATCCCCAAACACTTAAACTATGTCTTTTTGTCTAGTTGCAGCTCCATGAAAGAGGACTGAAATTACACCAAACAATTTATAATCAGGTACCTTAAATAATTACTCTTTGGAAGTGGGGGAAAAGTATCATGAAACTGGGGGTGGGGGGGTCACACACTAATTAGAATGTGAAAAAGTAGGGCTTCAGCTGGCTAACAATTATCAAATTAATTAGGGTAAATATGAAGATTTATTCAAAACCTACATTCTGAGAAGAGAAATGGGGATATGTAGTTGAAAGTACTAGTGGATGTGAACTTTTAGGAATATTTAGGTTTCTCAATATGAACACCCAAGTCCACAAAGAAAATTGCAATGTTTAGAATAAGGAAAAAATTTCTGGAGCATGACCAAGACCATGGACTCAAAAGAAAAGATACCACATGATTGTTGTAGTGTTAGTAACAAAAAGTCCAATGAAGTTATAGTGTCACTAGAAGTTTCCTAGCCAAAATGTCTTTAAAGGTGGTATTTCTCATATAGAATAATTGAATGGCTCTAAAGATAAGCAATCTAAATCCATGCTAAAGGACCAGATTTTGTTAGCCTCCCAAGAGTGGCTTTATCTTACAGAGGGAAATGATAATTAACTGAATTCAGGTGGCTGATCTATCAACCAGGTTTACAAAACAAAGGAGAATTGGTTCAGAATGATTGTGTTGGTGTGTACAGAAACTCCTCTCCCTGTAGGACAACTGTAGGAAGCCAAATAATTAAAGGAAACTTGGACTCAGAGGACGAAGGTTTAATGATTCAACTGCTTAGTCACATAAGACTGTCGGTTAACTAGGCAAGCAAGGATGAGGGCCTCAAGGGAGTGAGAATGGAGTGGTAATGGAGGACCTTAGATGAAAGGTAGAATTAGGAGCCATAATGAGCTCAATTTGAATTATGTTGAGTTTAAAAGGTTAGTGGGATACCCATGAGGAATATATCAATTAGTTATGAAGATGTGAAGCTCAGGAGAGATCATAACTGGGGGTGGATGTTTGGAGCTAAATCCCCAGCATCTAGGGGTTATGGGGATACCCAGGGAGAGTAAGCAGAATGGAAGAGATATGGAGGTGACCTTGGGTAATGTTCAACACTTAAGAAGTGGACAGAAGAAAGTCCTGCAGTGGAACTGAGGAGCAGCGAGGTGGAGGAGGAGGAAAATACATTTCAGAAAGGCTGAAAGAGTTCTCCTAGTCAACAGTGTCGAATGCTCAAAGGAGACAAAGTGACCATTAGTGAATTTGAAGAGAATAATTTTATTTTTTTTTAAATAATAAATTTTATTTTTATATTCCCCCATACAATTGCAAATGCCCCATTCTGACCCCAATCCCTCCCCTCCCGGCCCCCACCCCCCAAAAAGTGTCTCTGGTTCATAGTTTTTTGTTGATTTTGATTTTCACTTTCTTATAGTTATTCATTTTCCTGGTCCCTTATTTAAGTTTTCTAGATTCCTGCTATGAGTGAGACCATCCGGTATTTTTCTTTTTCTTTTTGGCTTATTTCGCTGAGCATGATCCCTTCCAGCGCCATCCATGTTGCTGCAAATTGCATGTGTTTATCTTTTTTGAATGCTGAGTAATATTCCATGGTATATATGTACCACATCTTCTTGATCCAGTCATCTATTTTTGGGCATTTGGGCTGTTTCCAAAGCTTAGCTATTGTAAATAGTGCTGCTATAAACATAGGGGTGCAGGAGCTCTTTGGAATTGATGTTTCTGTGTCCTTTGGGTAAATACCTAGGAGTGGAATTGCTGGATCATATGGAAGCTCTATGTTTAGTAGGTCCAGAAATCTCCACACAGCTTGAAGAGAATAATTTTAATTGAATAATGGAGGTCGACAGCAGATTAAGATGAGTTGAGGTGAGACAGTTTAGCACTGACTATCCACTATTCTTTAAAGAAACTTGGTTATGACTGGAAAGCAGGATTAAAGGTGAAAGTAGGGAACATAAGATAAAAGGAAGCCTTCTTGTATTTTTTTTTTTCCCAAGATTTTATTTATTTATTTATACAAGCACTGGGTATAGTCAGAAGCGCAGGAGGGTGAGAGAATTCACCAGAGCCAGAGCGGGGAGCAGAGCAGGCAGAAGGACTGAAGTACACTGCTGAGGGGAGCAGCGGGCGGCAGGAGAGGTCTGCGCGCCATGTGGGACCCTCCTCCGGTGGCCGGGGAGCAGCTGGGGATCGAACCGGCGCTGCAGAGGCTGCGGGCAGCTTCGCAACCCAGCGCTCAACCGCTGCGCCGCCGGGGAGGCCCCCTTCTTGTATTTTAAAGGTAGTTGTTAAGTATGTTTATATGTTGAAGGGACAGTGTCAGTATTTTGAGAGAAAATAACTGATGGAAGTGACAAAGGGGGATAAATGATAGAGTAAGTTCCTAAGGCAGAAAATCAGATTCATGAGCTGATTTGCCCAACAGAGATTACCTAACACTGATTGTACAATGCTGAGTGTTAGAATTCATACTCTAACATTCTCTTGAGTAAGGTGGACGATTAACGAGTAAATAAACCAGGTAGTTACAGCATTTGAATAGTGCTGTGAACTAAATAAATGGGGTGCTATCCCAGAGAACCACAAAGAGGACCTATTTTGCGGGAATGTTAAGGGAAGGTCTGTGTTAGGAAGTGATGGGATCTGTAGCAAAAGCAGAAGGAACAAGAACTAGAAAAGACTTACCAAATATTGAGAACAATGTATGGAAGAATACAGGTATACTTATGGACCAGCTGAGAGAGTTTGCGCTGAGAACCTTGATTTTCTCAAGTAAGCAGTCACAGCCAGAAGTCTGGAGCTCGGGGCCACCTGTCCCCACCAAGTGCCAGTAATGTGGAGCTAGGAATTGAATCTTTTATTTTATTTTATTTTTTTTATAAAGAGGCATGTGTTTTTATTTATTTATTCGTTTGTTTTTTTGTTTATACATGCACTGGGTACAGTCAGAAGTGCAGGAGGGTGAGAGAATTCACCAGAGCCAGAGCGGGGAGCAGAACAGGCAGAAGGACCGAAGTACACTGCTTGAGGGGAGCAGCGGGCGGCAGGAGAGGTCTGCGCTCCATGTGGGACCCTCATCCGGTGGCCGGGGAGCATCCGGGGACCGAACCGGCGCTGCAGAGGCTGCGGGCAGCTTCGCAACCCAGCGCTCAACCGCTGCGCCACCGGGGAGGCCCTAGGAATTGAATCTTTTAGATGCACTTAATCAGACAGCTGGTGATCTGGAAGATGGGGCGTTAGCACCCTAAAGAAACTCTCGTAACATTTCATTTCTAGCTGGCTTTTTGTAGTGAGTTCAACAAAGATAGTAGTTCAGCAAAAACAGGCTTTACTGCTGCCAGGAGCCCCTGATGTCCAGCCCCCGGAGTGCCTTATCACTCTCCTGGACACCTGGCCTCAAGGGCATCCCAGTGTGCTGAGTCTGGTCTTCAGATAGCCCTGGCACCCGCACTTCTCCAGATGTGTCCTTGAGCTCGAAAATTCACTCAGAGTAGATAGGCTATAAATTGTGTGTCTGTGTGTGTCTCTGTGTGTGTGTGTGCACGCACAGATTTCTTACTATGTCATGCATAGTGTCCTACCCACCTCTTTCCACCCCCCTTCCTAGCACCTTTAAGTTGGATAGGGATCCTGAGGAGATGGTTAAGAAAAGCTGCTTTGGGGAATGGAAACAGAAGTGATTTCCAAGGCAGCACCAATAAGGTCTGCGATCATGTGCCACCAGTGTCCTAGAGGGTTTGGCCTTTGTCAGTGCTCTGCAGTCCCATTGAGGAGTAGAGAAGCCCTTATGAGCTGTAGCAGAAATCTGGAGCTTTTGTGTATGATGTGCTTTCAGTGCTACCAGGAGTCTAATGTAATGGAAGGGTATGGAGCAAAAAGGTGCTTCATTTAGAGAAAGAGTGGTATTAAAGCAGTTGTTCTTAACCGGGATGATTTGGCAATTATTGGAGATATTTGTGACTTGCAACTGTGGGGAAGAGGAGAGGGTGCAGTGCTACAGCTTTCTGGATAGACTCTAGAGATGCTAATGCACAAATTGGTACAGCTCTTCACAGCAAAGAATTACCCAGTCCAAAATGTCAGTGGTGCCAAGATTGAGAAACCCTGCTTAAATGGATAGGTAGGTTAAGTGGGAATGTGATGAGTGAAGTCATGGAAATGGAAGAGCTGTTGTAGCAACATGTTATGGATAGAACATGGAATGCAGGATTTTACAATTGCAGAAATGGAATAATTCTGGGTGTTATGGAAGTCCAGGGTGTTGCCATGACTGTGGGTGGAGTAGGGATAGTCCGTTTCAGACCAAAATAAAATTCTGGCTTCTTTCTGCAGCTTAGCATTAAAACTGTTCATTTATTTAGAATGGTTGAGTTTTCAAATGGACCGTCAATCAGAAAATTGTGCTTTGATTTTACAGATAGAGAAAAATCCCAGCTTTCGTGTTTGAATCTGTGAGAGCAGCCCTATGGGCTTGCAGACTTTGCTAGGGTTGATGCTATTCTAGATAGCTTTTTGCTGTCTGTCAGTCTGCGGTTCTGCTTTCATACATAGGGTGGGAGTGTGCACAGTCAGAACACAGCCAGCGCAGCTGAGATAGGCCAAAAATTCTTTGTTGGACAAAGGTTCAAAAAGTTAAAACCACCCACAAGTGTTTTGATTGGCATGCTTATCCAACCACCCCATCTTCATTTTGAAAATAGTTTGAGCATCACCTAGGAGGACACAGAACTAACAGACTTTTGGAATCCTTGTTTGCAGGCCTGTAAATTGCTCTCTGATGACTATGAACAAGTGCGCAGTGCTGCAGTCCAGCTCATCTGGGTTGTCAGTCAGCTCTATCCAGAAAGGTCAGTGTGGGTGTCAGCCAGCTTTTGTTCAGAGCTAAGCCATTTCTCTCTCCTCCTCCATGCAAAAAGCCCACCTCCAGAAAGAAATGTTGGTGAGATCTTTGGAAGACAGTGAGGAAGAGAGGAAAATCAAAGACCCTGATAATGAGGATGCCCGATCCTTGCTTTTCAGCTCTTCCGGAAGCTTCCTGTGCACCCTGGCAGAGAGAGTGCATTCACATGTCACATGCATTCACATTCCTGATCCACAAATGGAGAGATTGAACTTTCTCAAGTACTTTCTAGCCCCTCACTCCCTTTTTATTTATTAAAACTGTTTGGGGCTCATTTTAATTCATACAAATGCCAGGTAAGATATCAGGTGAAGGAGTTTGAGATCAATGATCCCTTATGTATTGTTTTTCTGGTTAAAATATTTTCATAGTAATTAAATTCCTTCTATAGGAAAATAGTGTGTTTATTTCCTCTTCATTAAACTGCCTGCTGAAATTGGAAAGCCAGAATAAGTAAATAAACCTATAGGCACCAAAAACAAAAAACTAATCGAGAATGGCTTCTTTTTTTAGAACCTAATGTGCAAGTATGTTTTATATTGATTAATGCTGAGATTTACTATATTGACAGCAATGAGATTATAGAAGAGAATAAACTTAAAGATAGAAAATGCTCTAGCTTGTTTTTGGTATTTTCATAAATCTTTGAGTCTTTGTTGGGTTAAACACTTTTATTCAAGACACTGAAAATTTGCAGTGCAGCTGAAAGCGTTAGTTCAGTACTCTCGGAGTAATTTGTCTACTCTGAAATGTGTTTCATCATTCTAGGGTTTGAATTATTCAAATACCATTTCTGTTTGTGCCCATTTGTCATTCCCAGTTTATTGGACCTTGGCTTTAGCCTCATTTTTTATCATCTGCGGTTCCTTTTCTTTTCATTTAGCATTGTCCCAATCCCTTCTTCTAATGAAGAAATCCGCTTGATTGATGATGCTTTTGGAAAAATTTGTCACATGGTCAGTGATGGCTCCTGGGTGGTTCGAGTTCAAGCTGCAAAGCTTTTGGTAAGTTGAACTTTCTTTAATAAACATGTTGCCTGTTAGATTTGCAAAGATTTTGCAAAACCAAAGGTAGGAAAGTGTAACCTACTTTTATAAGCCCTAGTATTTTTTTTTAAATAAAGAAATGACTTGCTTTCCTATAGATTAGTTTTTTAAAACTCAAAGAATTTTAGTTATAATCCTATTTAACCTTGTTAACATCCAAGATAGCCAAGACCTAGAGCAAAAGAAAAAGAATAATGAAAGTAGTTGCTACTATTTGCAAAGCACCTATAATGGCCTAGATACTTTCCTAGAAGGCCACTTACATAATCTCATTTACTATTCGCGGTAACCCAGCAAGATACATATTATTGTTTTTATTTTCCAGGTGAGAAAACTAAAGCTCTGAGAAGTTAGGTAAATTATCAAATTTGTATAACTAGAAAATTGTAGAACTACCTCACTTTTAGACTGGTATTTTCCCACTGTTTTGCCTTTGGAAACTCAAAAATTTTTAACTTTTCAGAGATAGAACTGTCTTATGGAAGAGGGAGTTTTAGTCTAATACTCAGATTTCTTGGACAGGTTCCTCGAGCCTAATCTCAGTTTCCTCATCTACTAATTGGGTTATAATATCTCTCATATTTACCTCACAGGGTTGTCATGTTCAAATAAGATGCTGTGAAAAAGTTTATAAATTGTGAAGTATCATACTATATGGGGTGGTGAAGGTGGTTTTGTATATAAATATATATGTGAAAATATATATATATATTTGTATAAATGCCACAGCAGCAGAATTCAAAATTGTTTTTGAATACTTTCCTTTTGAGGGCCCCTGACTCTGCCACTGTTGGTGAGATTGTTGGCAAAATACTTCTGATTTGACTACTAACCACAGACCCAGTGATAGCCCTAGTCCTATCACCAATCCCATGGCTGCTGAAACCTTTGTGAGGCATTTTCATGGAATAATGAGGAATTTGAATGATTTCAGTTTTTCCTGTTTATAGATTATATTGCTAGTCTATATTAGATATAGACTTATATAAGCCAGTTGTTTATTGATTTTGTTTTTGAATTCACATTTAAAAGTTTGTGTTGGCTTATGACTATTTAAAAATTCAGAACAACTCAATCATTAGATTGTTTGAATTCCACATTTGCTGAGCAGCTACAGTATGCTGTAATGTATATGTTTGAGGGGAATGTTGTAGAGGAATAATTCAATGATATACCTTCATCTAAGCTAGCTGTTTATTTTTTTTAAAGATTTATTTATTTATGCATACAGAACTGGGGTGTAAGCCAGAGGTTAGGGTTTGTGTGAGAGGACTCACCCGAGAGAGTGGGAGCAGAACAGGAGGATCTACTGAAATACACTGCTGAGGGGAGCAGCGTAGGAGACAGGAGAGGTCTGCTCGCCATGTGGGTTAGTTAGCTCCCTGGCTGGCCTGGGCTGACAATAGCTTGACAGCGTGGTCTTTAACCCCTGCGCCACCAGGGAGGCCTAAGCTGACCATTTAGAAAAGTAATCCTTAAAGCAGTGTTATTCAAAATTTCCAGGACCTGAAATTCATTTATGTAAAGCTATGTGAATAACAAATTGTATGAGTGAGCTGCAAGTTTCTACTTAAATGATTGTAACTTGAGTCAGGTTATAATTCAGTACTCAATAGCTCCAAATTATATAAGTAATTATGTTTGTATTTAGAAAGTAATAATATAATCTTGCTAACAGTAATAATTGTTACTGTTTATAAAGTTCCCAGTCTATAACTTTTAGTCATAAACATAAACCTATACATGCACACACATGCCCACCTCCTTACACACAGGCATATATGCATATGTATGTAAATACATATACTCCTATACATACTCTCATTTTATAATAGTTTTTAGTTCTTTTAAACTCTTTGGGTGGGGGGAGTATTATATTATTCATTTTATACAAAGTAAGGTTTTAAAAAGTGATAAGTCTAAGGCCACAGAGATAGTAAAAGACAGGTCTGGACTTCAGACTTTATTATTTAAAAGTCCATGTAGAATTCTTTTCCAGTGAGGGTAGTGGTTGTACAGCTGAGACTAGTTTACTAGTTCTGCTGTGCAAGTTAAGAGGTAAAGTTCCCTAATTCAACACTTACATAGACAAACTCCTGCTCAGGTTAACAACAGATGGTTTTTAAACCATATATTCATCAATTCAGCAAAGACTGAGCATAGTCTGTGTCTTCAAAAGAGCAGAGAGTCTGGAAGCTTTCCTTCCTCCCTCCCCTCTCCGCCCCCTCCTTCCTTTCCCTTCTTTTTCCCTCCTCTCTCCTTCCCTTCCTTCTTGACAAAGCTTTAGACTTAAGTCCATTTGCACACACACACACACACACACACAATCAATCGTCTCCATTCTCCTTGACTTACATGATAGGATGAAAAGTTTCATATGTGAGCTATATCAGAAAATTCAAAACCATGTACAATCATGGCTTTCGGTTATCTGTAACTGCACCAGAGGGATGAAGGAGCTTGATTTCCAAGTAAGCAGCTCTATGGGGCTGTTCAGAATACAGTCACTACTTTGAAATTAAGCATGGAAGTGGGCATTCTATCTGGAAGATGATCCTTAGTTTCATGAGTTCTTCAAAAACTGTTTAATTTCTCTTAATTAAACCTTACTTACAAGCCTCCAAAAGACTTTGACCTTAAAGTTTATGTAATTTTCAGGCAGATTGTGCTGTTTTGCCTAAGTTTGCCCAGGACTAGTCTTTCCTGGGGCAAATGCAAATATTTTAGTCAGTGGTAGTTTTATGTCTCACATATTAATCCATGTTTTGTTTTAATTTTTTGTCTGTTTCCTTTTTTATCACCTAATTGGATCTTTAATATGGAAATAAAGAGTATACAAACTTTTGTTATTTACTAATTCAGCAGCCTTTGATCTGAAAACAGATTTGACACACTTAAATACGATTGTTTTCTTAGTGTTATAAATATAGGTTGAGCCATGGTAGTAGCACATTTGGTGAAGTTTTACCTGAATATACTAATCTTGATTAAAGCAGACAAGAATGTAGCTGTCTTTCTGATTAGAAAGATGCAGAATTCATTATCTTTTTAATCCACATCTGTTCCTCCTGTGTTGTCATGAATGATGTCATCATCTACCCAACTATGAATCCAGAGCCACTTGGGAATTCTTTCCCTAAATCCATTATCCACTAAGTTATTAATTCTACTTTGTTAACACCCTTTGAATCTGTTCCATTTCTGTTTCCAGTGGATCTTCACTGGTTCAGGTCTCACCATTTTCAAGTGGATTAGTCTGCTCTGGGGTTCTTGATGTTTATGGATTTAATGGAAGGCCTCAGTTATCATTCGATAGCACTGAAAATCTGTTACAAATAAAGATGTTTTTTGAGGCCTGAGTTTGAAGTAACCCCCCTGTGTGCTGTGTTGAACTTGGCTAAAAGGTACCGGGACTATGGATTAATTTACTGTGAAGCCATTAAATTTACATTCTTTGTAGAAAAAAATAAGTTTCCTTTTAAAAGCCAACTGTTAACACTGGTGGTAACACTAAAGTGAAAGGGAAGCAAACTTGAAAATTTATAGTTCTTATTCATGAAGTTGCTGTTTGGGATTTAAAAATGAATGCTAGATTTGGTGTCAGCTGAGATCTGTGTAACAAGATCAACAAGATCAACCAACTGATTGTACCATGTAGAGATAAGAAAAAGTGGTTTGGAAACTAAGCACAGGCAGAGACTTGTTCTCTTTTCCTTCCCAACCCAAAACCTCTCCTACAGGCAAGCTCTACTGGATACTTGGTGAGATCAAGAAACATCCAAACTTACTCCTTCTCTTTGTATTTATTGGAGCTGGAAGTACTGTAGCAGTGCTATGTTTTCAATCCAGATGTCAGTGGGGACAGAAAGAATAACCCAGAACCTTGGAACAAATTGTGTCTCAAAGATCAACACAAGTTCTACCCAGTGAATGTACATTACAACAAACTGAAGAAAGACAACTTTTAAGTGAAGTATTTCACTATAAAACTGCTTAAAATGAAGTCTTCCAATAGCAATCACACAATTTTCCACCTAATGAGGAAATATTTCCCCTCCAAATGCACGAAATCATGGTGGCATGGTGGTGTATTGTTTTGGGATTTACACTGACTTAAAAAAATAAAAACAAAACAAAGCAGTACAACAATTGTTCTCTTAGAGATGTAAGAAAGAAAAAGAAAAATACCGGATGGTCTCACGCATAGCAGGAATTTAGAAAACCTAAATAAGGGACCAGGAAAAAGACTAATTATAATAAAGAAAAAAATCAAAATCAACAAGCAACTATAAACCAGAGATATACTAAGGGGCAGGGGTCGGGAGGAAGAGAGGAGGGATTAGGATCAAAATAAGGGGGCTGGGAATTGTATGGGGAATATAACCAAAGTGAAAATGCATACATTATGCAAAAATGAAAAATGATATAAGAATTATATAAAATAAAATAAATTAAAAAAAGTTTTAACTTGGGCAAAGATAATCCAAAAGAACATGTAACTTTCTATGGAAAATACAGGTTATATTTACTACTTGAGAAATTAGAAAAGATTTCTAATACATTTCTTAAGAATGTCTAGGACTCCTAATAACAGCCTACCTTGTCTATGTTTTCAACTTAATTTCTTCTAGAATGTTAGCCACATTACTGCCCACGTGACGTTTATGAGGTGTAGCTCTTACGTTTTTCCTTTCTTTATTTGGTATGAGCAAGCTAATCTCGGTCTCAATTTCTCATCCAGCAAGTGGGGATAATAGTGTTCTTCATGGGATTATTGAGAGGAATACATTTTAAAATTTTAAATATTTTCTTCATTATTGAACTCATTAAATGTTTAATAAGGATTACCTAGTTATTATTCACAGGGTAAACTCCTTACCATGGCAAATAAGACTGCTCTCATCACTACCTATGGCCCTATCTCATTTCCAGGACTCTCCATCCCATGTTCTATTTGTAGAACCCCTTCTTGTTTCCCACACGGCAGTTCTCTCTTAATGCTTTTATGCTTGTGATTTCCAGTTCCACAAATATACTCTCCCTGCCTCCACCCCATGTTACTTGTTCTCTGAGTTCCCATCCTCCTTTATATGAGTGTATTATGCCATACTGCAATTATCTCATTACTTGTCAGTTTCCTCACCAGTCTGCAAGATGATTGAGTATAGAACTGATGTCTTAAATTTTGTATTCCTGTTCCTGGTAATTATAAGCATATAATTGAATGGTTGCTAAAATTAATTTTTTTTTATTGGATGAATGCATGGATGGATGGATAGATGGATGGACAAAATAAATGGAAGAAATGGAATGACAGGAAAGGAGGAAGGAATGATAAGACTATGATGAGAGTAATGGTTAAGACAACAAAAGATTGTAGATTTATACCCTAGCTCTCTAGTTTTCTCTTTGTGACCTGGAATCAGTTAGTTTTTTTTTGTTTTTTTTTTTTTAATTTTTTAAAAGATTTATTTATTTATTTATTTATACAAGCACTGGGTACAGTCAGAAGCTCAGGAAGGTGAGAGGAATCACCAGAGCCAGAGCGGGGAGCAGAGCAGGCAGAAGCACCAAAGTACACTGCTGAGGGGAGCAGCGGGCGGCAGGACAGGTCTGCGCGCCATGTGGGACCCTCCTCCGGTGGCCGGGGAGCAGCCGGGGATCGAACCGGTGCTGCAGAGGCTGCAGGGAGCCTCGCAACCCAGCGCTCAACAGCTGCGCCACCGGGGAGGCCCTCAGTTAGTTTTTTTGTGATTTTCTTTTCTTGCATATAAAATGGGACTAACACTAGTGTTCTGATGAGGATGAAATAAGTATTTGTATAAAACACTTAGAACAGTGCATGATACACAGTGAGCTCTATTTCTGATTAGTAAGATGCAGAGTGCATTATCTTAAACAGCTGGTTGCTGCTGTTAATGTTTTCATTCTTTTCCTGATCATTTGGAATCAATGGACACCTTTACTATCAAGTATGTTATCTTTATGCATTTAAATTGGCTGCAAACTTTGAATTTTAAGATGTTTAGATGTTAAAGGTGTTTAATTTGCTTTGTCTTCTTTCTTTTTATAGGGCTCTATGGAGCAAGTCAGTTCCCATTTCTTGGAGCAGACACTAGACAAGAAGCTGATGTCAGATCTAAGGGTAACTTGAATTCTTTGTTGTTTATGTTTCTGTAGCCAACATTAATGTATGTCAGGTTGTGTTGATTTAGTTTTGCATGCCATGCATTTGTTAAGTTAATGTACAGTGACTAAATTACATTTTAACTTAAAGTCCTAATAACTTGGACCAAATTATATGATTTCATTAAACTTTATTATAATGAAATTATTTGCTTAGGTGGAGTTTTACAAAGAAGAGGCAAGATTAACTTTCTGTTTATTGGACCTACTACAAAGGTTTGATCTTATTTTGTGAGCTAATAAGAACTATCTTAGAAGAGACTGCTTTTCAATAGCAGATCCCGTGGAAGAGGGAGTAAATTCTTTCTCTGAACTCTAGCAAAATGCCTCATGTGGAATCTCCTTAAGCTTTTTCTGTGATAGTTCTCTAACATAATTGTCAGACTCAACTACAATATAAGTCTGAGAAAATTATGTGTACATTTATTATCAGTATTCTAAATTTTGAAATGTAAAAATGATAATAAAAGAGTTTAGAATCTTGGGCAGCTCTCCTGTCCGCTTTTGACTATGCTGGCGCTTCTTCTCACAAGCCTTTTTCTTTTGCAGAGCAGCAGCGGCAGCTCTTTGCCTGCCAGTGTCTATGCAGGTGTCTCTCTTTTCCTTTCTCCTTTTCCTAATAAACCTGTCCTTTTAAATCTTTTTTTTTTTAAAGATTTATTTATTTATACAAGAACCGGGGTACAGGCCAGATGCGTGGGAGGGTGAGAGGATCCACTAGAGACAGAGCAGGGAACAGAACAGGCAGACTGACAAAATACACTGCTGAGGGGAGCAGCAGGCGAGACAGGAGAGGTCTGCCAAGCCATGTGGGATTCTCGCCGGCCGGCTGGCCGGATCAAACCCACACTGCAGAGGCTGAGGACAGCTTCACAATTTTGGCACTCAACTGCCTGCGCCACCAGGGAGACCCTAAACCTGTCCTTTTAAAATGCAAAAAAAAAGGGCCTCCCTGGTGGCACAAGGGGTTAAGACGCAACCTATGAAGCTGTCCAGAGCCACTGCAGCAGGAGTTCGATCCCTGGCCAGGAGCTACCCACATGGCACCCGCTGATCCCCTCAGCAGTGTATTTCAGTCAGTCTACCTGTTCTGTTCCCCATTCTGTCTCTGGTGAATCCTCTCACCCCCCCATACCTCTGGCCTGTACCCCAGTTCTTATATGCATATATAAATAAATCTTTTAAAAAATAAAAAAAGAAAATGCAAAAAAGAAAAGTTCAGAATCTTGGATAAATAGATAGAAAAGGTAAAGAATTCATCCATCTCTGCATTACTCACATAACAGTCTTTTTCATTTTGGTTTCTTTCTTCCCAGCCCTTCTTATTATGAGTGTTTTAAATGTTGAATCATTGCATATAGATAATTTTATAGTTTGCTTTTTACATTTGCCACTAGCTGTGCTTTTTTTTCTCATATTGCAGCTTCATACTTAGCATTTTTAATGATGGTATACTATTCTACTAAGTAGATATGCCATATTCTTTAGCCTTTTATTATACATTTAGATTCTCACATTTTTTTCACTACGTTAATCTAAAGCATATCATCTTCATGCATATTAGATCTTTTCTTTGGAATTATTCTATAAGATAAATTCTTAGGAATGGTTGAGAAGTTGATATCCTTCTTGAAACATTGCAACATGGTTTTTCTGACAGGCATTGCCATCATTTGAGGTTGATGATTATATATTATATATGAGGTTGGGTGGAAGTATGTATGTTCATGATGAATGATGAGGACTGGGTAATGCAAGTGTTTCTAAGACATACAAGGTACAAACTTTATTACGGGATCTGACTCACATCCTCATAGTCTGAGTTGCTATATTATATTCCATCAGTGTCTTTGAGATGATCAGCCAAGAGGATGTAGTGTCACATCAAAAAAAGATATAAGAGGCTGATGTATAGAGAGCAGAGTGCTGGTTCTTTCATTTTTTGACGAGACCCTAAACTGTCAAGTAGACCCTATATTTACTTTAGCCAACCAGCAATGAACTTAGGTAATCTGTTACTTGGTATGCAAAGTGTTGCCAAATAGAAGGTTCTACTGGGACTGGAAAAAATTCTTTTCTAGAACCAGAAGTATTATCACCCAGGATGGTGCTTGGAGGGGCACTGCCGTTATTTACCCCTTTGGTCTTCTTTTCCTGTGCTACCATGGCAAACAGAACATGTCTGATCCACAGTCCTTTGCTCTCTTCATCCTCTTTAAAAAGGTTACTCTCATAGTCCTATGAGTCTTACTTTAAGTTTAATTTGTATGTCTCTGACCTACTAAGCATTTTTTAAAAAGCTTAACTCTTGGAGAGCAGTCTTAGTTCTTACCTTTACATGTTCTCGGGTGCACCTTCCTGATCCTAATGAACCTCTTGCATGTGGTAATTGTCCTCTACAGAGGAAGCGCACTGCACATGAGCGTGCGAAGGAACTGTACAGCTCAGGGGAGTTTTCCAGCGGGCGGAAATGGGGAGATGATGCTCCCAAGGAGGAAGTAGACACGGGTGCTGTGAACTTGATCGAGTCAGGAGCTTGTGGAGCTTTTGTTCATGGATTAGAAGATGAAATGTACGGTAAGTATGACTGCATGATAGTAGCAGGACCCATTTAATGAATGACTGCTTTGTGGCAGGCATTGCACGATGTGGTATATACTCATTATTTCATTTAGTCCTTACAAACTCTCTGTGACCACCTGCTATTGTTTTAATTGTATGAACAGAAGAGGCTGAGGCTCAACTATTATGAGATATTGATTAAAAGCATGAATTTTGGGTTTAGTCAATACGGGCTCAAATTCTACTATTTTTATAAAGCGAGTGAGGTTAATAGTAAATATTTTTAATTGTGATTATGTACAAAATGAGATTATGTGTAAAAATTATGTATTTTTTACATAATTATGTATAAAATGAGATTATAAAAATTATGTGTATAATACATAATTGAGATTATGTTTAAAATGCTAAATAATCATTGGTACTAAAAGTTTATTTAATTGATAATGGTAATAACTTGTTATTAGTCACCCAATTAGTAAGAGACAGAAGCAAGACTGAAACCTGGGTATATCTGACTTCAAAGCTGTTGTATAACTAGTAAAAACTGTTATTTTCACAAGGAATAGAATTATAGCACAGTGAGGTTATTTTATTCTCTTAAAGATTTTGTTCCACATTTCTCTGGTTTGCATTGTTTCGTTGACAAGTCTTCTGACATTGCTATGTTTTTTTCTTCTGTATATTTGTATCTTTTTTTCCCCTCTAGCTGCTTTTTTCTTTATCAATGATTTTAAGTGATATGATGTGTCTTGGTGTCATTGTCTTCATGTTTCTTAATGATCTTGAAATTATGGATTTATAGTTTTTATCAAATTTGGAAAACCTTTTTCCATTATTTCTTCAAATATTTTTCTGTTCCCATGTTCCTTTGGTTACTGTGGTTACATGTGTAATTAGACTACTAAGGTTGTCCTGCAGTACTGGTGCTCTATTCTTTTTATTCTCTCTAGTGTTTTTTTCTCCTTGTTTCATTTTGGGCAATTCTATTGATTTGTCTTCAAATTCACTAAGCTTTTCCTCTGCTATTTGTAGTAATTATTAATCCCATCCATGTTTTTCATCTCACATATTGTAGTTTTCATTTTCTCTTTATCACAGAGCATGTGTTTATAATATTATCTTAATATCCTTGTCTACTAGATCTTGTATATGTGCAGTTTCTGGGTTGGTTTTGAATGATTGATTTTTATCTTGATTATGGATTATATTTTCTTGCTTCTATGGTAATTTTCTATTGGATGTCAGGCTTTGTAGTTTTTACTTTATCAGTTACTGAGCATTCTTGTATTCCTATAAGTGTCTTGAGCTTTGTTCTAGGAAGCAGTTCAGGTCATATGTTTTAAATTTCTTAGGCAGAACCTGAACAGCATTTAGTCTAGAACTTATTTTTCTTCATTGTTGAAAAAGACTTTTTTGAAAAAAACAAACAAACAAACAAACAAACAATGGTAGAACATGTATGAGCTTTGGATTGTGTTCCCTGTAATCCTGTGAGTGGTTCTTTCCTGGATCTCAAGTAGTTTCCTCACAGATCAGAGCTCAGGTAAAGACTAAAGAACTCTCCTTAGATCTCCCAAGTTCTATCGCTAGACCATCAGCTCTCCCCTTCCTAATGTTTTGCCCTATGACCTCTAGCGACATTGGTCTTTCTAGACTCCCATCTGTATCTTCTAACCTCAGAGACCTGCAACCTGGAAACTGTGAGACAGTAAATTGGTATGATCATGGAACTTGCCTCATTATTTCCTGTCTCTCATGGATCACTACTCTTTACTGTCTGACATCCAGTGTGTTGAATACTGGTGTTTCATACATTTTGAGGCCGTTTGTTAGTTGTTTCAAGTAGGAAGATAAATCTGGTTCATGTTACTTCGTCTTAGCCAGTAATAGATGTCCTGTAAAACTCTTGTGATTTCTATAATGCATAGGTCACAGAATGTCAGTACTTTGAGATGATTGATTCCAATTCAGTGGGGAGATAATGTTGTTTGTCCAAATTCTATAGTAATTTGTGTCCAAATCAGGAATAGAATTCAGGTCTTCAAAATGCTTATAGAAAATTACCTCAGAATAGAAATTCTTAGAAGGACAAGAAAATTTCTTTTGAAAGGTAATTTTCTATTAGTAGATACAAGAATTTGGTTGCTCTATATAATTTGCTCTAAGCTTTTTTGAATGATAGGAATTAGCTAAAGTTACCTCTGCTTTTTTTTTTCTTTGAGCTTGAAATACAAATTTAAGTATAGTGTTAGATAATAAGCAAGTCCAGTTAACAAAACCTGTCTTACCTAAGACAGTGATTAGAACCTATTTTGTTTGCTAATATTTTTGCTTTGTTTTATTTCTATAAATTTCATCACTGTTAATGTTCCTGTGGTGATTTAGTTGTACAGTTTTCAGTTTTTCACTAGGTTTAGTTATAAGATCTTACCTTTGGGAAGTGAGTAGATCATAACTGACACCTGGGAGGGCAACGTTCTGATTTTATCATATTTGTAAAATTCAGGGTAAATGGGGGTTTTAGGAATACATGGCTGGTAATAAACTGGAGCCTTATTCATTGACTGTAGATTCTAGTTCATACATACTTCTAGTCCTCTAGTTGTTCCATGATCTCTATCTCTTCTGGACCTTTGTACATGCTGTTCCTAGTTGGCTCTTGTTTTTTTTTTTTTTTTTTTTTTTAGTTATTTATTTATTTATTTATGCAAGCGCTGGGTACAGTCAGAAGCGTGGGAGGGTGAGAGAATTCACCGAGCCAGAGCGGGGAGCAGAGCAGGCAGAAGGACCGAAGTACACTGCTGAGGGGAGCAGTGGGCGGCAGGAGAGGTCCTTGCGCCACGTGGGACCCTCCTCCGTGGCCGGGGAGCAGCCGGGGATTGAACTGGCGCTGCAGAGGCTGCGAGCAGCTTCGCAACCCAGCGCTCAACCGCTGTGCCACTGGGGAGGCCCTGGCTCTTGTTTTGTCCTAGCAGCTTCTTCAAGTTTGTTCCAGAAAGCTGCCTCTGATCCTGTTTTGTGGGCTGTGTGCCTCTTCTGCCTTTTCTTTTTTTTTAATATAGATTTATTTTATTTAATTATTCATTCAAGAACTGGGGTATAGGCCAGAGGTGCGGGGTGGGAGGGGGGTGAGAGGATTCACCAGAGACAATGGGGAGCAGAACAGGCAGATTGACTGAAATACACTGCTGAGGGGAGCAGCAAATGAGACAGGAGAGGTCTGCTGCGCCATGTGGGTATCTCCCTGGCCGGGAATCAAACTCGTGCTGCAGAGGCTGCAGACAGCTTCATAGTGCTGACACTTCACCCCTTCTACCACCAGGGAGGCTCTTTTCTGCCTTTTCTTAAGCTCCCTGTGCTTTTCCTTTCCCATCGATGCTTTGTGCTCTTAGTACTAAGCACAGTGCTAGTAAATGGCAAAATCAGAATCTAATAACATGTATTAAGATACCAGAGGATAAGTCTTACTTCTTTTATTTCCTAGCATATCCAATTCCCTTTCATTGCTCTGAACCTTTAAGAAGACTAACAAATTTTCAACATTACAAGTCCAGAAGAAATTGTTAATGTACCTGCCTAATGTAGCCAGGCTGTACATTAAAAGCAAATTATCAGGTTTCTTGCTTTTTCTTGGGATTACATTAGCTCAGGTCAGACTGATTATTTCATGCTGACCAGGAGTTTCTCTGTGAGTCCCTTGATAGACTTGTAAGAGTTACACATGAGTCAATGTGGTGTGATGGAGAAAGCTCTAGGAAGAGCCAGTTAGCTAACTTGTTTGGATCTACCTCTAACTTGCTTTGTAATTACAGCAATTTCATACTTAAATTACATTTTGTGAAATAGAGAAAATCCTTTTCCTTCTGATGAAAAGGAGTAATTTATAACTGCCAAGGAAAATCTGAGTCATTTGTCTGAATCTTCCTTTAATGTAGTAGCTCTGCTATTAAATTGTCTATAAAACCTTCCTTTTACAAAAAAACAAATTATATTCTTGAGTTTTAACAAAACTTGAGTGCTTTTTTTTTTTTTTTGAAACTGAACATTTTGTTTCAGACCATGTGGAAATCGCTGGAACAAAATGTGCAGATGTGAAAGTCTTTGAACACTGCCTATAACGTACTCATCTTTCTATTCTAGCACTTAGCACTCAGCCTGGTCCATAGTGTTTTTTCAGGAAACATGAGTGAATGAATGTTAGTGAATGAACAAAGGGAATGAACACTAGTGCATGAACTCCTGGCATCAGTGACCATACTATTCCATTTTCTAAGCATGCAGAGAGATAGAAGGCCCAGCTGTTTTCAAGGTTTTTAAAAGACCCATACCTATGCCATAGCCACTCTTTACTGAGCTTTTAACATATGCCAGACATATGTGCTTTACCCTCATTATTTCATTTCCTCCTTGTAACAGCTCTGTAAGGGAATCAAGATTATCTCCATTTAATAGGTAAGAAAATTGAGGTGTTAGGACGTTAAATCACTTATTCAATATCATCATTCAAGTTAGTAGAGAGATTACTCTCCTCAGTTCACTACAAGATCTCTGTCATTCCAGAGCATGTACCCTGAACCACTACATAATCCTGGTCTAGAATTGGCCAACCTGGATACTTGTCTCTGCTCTCATTCACAATGAGGCAAGTAAATTTACTTTGGTGAATCTTGCCTCTAAATTGAGAATAATTTGATCGAACCTGTTTTAAATTAAAAACAATACTGTTATGTAAAAGTTGCTTAAAAGCTGCATTTATTTTTATTTATTTATTTTTTTTTAAGATTTATTTATTTAGGGCCTCCCCGGTGGTGCAGCGGTTGAACGCTGGGCTGCGAAGCTGCCCGCAGCCTCTGCAGCGCTGGTTTGATCCTCGGCTGGCTAGCAAGGGTCCCACATGGTGTGCAGGCCTCTCCTGCCGCAACCCCTGCTCCCCTCAGCAGTGTGTTTTGTCAGTCTGCCTATTCTGTTCCCCACTCTGGCTCTGGTGAATTCTCTCACACTCCTATGCTTCTGACTTTACCCAGTGCTTGTATAAATAAATAAATTAATTTAAAAAAAAAGATTTATTTATTTATGGGGCCTCCCCGGTGGTGCAGTGGGTTGAGCACAGCACTGTGAAGCTGTCCACAGCCTTTGCAGCTTCAATTCAATTCCCGGCCAGCCAGGGAGAATCCCTCATGGCGCAGCAGACCTCTCCTGTCTCGCCCACTGCTCCCCTCAGCAGTGCTTTCGGTCCGTCTGCCTGTTCTGCTCCCCGCTCTGTCTCTGGTGAATCCTCTCACCCTCCTGCAACTCTGGCCTGTACCCCAGCTCTTGTATAAATAAGTCTTTAAAAAAAGAGAGATTTATTTATGCATACAAGAGCTGGGGTACAGGCCAGAGGTGTAGGGGTGAGAGGATTCACCAGAGACAGAGCAGGAAGCAGAACAAGCAGATTGACTGAAATATATTGCTGAGGGGAGCAGCAGGCGAAACAGGAGAGGTCTGCTGCGCCATGTGGGTAGCTCCCGAGCCGGAGATTGAACCCACACTGCAGTGGCTGCGACCAGGCTCATAGGTCGCGTCTCAACCCCCTGTGCCACCAGGGAGGCCCAAAAAGCTGCATTTATTTATTTATTTATTTATTTATTTTTAAAAAGATTTATTTATTTATTATTTATACAAGCACTGGGTACAGTCAGAAGCGCGGGAGGGTGAGAGAATTCACCAGAGCCAGAGCGGGGAGCAGAGCAGGCAGAAGGACCGAAGTACACTGCTGAGGGGAGCAGTGGGAGGCAGGAGAGGTCTGCGCGCCATGTGGGACCCTCCTCCGGTGGCCGGGGAGCAGCCGGGGACCGAACCAGAGACACAGAGGCTGCGGGCAGCTTCGCAACCCAGCGCTCAACCGCTGTGCCACCGGGGAGGCCCAAAGCTGCATTTATTTAAAAGCTTCCAACTGTGCTTGGAATATTGATATAAGCAAGACAACTTAGTTTTCAAGAAATTCAGTTATTGGACCCAGTTGTGTTGCTTGATTTCATGTGTGTGGCATCAGGACTTAAACCTTACTCCCTGTGATATCCAAGTCCTTGTATTTAGGGCATCATGAGGTAGCAGCTGAATCAGTGGGCATTGAGGTGTCCTAGAGAGAGTGTGTAGAGGGACAGTCGTAGAGAGCAAAAGACAAACCTGAATGAGAAGACGTCCGTCTGGGATTTTCCCCACGGCTCTCAACTTGACGCGCATTTTTATCTCTCCCCTCTCTGTAGAGGTCCGCATTGCTGCTGTGGAGGCTCTGTGTATGCTCGCCCAGTCTTCACCCTCTTTTGCTGAGAAGTGCCTTGATTTTTTGGTAGACATGTTTAATGATGAAATTGAGGAAGTGCGCCTGCAGTCCATACATACCATGAGAAAAATCTCTAACAATATTACCCTTCGAGAGGATCAACTTGACACGGTCCTGGCTGTGTTAGAGGTGAGTGTACAGTTTGTTACACATTTCTCTATTAAATACCTCCTGAGCACCACTAAATAAATGGAAATTTAAAAAAGCCGGGCCTTGTGGTAAGAACTGGAGACACAGTAATATGACTCTGCACTGTTCTGCGTTCTCGCTGCCCAACTCTCCCAGGATGGAAAAGGTTGACAGTTGCATGGGAAATTCAAATAAAACTTGGTATTGCTGTGATCAGGAAAGCACACGGTGCCCTGGGAACACAGAGAGATCTAACCTGAATTATCTGAAGTAAGGTGGGGAGATGGGCAAGAAAGAAGGAATGAGGCGCTAGACACTTGAAGGAGGAACAGGACTTAAAGAGACTTTTTTTTTTTTTTTTTTTTTTTATTTTCTGTTCCATTCATTTTGCTTTTCTCTTTTTTTTGTTTTAGTTTGTATCTTCTCCATCTAAGGCTTTCTTACTGAAAGTGTGTGTGTGCGTGTGTGTGTGTGTGCACGCATACATTGGTTGCTTTTGAGTCACTATTATACATAATGTATCACAATATCTTCATGTGATATTATATTATTACATGTACAACACTAAAATAGCATTCTTTATTTCTGCATTTAAAGAGACTTTTTTTAAAGGAAGGTATTGATATTGATGGTAGAGTGGAAGGGTGCTGAACAGAGGACAATTTCTAAGGAAGCAGAGGTGAGCGCGATTGTGGTATATTCAGGGAATTGTAATATTAGCTTGGAATTGTAGACATAGAGGAAGGGAGAGGAAGTGGCTATACATGAGGCGGGGCTATGTAATGAATTTTTTTCAGCCTTTGATTTGATTTAATTCTTCTAGTAATTCTTAGGGGTCAATTCCCTCAGCTCTGGAGCTTTGCAAGAAAAAAGGTCATACAGCCAATAAGTGGCTGTTCCAGAATAGGAACACAATTTAGGTCCCAAGCTGTACAACTCTGTGTGGTTCTTGAACTAGTTTTCTAAATTGTCTGGATTTTATTTGGGAGTACTGAAGCTTTTCAAAAAATTACTAAGTGAGATTTGGCCTCTGGGGTGCCCCCCATATTGTGAGAGGGATAGTAATTTGTTATCTGGTCATTAACACTTGTTAACAGATTCCTACATCCTATAGAAAACAGATTGGGTGCCTTATTATGAAATTCCCCATTATTCTCTGAGCTGTTTAGCGCTTCTTTTAAGATGCTTTCCCCTGAATTATAAATATTTATAATTGTTCATATATTTTTTACTAAGAAGGTAAGTTTGCATTTTGTATATTATTCCCCATGGATGGCCTCTGTTACTTAGCACTGCCATTCCTTTTTAACTTTCTTTTCCATCATTCCTCACCTTGAACTTTATACTGTAGTTACTCCCCTAATCTTCATGCTTTTCTTAATTTTTGCCTTCAATTGTAATTTCCCTCCATCATCTGGAAAACTGCCACTTTTACCTAGCATGCTTTTACTTATTCCCAGAATCTACACTATACAACATATTTAAGAAACCTTCCCTAACTAGCCCCCCACCAGGTGGGTTAAATAGCACTTTCCTGTATTCCAATAGCACCCTGTGTGTACACTGCTCTAGCATTTGTCAGAGTGAGTTCTCATGATTTATCTCTTTATTCCATATGTCTCTAAGTTTCTCACGGAGACAGGACCATGGCTTTTTTCATTTTTTAATTTCTAGTGCTTTGCAATGTCAGACATTAAAGTACATGCTCAGTAAATGTTTTCTAGGTAGCTGAGCTATGTCCCAAGCTGTGTTTTGATATACAGAATCATTTACAGGGCCACAGGTGTGCATATCTGTAAGTGCTTTTGTAATAAAACTCATGCACACTTTGCTTAGATCTAAAATCCTTGATTTGTAGTTTTGTCCGGGAAGTTTAGATTTCTATAAACTCATTGTCTCTAAACCTAAAACTGTTCATCTATCCTGCTGCTCATTGCTTCTTTTAGTTACCATGTCATTGTACTTCACTGCTTTGAGACTTAGCTAGCTAACCCTTTGTGCATTAATTTGCCTTTGTTGTTGATGTTATGTTGATCTGAATTCAACAAGTTCTATCTATAAATAAATAAGTGATCACAGACAGGTAAACAAAAGAACTGACAAAACTAAACCAAAACAAAGCCTAGAAATATGACTGCATAATTGCGGCTACTAGATGGAGAAGGAAGGGGCAGGAACAAAGGAGGAAGGCCAGTGCTATATGATGGGGCATTTTGGGGACTTTGGTAGTGTGATGTGGTGACCTAAACCCCTGTATCATACACAGTGTTATAATCCAGTGTTACCTTGGTTAAAAAGAAAAAAGAAAGAAAAACAGGTTCCTTGCTCTCGTGGAAACTAGAGTGTAAAGAGAGGGAAACAAAATGATTTCAGATAGTGATAAATCCTATGTAGGAAATGGACAGTGATGGAAGAAATTGGGAGTGTCACTGTCAATTATGTCTTTCTGAATAGACAGTGTTTGAATTGAGTCTTGAATGACAGAAGTCAGCTGAGTGAAGGTTGGGGGAAAGACCTTCTGGTAGAGGCAGCAGCTGTGGAAAGGCCCTAAGGCACAGGTGACCTTTGTTGTGTTTACAGACAGGGAATAAGAAGCGGGTATAGAAGATAGAAGGGAGAAAGGTGGTGTGAGAGGAGGTCAGCAGCTGGGTATCATCACTAGAGTGATTGTAGGCCATTGTTGTTTGGATTTTATTCTGGGTATTTTGGGAAACTAGTAGAAGATTTTATACAGAAGAACAACAATTTACTCCTTTTTGAACAACTTGTCTCATTCATATACCAAATGTATGTATCCCTTACTGTACTCTCACATTTTATTCTTTGTTGCAGCTTAGTGTATTTGTCTTTAGTAACTAATTATTTAATGCAGTAACTTATGCATAGTGACTGCTTAGTAATCATTTCCCAAAATAAACCTGCACAGGTCAGCTGTGTAACTGGGAAGTTCTTAAGAAACACAAATAAAACAATTTATTCATTATTTTGTAAACTTTTTCCAATACATCAATATAATCGCCTCCTACAAGTGGTGGAGTTTGTTCAGATGGGAAGTATTTTTATTTATTTATTTATTTATACAAGCACTGGGTACAGTCAGAAGCGCAGGAGGGTGAGAGAATTCACCAGAGCCACAGCGGAGAGCAGAAAAGGCAGACTGAGGAAGTACGCAGCAGGCGCGGCAAGAGAGGTCTGCTCGCCATGTGGGACCCTCGCCCGAGGCTGTGGGCAGCTGCGCAATCCAGCGCTCAACCACTAGGCCACCAGGGGAGGCCCCAGATGGGAAGTATTTTGTGTATGGTTCAGTTTGCAGCATGTAGAGTCAGACAGATCTGAATCAATCTGTTATCCCTCCATTCCTTTTTCCATTTTTTTAAACTTTAATATTTATTGACTATTATGTGCTAGGCATGGTGCTAAAGGGGCTAACAGTGAGCAAAAAGCATGAACCTTAGCTTAGGTAGATTTCTGGGATACCGGTAAATAGTCTGATGTTCTGCTTTGAATATCAATTATGTAAGTTTGTTCCATTTGTGAAAATTTATCAAGCTAAATAGTCTTTGTACACTTTCTGTATGTGTATGTCAATAAAAAGCCTACTTAAGAAAAACAAAACTAGGGCCTCCCTGGTGGCCTTAGGGTTAAGTCTCAGCACTATCACCAGTTCCGCCTGAGCGCCATCCCTGGCTAGGGAGCTCGCCCACATGGCAGAGCAGACCTCTCCTGTTTTGCCCGCTGCTCCCCATGCAGTGTATTTCAGTAGATCTGTCTCTTCTGCTCCCCACTCTGTCTCTGGTGAATCCTGTCACACACACCCCACCTTTGGTCTACTCCCCAGTTTTTCTATGAAAAAAATAAATGATTTTTTTTTTTTTTTTTTTAAAAGAAGAAAACAGGGCCTCCCTCATGGTGCAGCGGTTGAGCGCTGGGTTGCGAAGCTGCGAGCGGCCTCTGCGGCGCCGGTTCGATCCCCGGCTGCTCCCCGGCCACCGGAGGAGGGTCCCACATGGCGCGCAGACCTCTCCTGCCGCCCGCTGCTCCCCTCAGCAGTGTACTTCGGTCCTTCTGCCTGCTCTGCTCCCCGCTCTGGCTCTGGTGAATTCTCTTGCCCTCCCGCGCTTCTGACTGTACCCAGTGCTTGTATAACTAAATAAATATATCTAAAAAAAAAAAAAGAAAAGAAAAAAGATTTATTAAAAAAAAAAAAAAGAAGAAAACATGGCGCTACTCTCACAGACCTTCAAATTTAAGTATAAGGGAGAGACAAAGCAGATGCGAAGGAAGGTATATAATAGACTGAGGTAAGGAGCTCATGACTGAAAGGAAGCCGTTCCGTTCTGCTGGTAGTTATCATAAGGATACTTGATCTTTAGGGGAAAGAGGATGCAATAATCAAGAAGGGCTCCTGAAGCTGAGCTCTAAATAAGGATTTAGCCACAAACTTGGTAGCAAGAGTTAGGAGTATGAAGTGTAAGAAATTTCCAGGTAAAGGAGCAGCAAATGTAGAAACTCCATTGTAGGGTAAAGAAAATATCAGGCTTTTCTGCCCTTCCGCCATCAGGATAGATGATGGATCCTTGTCCTGAATGCATGCCTGATGGCGGGCACCTGGAATAGGGTGTGGGCATAGGTAGATGGGATTCAGCTGAGCTAAGACTGTGCTTTTTAAGGGCAGCGTCACGGGGACGCCAGGAGCAGCAGTAGAAGCCGAAGCAGAAGCCGAAAGAGAAGCCGAGAAGCAGCAGAACGAACGCTAGAGAGCCCAGATAGAGTGAAGACATGGCAGGCCTCCCAGCCCCTGCCTGCCATATGCCTGGTGAACCCTAATAAAAAACCTGCAGAACTACTGAGGACTCTGACTCCTCCTTTACCCGGTCTGCATGGGATCCTAGAAAACCTGCACTGTGTCCTGTCCTGCCTCTACAATTGGCGTAAGTCGGCAGGATCCATGTAGACGGGTATTGGAGCCCTCCGAAGACTTGGAGGGACTAAGGAGAACAGACTGCCTGTGATGACGCTGGAGGCGCCATGGCAGCACAGAAGGTGGACAACGTCCACGAGCTACAGAATGAGACCTGGCGTGAAGGAGACGCCCGAGAGAAGCAGCCAAGGACACCCGAAAGGACCAGCCAATGACCCCTGAGGCAGCAGAATCATCGGGGAGGAGAGGACCACGATTCAGAGCTCGCCAGTGCTGATGCAGGGAGAGGCCAACGGACTTCGACTGCTGGACTGATGAACTTGGACTGACAATCCCGCCAGAAGGCGGAGGACCTTGGCAGGTTATGGTTTTTTTTTGAGAATCTGGGGGTGGCCAGTGGGCCTTGATGGCCAAAAGCAGCCTGTGCATGCCCAGCAGCCAGGTGGAGGAGAAAACCCAACTAAGAAGACAAAAGCTGGTACTGATGCTAAGTTGAGAAGCCCTAAGCGGCTGTTAAGCAGCCTGGGTATGCTCAAGCCCTGTGAGTCTCGTAAAATCACCTGTGGGTGATGCTCTGCTCATTCTTGAGTGAGGGTGAAGAGCTGAGGAACCTGTCCTTGGGGGACGGGTGGGGAACGTGGCTTGGGGTGGAGCCCAAGCCGAATGCAGAGTTTGGATCCCCGACCCATGTGCTTGTGCAGTGGGTTGGCCTGAGTGCAGGGGTCTGCGAGTCGCATTGGTGGCTATGAAGGCCAAGTGTTGGAGCGACTGCAGACAGAAACCCTGAGGGTTGGCGATTACCCCCAACAGAATAGAATCGCCAATCCCAGAGCTAGTGCATCCTGGGGGTGGATGCTGTGTGTGGCTTGTAGCCGAGACTACAGCCAGAGAAGGCCAGGAAGCCTGACGGCTCCTGGCGTGTTGCAATAGATGTCGTGAGTAGATGTCGTGAGTGATTCCCCTCCCTCGTATGAGCAGTGCCTTCGGCAGCAGACTTGGTGGCTCATCTGCTGGTACCAATAATTGTCTTTTGCTCTAGGTTGGTGCCCTGCTTGGACTTATTTGTGTTCTGTTGTATTTTGTTATATTGTATTTTGTTATATTTGATGTATTTGCTTTTGTGGGCCATGGCTGCATTGTTTGTTTGCTTAGAAAATTGTATATATATGTATAGACTGTATGGCAGAAAACCCTGAGGGGGTGGACTGTAGGGTAAAGAAAATATCAGGCTTTTCTGCCCTTCCGCCATCAGGATAGATGATGGATCCTTGTCCTGAATGCATGCCTGATGGCGGGCACCTGGAATAGGGTGTGGGCATAGGTAGATGGGATTCAGCTGAGCTAAGACTGTGCTTTTAAGGGCGGCGTCACGGGGACGCCAGGAGCAGCAGTAGAAGCCGAAGCAGAAGCCGAAAGAGAAGCCGAGAAGCAGCAGAACGAACACTAGAGATCCCAGATAGAGTGAAGACTTGCCCCCTAGCCAGCACCCCTGCCTGCCATATGCCTGGTGAACCCCAATGAAAAACCTGCAGAACTACTGAGGACTCTGACTCCTCCTTTACCCGGTCTGCATGGGATCCTAGAAAACCTACACTGTTTCCTGTCCTGCCTCTACATCCATGGTGGGGGAAACATTGCACAAAGGTAGCAAAAGCAGGCCCGGCTGTAACAAGAGCTGCTGGTGGTAGGGGATGGTGGGGGTGAGAGGGGGCACAGCTGGGGGAGGAGGGTGTGAGAAGGGGGCGCAGCTCACACAGAGCCCTAAAAGTTTTTAAGGAAGAGCACTGAGGGGGCTTCCCTGGTGGTGCAAGGAGTTAAGTCTCAGCACTATGAAGCTATAGACAGCTACTGCAGCTGGAGCTCAATCCCAGGCCAGGTGGCTAACCCTCTCACCTCCCCTCTGCCCCCCCACCCCTGGTTTACCTCCTAGCTCTTGTATGCATAAATAAATAAATCTTTTAAAAAAAAGAGCACCTGGAAGCTATTAAAGGATTTTTTGCAGGGTGCCTTACCAGCTTTGTGACTTTGAGTACATTATTTAAGATTTTTCTCACTATAGAGAGGGAGAGTTCCATATGTTCATGAGTTTCTTAGGAGAATTAAATGAGAAAATTCATGTAAAGTGCTTAATGTGGTGCTTGGCTAATAAGCATTCGTATAGCAGTGTTTCAGAATATCAAATTATTAAATGGATGAAGTCATTCAAGAAACGTTAATTTTGCTGAGCCAGGTTCTATAGGATTGTCCAAGAGCCTGAGGTTTTGAGGATGTCACAGTGGGAGTTTTTGCCTTTTGAGTTGCTCACAATTGTATAGGGAAGGCAATATAAATTAGAGTAATTGCAGTAATACACGATGGTATCAAAAGTAAAGTAAGGGTTGGCATTAAAGCCAGAGGGATTATATGACCACAGGTAAAGGCCGAAAAGGCTGAAATTGTTATAGGGCAGCCCTTAGCTTTAGGACATCCTTTTCCCCCTAACAAAATGACTGTGGTGCCTAAGCTTTATCCTTGAGGTGGTAGGAAGCCAAACAAGGTTCCTGAACAGGGGAATGGCATGTTAAGTAAGATGTGTTTATTGAGAAGTTGGCACTACTTATTGTAGAGAGTGAATAAATGAGAAAACTGCAGGATGTGGGCCTCCCCTGGTGGTGCAGCGGTTGAGCACTGGGCTGCGAAGCTGCCCGCATCCTCTGCAGCGCCGGTTCGATACCCGGTTGCCGCGAGGGTCCCACATACCACGCAGACCTCTCCTGCCTCCCGCTGCTCCCCTCAGCAGTGTATTTTGTCAGTCTGCCTGTTCGGTTCCCCACTCTGGCTCTGGTGAATTCTCTCACCCTCCCGCGCTTCTGACTGTACCCAGTGCTTGTATAAGTAAATAAATAAATTTTTAAAAAATTAAAAAAAAAGAAAACTGCAGGATGAGAGAGGGTGCCTAGAGGATAAAAAAACAAATCCTCTGATTCTTAGAATTTGCTGTGTGGATATCAGTGTGTCCTATAAAATGTTTAGTTTTTCTGTAAAGTTAAACTTTTAGGACAAGATAGTTGTGACCTTGGATTGGACAAAGGTTGCTTAGATTTGACACCAAAAACTTAATTAAAGAAATAACTAGATAAGTTATAAAGCTCTTCAAAAGGATACTTGTAAGAAATTATAAAGATAGTACAACAGTGCAGTGGGGATATACTTAATGCCATAGAACTGCAGTTAAAAATGCATAATCCCGGGGCCTCCCTGGTGGCAGAAGGGGTTAAGACTGTAACCTATGAGGCTGTCCACAGCCTCTGTAGCATGGAGTGGGGGGGAGGAGTCAGCCCACATGGCACAGCAGACCTCTCCTGTCTCGCCCACTGCTCCCCTCAGCAGTGTATTTCGTTAGTCTGCCTATTCTGTTCCCCACTCTGTCTCTGGTGAATCCTCTCACCCCCTGCATCTCTGGCCTGTACCCCAGCTCTTGTATACATAAATAAATAAATCTTTAAAATAAAATGTGTAATCCCACTGTGAAGTATTTACTAAAGAGAAGTGAAAACTTATGTTTACACAGAAACCTGTATGCAGTGTTTATTGTGACTGTATAATAGCCCCAAACTGGAAACAACAGAAAGTCCTTCATTTGGCAAATGGGTAAATAAACTGGTACATCTATACAATGAAACACAAGTTTATTCGGTAATAAAAAGAATGAACTGAATCTCCTAACAACGTGGATGAATCTCAGATGCATTCTGCTAAGTGAAAATAGTGACTGAAGAAGCAGCATTTTCTGAGTCCATTTATATGACATTTTAGAAAAGAGAAACTATATTGCCAGAGGCTGGGAGTGAGGAGCAGACTATAAAGGGACACTCGGGAAGTGTTTGGGTGATAGAAGTGTTTTATATCTTTTGATTGTGATGGTGGTTACATAACGATATGCATTTGTTAAACTCAAAAGATAATACACTAAAAGGATGAATTTTACAGAATATAAATTATCTGTCAGTAAACCTAACTTAGAAAAATGCTATGGAGATCCGATCTCCTACTAAAGCACTTCCTGCTTCCAAAATGGAGGGACTCTTTACCCTGTATTCCTCTTGGAACTTATCCACTCCCATAATAGCTAATCAGCAGTGACTGCTATTGTCATTACCTTTTTATTTCTTTTTTTTTTTTTAAGGATTCATCCAGAGATATAAGAGAGGCTCTTCACGAACTCTTATGCTGTACTAATGTTTCAACCAAAGAAGGGATTCATCTTGCACTGGTGGAGCTGCTAAAAAATTTAAACAAGTACCCTACTGATAGAGACTCCATATGGAAGTAAGGAATTTTTTGTTCATTTGCTCACTGAGTCCAATAATACGGTAAATGTACAGTGTTGACATTATTTAGTGGATTTATCATAGATTGAAGAAATAGCCCTCAGTTTGTCTTCTATTTAGAAACCTGACTCAACCAAACTCTCAGGAGTCTGATTTTTAAATTGAGTATCACATTTTAGGTTATTCCTTTATTTATTCATACACCTAGCAAATATTATATGCCTATTGTTTACTCACTATGTGCCAAGCCCTGTGTTAAGTGTTAGATACAGAGAAGAGTCCATTTTCTCCTACATAGTGCTACTCACTCCACTGTCTGTTTAGCCTCTTATACTGGATCATAACCATCGCTGTAGAGATTTGAAGTAGGTCTGCCACTTGGTCTCCAGATGGAAATTCACAACCATTTCCCTTCCTCATTTCCTCCTTTAACTTTACTGACTGGGCTAAGACTGTTAACACTGTATTTCATGACTCACCAATTGCATACATTTAAAATGCGCTCCACAGACTTAAATGAGCTTGTGTGATGAGATCACTCCAACATAGTTTATTGATTTTCAGAAAAATTTGTTAGTTACTAAAAATAGAAAAACTGTGGGTTAATTATGTACTAAGGAGATATTTTAAAAACTGAAAGTGGAGTCTGGTCTTCTCCTCTCCCCACCATGCCATGTGCTTGTCTACTGATATCTGTATACTCTGAAAAGGGGAGTCATCTGGCAAAAATGTCAGTTTGCCTGCTGTGTTCAAGGCTCCCATTTGACCCTGTGTTGTCAACCTTGTACGTAGTAACTTGCGCAAAAATAACAGACAGCGCAATCTGTCAGTGAGCTAGAAAGTCATCAAACTAATACTGAGTTAGAATACTGGCAGAGCTGCATCTCGAATTCCCAGAGTGGAACACAGCATTCTGGCCAGGGTACTTTTGGAAATATGTGTATATGTATCGTGGGGATTGCATTCATGTACCAACCAAAACCTGGCACCATTGGTACCACAGAGTGAACACAACACAGAAGTGATATGCCATCTGCTCTGCTCTGGCTGCCTCAGCTTTAATAGTGCTGGCCATGTCTAAAGGTTAAGGAAGTTACTGAACTCCCATTGGTGGTTAAAGATAAAGTTGAAGGTACTGGAAAACAAGGACGCTCTTTTGCTTCTTAGCAAACTTCAGGCATTGGGGCTTCCCTGGTTGCCTAGGGGTTAAGTCTCAGTGCTATCACCACTATAGCTGGAGTTTGATCCCTGGCCAGGGAGCTAATCCACATGGTGCAGCAGACCTGTCTCACCCACAGCTCCCCTGGGAAGTGCATTTCAGTAAATCCCCCTATTTTGCTCCCCACTCTGTCTCTGGTGAATCCTCTCATTCCCTGTACCTCTGGCCTATACCCCTGTGGCTTAGTTCTTGGCTTAGTTCTTCTAAGCCAAAAAAAAAAAGAAAAAAGTGTCCTCAAAAGCTAATATGAAAAAAAAAACACACAACCAAATTAGAGCCCGGAATGATATTCAAAAGGTCTGTGCCTCTCAGTGGATGAGAGCTGGCCAGGGCAAAATGAGAAACTGTCATCATATGCATCTCAGGGGACCTTGTGTCATCTATTATGAAGACAATGGTATCGGGCCTACAACAACATCCCTGGAATTACTTTGCTTAATGTAAGCAAACTGAATATTCTGAAACTTGCTCCCGGTAGCATGTGGGGTGTTTCTGCATTTGGACTGAAAGTGTTTTCTGAAAATTACATGATCTGTATGGCATTTGATGGAAAACTACCTCCTTCAAAATGCTCAGTACAGTTCTTAGCAGAATTTTGAAAAGTCCAGCGATCCAAAGAGCCTTCTGAGCACCACACAAGAAGATTCATTGCAGAGTCCTGAAGAAGCAGCCACTGAAGGACCTGAGAATCTTGTTGACAGTATGTCTATATGCACAGACCATGTGCCAGAATACCATTCTTCATCATGCTTAGAATCACAAACTCCGGGTGAATGATTATAGCAGCAGCACTAGAAGCCAAATCAGATGAGACTGGGGTTCCAGACAAGGAGCCTGTGGTGGGGACAAAAGAAGGAAGGTTATTGGTGTGAGGAAACCACAATAGCCTTTGGTGGGAAAAAACGCTGCAACTACCAGGGAACCAGCAGCTGAAAAGAAGCCCTAAGAAAAGATAAACCACCAAGAAGCAGCTTGCTGCGTAATCTTGAATTTGTTTATTCTATAAAGGGCAGATCATTTTGGATAGCCAATTTGAATAAAGACCTGATGAAAGAGGCAAAAAAAGTAAATAGAAATAAAACCCCAAAATATCAGGGAGTCTCACTGTAAATAACATTTTTGATACCTAGGTTTCTAAAGTTTTGCCGTTTGTCCAGTCAGTTCACCTCAAAATCAGTGTTCATCTGTTGCTTGTCTTCAGGGAGCACCCAGTCATTTGGGGTGTGGGTTGTAGTGAGGATAAACACCTGTCTCAGTAATGGTAGTTCTCTGAGACGTAGAAGAATGATTTGTTCTGCTCCATGAAAGGATTGTTAGGGAGTGTTTTGCAGAAGATTGCTTTAGCCTTAAAATAAGATTTGTGGCTCTTTGGTTCACCCAGCATATTATATAAGACAGTGTTTATTGGGTGGCTGTGGAGTACTTTCAGTGCTCCAAAAGATTTTGAAGTCATCATTCTAATTACCTCATGATTTTTTCCATCCCCCATGAATGGTAGATTTATTTAGAAATATCAAATAGAAAGTGCTAAAAGAATGAAGGAGTCACAGTGGTAACTTTTGAAAGTGTTGCTAAACATAGATGTATAAATGAAAGCTCTGAAGAAGGAGGTAGTTGGTTCTGTTTGTTTAACAGATGCTGATTGAGTACTTGTTACAACCCAGTTACTGTTAGGTGCTTGGAGATTTAAAAATGCATTCATCGGGCCTCCCCGGTGGCGCAGCGGTTGAGCGCTGGGTTGCGAAGCTGCGCGCGGCCTCTGCGGCGCCGGTTCGATCCCCGGCTGCTCCCCGGCCACCGGAGGAGGGTCCCACATGGCGCGCAGACCTCTCCTGCCGCCCGCTGCTCCCCTCAGCAGTGTACTTCGGTCCTTCTGCCTGCTCTGCTCCCCGCTCTGGCTCTGGTGGATTCTCTCACCCTCCCGCGCTTCTGACTGTACCCAGTGCATGTATAAACAAAACAAACAAACCAACCAGCAAACAAATAAAGCATGCCTCTATAAAAAAAAAAAAAAAAAAAAAATGCATTCATCTTAGAGACCTAGACCTCAAATAGTAGGAAGGAAAAAAAGGAGGGTGTTTTCAGCTGTAGAGGTAGCTAAGCTAGTAAATAATATTCCAAGTCAGAGTTGAAGTCTAGCTTTAGGAGGCCCAGAGGGATACAGGACCCAGTTAATAGCATTAGTGTACCCCACCTGAGACCCAAATAGACTGAGAGATAAAGTAACACCTGCAAGCCAAACCTCAGCCTTTACAATGGTCTCTGAGGCACAGTGAGTTCAAGGGCAGAGAGAGGTCAGAAAATGAGTGAATTAAGTTCTCTCCACATGGAAAATAAACAGGACTGGGGAAAACTGTACTTTCCTAATAAGCTCAAGTATATCAGTGTGATCCTTTTTATGTCCCATGTATTTGTGAATTTGTTCATAGCATTTTTTTCCCTCTTTTTTGCCATTCTACGTATTCTCCAGTCCCTGTTGAACTTGCATCTCGTTTGTGAAACTTTCTCTGATCATAGTGCTCACTTCAACAGGTAGAAAGTAGATATCACCCATGATAGTTAATTATCTTCAAATATTAGTCATCTTAACCAACCTGAATTATAAATTCAGTGAGAACAGAAATTAAGGTTTATATTTATTTTTAATTCAGCAAACCTTAACCATAACTTAGCAAATAAAAAATAATAAAAATGCATGATTACCAGCTCTTGTATATTTCTTTATAACCCATAATGGGCCTTGTGTAGTCATAATAATTAACTAATAACAATTAATAATAGTTAACTAAGAAGTAACTGAGTTCTTACTATTTGACAGACACCTCACTAAGTACTTTTCATTCATTATTTCATTTAATCTTTATAGCAACTATATGAGGTAATGGTTTTTTGTTTTTTTTTTTTAAGAACATGTCCACATGCTCTTTAGGACAGGCCTTTTTTTTTGAAAGATTCATTTATTTATTTATAGAAGCACTGGGTACAGTCAGAAGCGCAGGAGGGTGAGAGAATTCACCAGAGCCAGAGCGGGGAGTAGAACAGGCAGACTGACGGAATACACTGCTGAGGGGAGCAGCGGGCTGCAGCAGGAGAGGCCTGCGCCATGTGGGACCCTTGCCGACGGCCAGGGATTGAACTGGCGCTTCAGAGGCTGTGGGCAGCTTCGCAGCCCAGCGCTCAACCGCTGCGCCACCAGGGGAGGCCCATGAGGTAATGGTTTTAAATCCTGTTTTGTAGATGAGAAGCTTATCTGCCCAGTGCCACACAGTTTTCTGTATTCAGAACAGGGGGTCTCAGATTTCAAAACTTCACCCAGGCTATCAGAATGCTTTTGCCTACAAATAACAGAAAATCTGATTAAAAGTGGTTTAAGCAAGGTCCGTGTCGTCGTGTCGTCACACCCCCCCCCCCCCCTCCTTTTTTTTTTTTTTTTTTTTTAATTTTTTTTTTAAGGTTTATATTTATTTATTTATTTATTTATTTATTTATTTATACAAGCACTGATACAGGCAGAAGCGCGGGAGGGTGAGAGAATTCACCAGAGCCAGAGCAGGGAGCAGAGCAGGCAGAAGGACCGAAGTACACTGCTGAGGGGAGCAGCGGGCGGCAGGAGAGGTCTGCGCGCCATGTGGGACCCTCCTCTGGTGGCCGGGGAGCAGCCGGGGATTGAACCGGCACTGCAGAGGCTACAGGCAGCTTCGCAACCCAGCGCTCAACCACTGCGCCACCGGGGAGGCCCCCTTTTTTTTTTTTTGGCCTCACAGGAAATAGAAAGTTGGTTTCAGGTTTGGTCCAACAGTTAAGTTTAATAGGGTGAGGATTCTGGTGAATTTCTCCGCAGTTCTCTTGGTTTTGTCTTCGCACTTGCAGGATGGTTTCCTCCTAAGACAGTATCTTAAGACACAAAGAAAAGGGCATTACCTCTGCTGCATTTATCTTTTTATTTGGTTAAAAAAAAATTCCTACCATGAGATACCATCTTACACCAGTGAGAATGGCACATATTAAAAAAACTAGCAACAACAAATGTTGGCGAGGTTGTGGAGAAAAAGGAACTCTCCTGCCCTGTTGGTGGGAGTGCAAACTGTCCAACCACTATGGAGAGCTGTGTGGAGATTTCTTGACCTACTAAACATAGAGCTTCCATATGATCCAGCAATTCCACTCCTAGATATTTACCCAAAAGACACAGAAACATCAATTCCAAAGAGCACCTGCACCCCTATGTTTATAGCAGCACTATTTACAATAGCTAAGCTTTGGAAACAACCCAAATGCCCAAAAATAGATGACTGGATCAAGAAGATGTGGTACATATACACCATGGAATATTACTCAGCATTCAAAAAAGATAAGCACATGCAATTTGCAGCAACATGGATGGAGCTGGAAGGGATCATGATCAGCGAAATAAGCCAGAAAGAAAAAGAAAAATACCAGATGGTCTCACTCATAGCAGGAATCTAGAAAATTTAAATAAGGGACCAGGAAAACTATAAGAAAGTAAAAATCAAAATCAACAAACAACTATGAACCAGAGACACTCTATGGGGGGTGGGGGTTGGGGAGGGGAGGGATTGGGGTCAAAATAAGGGGGGTCACAATTGTATGGGGAATATAAAAATTAAAAAAAAATTATATAAAAAATATTAATAAAGTTGAAAATTAAAAAAAAAAAAATTTCTGAGAGGCATCTGAGTGGACTTCCTTCATGGACCGGCACAGGGATACTTGCTTACCTGCAAAGCAGTCACTGGAAAAAAGGTTGAGATTGCCGTGATGGCTTTACACCAATTGTGGCTCAGCCCTTTGGATTAGACCTACTTTCTCTGATCACTCTGCTGCTTGCCTGATATCTGAGTAAAACAAGGTTCTCTTGGCAAAGTAAATGGGGAAATGACTCTTGGTTAAATGATCAGTAATGTATGCCACGAGCCAGCTCTTTTATCTTCGTAATAACCAATTTTACATGAATTAGCTGAGTTTCAGGATAATTACATGACTTCTCTGAAGTCATATAATCAGCAAAAGTTTAGAATATCCTATTTTGAATCAGGTTTTTCAATTCCAATTTCCTGTACTTTTAAAATATTTATTAACTTACTGAAGCGAGTTCTCATTTTGTGTGTTTCAGATGTTTGAAGTTTCTGGGAAGTCGGCATCCAACTCTGGTGCTTCCCCTGGTTCCAGAGCTCCTGAGCACTCATCCATTTTTTGACACAGCTGAACCAGACATGGATGATCCAGCCTGTATCTTTTGTGCTTAAGATAGACGCTGTTGACAGAATGGGATTTTGGCATCTCTTCACTGTAGCTTTGTCTGAGAGTTTTGTTTCATTTTTATTTTTTCATTTATTTTAAGTAAGAGTATATCCTAAGGGGGCCTGATGGTTATTACTCTCAGCTTTCATTCTTGTTTTCACAATAATTCAACTTTGCCACTTAATACTGCCAGTTTTTTATTTTTACCATTTACTGAATACCTACTATATTCCCACATACTCTTTAAGAATGCTTTATATATTTTATCACTGTTCTTCCACACAACACTGTAAGGAAGCATTGTTTCTGGTTTACAGATGAGAAGACTGAAGCTCAGAGGTTAAATAACTCCAAGGCAACAACTCCAGAAATCAGAGCCAGACATTTCTGGTTTTAAAGTCTGTGCACATTCACCTATGTCTTACTCTGTGCTTCATTTGATCTGCAGTCTGAAGGATATGGACTGAGTTAGGCCGCATAATTCTGGTTCTGATACGAGTCTGGTGGGTTTGTGTTAGTCATGTTCAGCATACCATGCTGCTGGATTCCTTTTTGGTAATGGGGATTCATTTACAATGGTGCACCCACATTTTCCTACAATTCTTTTTATCTCCATGGCAGATCCTTGGAGATTTCAGGAATCAGCCAAAATAGCTGGCTGTTGTAAAAGAACCATTTTTCAATCTTAATTGTGTTTGTTTACTCTTTTTGGGGGGGGGGGGATTCTTCCCCCTCCCCCACCAGTCCTTCTATCCTCTTGTTTCTTTCTCCCTCCCCTTCATAACCTCAGTGCCCTCATAACATTTATTAATGTCTGCTAGTTTTTATAAGTATTGTACTTTGTCAAATTGTTCCTTATGTGAATGTCCAGTATTTGTTTTTATTTTGACTTGCTTTATTATACAGATTTCCCTCCGATTCTCTCCATTTTGCTGTAAATGGCTGCATTTCATCTTTCTTATGGCTGAATATTCCATATTCCATAGAGTGGATATGCCACATTTTCTTGATCCAGTTGTCAGTTGATGGGCATTCAGACTGCTTCCAAGTCTTAGCTATTGTAAAAAGTGTTACAGTAAACATTGTATGACATGTAGTTTTTCTGTGTTCATAGTTTCACATTCTTTGGATAGATGCCCAAAAGAGGGATTGCTGGATTGTACTGTATATTGATTTTTTTCAGTTTTTTAAGGTGAAGCCAAATTGATAAGACCTGATTCTCCCTACCACTTTGGGCTCCAACTGTTCTATTTTGGGATCTTCAGACACAAACCAGTAATCATCGTTCTGCTCCAATACGCTTACAGTTCTCCAGTAGTGCACCCTCTGTCCTGAATGCCAATTCTGTGCACCCCTTCTCCAATGCAGTACTGGGTCTCCAAAGTCCCCAATGTGGTTTTATGCCCTAGAGTCAACAACTGTAGAGGCACTCTGTGCAGCAGCTGCCTGTCCCTCCTCTATCTCAAGTGTCTACTTCCCTGGTATTGCTGTAAACACAGCTCAGTTAAAGATTTTCCTATCCAGGCCTCCCTGGTGGCACAGGGGTTAAAGTCTCTCGCTATCAAGCTATCACCAGCCACTGCAGCACGAGTTCGATCTCCAGCCAGGGATCTAACAAACATGGCTCAGCAGACCTCTCCTGTCTCACATGCTGCTCCCCTCAGCAGTGTATTTCAGTAGACCCCCCCTGTTCTGCTCCCCACTCTGTCTCTGGTGAATCTTCTCACCCTCCACACCTCTGGTCTGTACCCCAGCTCTTGTATGCATAAACAAATAAATCTTTAAAAAAAAAAAAAAAAAGATTTTCCTATCCCTTTCTGCCAGAGCACTGCTCTTGGTCTGTACTATAGTTCTTTTGTCTTTAAGGAATGGTTGACTTCGTTCTTCTACAGTTTAGTTGTGGATGTATGGAAGAACCTGGCATCTTCACTCTGCCACCTTCTTGCCAGACTGTTTACTTTCTCTGTCAGTGTCAGTGCATTTGGTGAATTTTGTGAAGATCTACTTCATGATGTGCTAACTAATGCCTGAATTTATGTTTACCCTTTAGAAAAGTGTACCCCCGACCTAACATCTATGGCTGTTTGAAATTTAGTTCATCAGAGAGTTTATTACAAATCTCACCTGGCATATTGAAAGGTTCTGAATCTGAAGACCGTTTCATATTAAAAATAAAAACAACCAACACATTAAAACATTTTTGAAGCTATTATGGTAAATACTTTTCTGGGTCATCGGAGGATTGCGTTATTTAGGAATTATGTTTGCCTGTGAGTAACAGAGATTGCCCCCTTTAGCAAATTGTGATGCTGCTCTAGCAGCTGAACATTCTTGGTGATCAGGTTCATTTTGTATTTTTGTTCTCCTATTTCAGTTAAGATTGTTGCTAAAATTCTAATCATTAAGACTAGGTTCTAGGCAGGAAATTAGAGGATCTTTGGTATAAAATAGTAATCATATTAGTAAAGTGAAAGGGAAGAATGGATATTGGGTAAACACTCATAGCAGGCTTTGCCATAGGGACACACACAGAAGGTATCTTTTATTATTATCTTTTATTGTAAATTTCTGACTTCCCCTCTGTTAGAAGATAAATATACATAGAAAGAAAAGCTAAAGAATTGGAAAAAAGAACCTATATTCAAAACCTAAACTCCTACTAGCCAAATTGTTAGTATTTTGGTGTATTTCTGCTCCCTTTTAAGAATTTTTGGTGTTGGGATTTTACTGTAATTTCATTTTTTAATGTAGTTTGTTTCATCAACAAATATTTGATAATAGCTGCTATCATACCCTCTAATATTTTAGAGTCTGCTCTTTTCTGACAAATGCTAATAGAGTACTGTAAGTACAGCTTTTCCAATTGTCTCAGCTCCGTGTGCCTCCTCCACGTCTTCTTGCTCTTCATGCTTCTTCCTTCTCCACGTCCTCCCCAGCTTCATCTCCCTGCTTAGCTCCACCCTTCCTCAGGTGGGTCAAGGAACCTGGAGCCTCCCTTTTCCATGGGGACCGTCCTGTTAGAGTAATTCCTTTTAAATATATTTTCTTATTGAGGTAATGTTACGGAGCAGCCCCGATATAAAAATAGGTTGCCTGGCCATGGGTCCTCACCCGCGCTTAAAAGGGACTTATTTATACTCCACTACGGGCACACACAAAAAGGTTAATAAAAGGTTTATTTACAAGGGAAAGGGAAATGAGGAAATGTACAACTCAGGAGAAGATAGGGAAATAAAGTCTTTAATGCATCCTACCCGATCCGCCGACCTGGAAACCTGGAAATCCGCACTACGAGAGCTGGCCAAGCCCTGCGAGCTGGCGGAGAGCCAAAGAGGGACCAAACCTGGCTGCTTAACCCCACCCTCAGGTTCCAGCAACCTTCCCTTTGGTGGTGATGGGATTTGTCTCTCCCAATGTCTTTTGACTTTGGTCTGGAGTGGGGGTGGAGTCCACAAAGCCTGTATGGAATTAGCTTTAGGACATCCTTTTCCCCCTAACAATTACATTCGTTACTATATGTGGTTCAGAGGCATGGGATCACACCTATACGAAGTACATTGAACACAAATTGTAGAATCATTCTCTGGCTTTAGACTTTAAGTTGCTTCTGATTATTTACTGATATAAATAATTGTAGTGTTCTGGAACCAAACCTACACTCAGAGGTGTGCCTCTGCCTACTTTAGTAGGAAGTAACAAATAGAACAAATTCTCTTTGTTGGTATTCTCAGTTGTACTAGGCATTATCTTTAAAAATCTTTGGCATTTGAAGGGGTAATTTTGGTAATCTGAAATGGGGTAATACAGCTTTTTTTTGAATTTGCATTTCTTTTATTTTTAGAAAATTGTAGTCACTTAATGGAGAACTTGAGAGTGGGAAGTAGGGGCACCAGATTCTGGCCAAAACTCACTTTTAAATCTCCAAGTTCACTTAACTCATTCGTCTATCAGACATTGCAGTTTTGGTTCTTATTTTCAATGCTGCCAAAGCCTGTCCAACCATGCCAGCGTTGTTCTCGGATCATACCTTCAGGCACTACGCTTACCTCCGAGACAGCCTCTCTCATCTTGTTCCTGCCTTGAGGGTATGTTGAAAATATCTTTTGTCTTTGCTTTTGGGTTTTTTAAAAAAAATTTTGGTACTTTGTGGTTGTTAAACTGCAGAAGCACACTTTGTATTCTCTGAAAACATATGCATTCATTCTCTTTCCCTCTTGGGATTTCTCCTATTGTTTTGTAATTTTGCTTCTGTATCCTTTACCTTTTAGGAAGATTCACTAAAAAGAAAAATAAGATTCATTGATTATGTTATGTTGATTCTCAAGTTTATTTTTAATAATAAGCCATTATTTTTAAAAAGTAGTGATATAGAAAGAAAATTATTTAAAAATGAACTATGATGATAATAACATTTATTGAGTGCTAACTATGTGTAAGCACTTTTCTCAGCTCTTAATTTGTATTAACACATTCCTGCATAGTAACTCTAAATTATTTTATTTAGAATGATATATACACACACACAAATTATGGCTAGAAAACTTAACCCATATAGAAGATACAAAATTAAAAGCAAAATCCTCTTTTCTGTCCTCCCCCATTGCTTTCTTAAAATGTAATCACTTTCAACCCAAGAACAAGAATTATAATTATCATCATATAAAATATTTTTAAAGCATGCTATTTAAATTTGTTTGGGAAGAAGTATTCACTCATATGAAGTAAAAAATCAAAGTTTAGGGGCCTCCCTGGTGACACAAGGGGTTAAGTCTCAGCACGATGAAGCTTTTGGCAGCCACTGCAGCATGATGAGTTAAATCCCTGGCCAGGGAGCTACCACATGGTGCAGCAGACCTCTCTTGACTAGCCCACTGCTCCCCTCAGCAGTGTATTTCAGTCAGTCCACCTGTTCTGTTCCCCACTCTGTGGTGAATTCTCTCATCCCCCAACTCCGCACCTCTGGCCTACACCCCAGTTATTGGATGCATAAATAAAATAAATCTTTGGGGGAAAAAAATTGAAGTTTAAAAATGAATGTGAAAACAGTTTATTCTTAGTCTTATTTCTACTATTAGCCCATTTGTTTAATTTACCAATAGAAAATAATATACCATTATCTTTTCTTTTTCTCCTTGCAGCTTGTGGTTGTATTGGGTGTTTATTCTCAATCATATTCCCTTTTTCTCCCCCTTCCCCTCTCAGTGACATTGGGGTAGGAGACAAAGTTTATTTACATCATCACCTGACCTTTTTTCTCTTTTCTTGGTCTGGCTCACATTTTTTTTCTGGTTTTTGGTGTTTCCAAAACTCGGGTCACAAAATTTGATGGCAACGCCATCCGCTGTGTTTGCTCAGTTACCAGGTAGAAAGCTAGCGTCATCAGCCGTTGCCCCCAACATCGCCCCTCAAGAGGATCCTTCCCATCAGTTCCTGCAGCAGAGCCTTGAAAGGGTGTACAGTCTTCAGCATCTGGACCCTCAGGGGACTCAGGAACTGCTGGAATTCACCATTAGGTGAGGTGATGATCTCTTTCCTTCGAAGTTAACATTGTTGCTGTACTCTGCTTGCTCTGTGGATTTCCGGTGTTGGTCGACTAGTTTTTGGGACACCTGGTTTTATGATCAAAATTTTAATATTTGTCTTAGGTTATGGTTTCAGCTTATTACAAAGAAAAGCTCTTTGTGTTCATTGCCAGATTAATGATTAGTACAAAACTAGAAAGTTACAAAAAGCTGTTTTTATTTTTCTTTCCTTGTATTTTAGTTAGAATAAGTCACGGAAAATGCAGAGTAACCATGGCTTAAACAGAAGGAAAGATTAATTCTCTCTTGCGGGCAGGACAGAACCAAGAAGATTATCAGGGGCTTAGGCTCATTCTTTCTTATTTCTCTATCTTCTGCATCAAGAGGCCTCTGCCTAAAGATGGAAACTCTTTAACTATCTCTGCTGTATTCTAGCCTGTAGGAGAAAGGAAACAGCAGGAGATCATTTCTACACCCTTGTAAAGATACTTACCAAAAGTTATGTATTTTAATTTAATTTATATCCCATTGACTAGAACTCATATCACATGGCTCTATCCAGCTGCAGGGAACTAGGAGATGTAGGTAATCTTTATTCTGGGTGCTCAGTGCTTAGCTAACATTTGATAACTCTACTACTCTGGAAGAAAGAGAGAATGTTAACTAGCAAACCACCCTGTCAGGTTTTATTGAGATGACCTGCATGATAGTAAAAGAATTGAAGTCTGTTTGTCTTTAGCAAAAGCATTATCTTTTGTAAAAAAGCATTATCTTGGGCCTCCCGGTGGCGCAGCGGTTGAGCGCTGGATTGCGAAGCTGCCCGCGGCCTCTGCAGCGCCGGTTCGATCCCCGGCTGCTCCCCGGCCACCAGAGGAGGGTCCCACATGGCGCGCAGACCTCTCCTGCCGCCCGCTGCTCCCCTCAGCAGTGTACTTCGGTCCTTCTGCCTGCTCTGCTCCCCGCTCTGGCTCTGGTGAATTCTCTCACCCTCCCGCGCTTCTGACTGTACCCAGTGCTTGTATAAATAAATAAAAATAAATCTTAAAAAAAAAAAAAAAAAAAAAAAAGCATTATCTTATTTCATAAATAAGGTTTAACTGAAACAGCTTCATTCACTCATTTAACTTTTATCTATGATTGTTTTAGTGACTCAGTGAGACAGTGGAATAGGTGCCACTGAGATCCTTTGTGCTGCAAAGCTTAAAATATTTGCTAACTTGACCCTTTAGCAGAAATAATTTGCTGACCCTGAAGTGATGCCTCAAGTACATTTTCTTTTCTGCTCCCTTCCCAAAGTGTTTTGTTTTGGAGGCCAGTATCTGAAATTGTTGGCACTTTGCCAGGAAAATAAGACACTTCCTGACTTGGCTGTCCTTAAATAAACATCTAGGTTTTGTCCTTGACAGTTTGATCTTGTTGACACTAAAACAAGTAGAAAATGCACAAAAGCAAACCAATTGGTCACCAGTGACAATGCTGGCTACTAGTAGGTGCTCAGTAACACTGTTGGTTTGAGTCGCCTTCATGATCTTTGTTTTATAAGGTGACAGTCCTCTGGGCTTTGGTGGATCAACCACTGTGGTCAGTCCTGGGCATCATGATTCTAACTTAAGTGACTTCTGAGGAGTGTGGCCAGGATGGTGAAAGATCTGGAAAGGAAAACAGATGGCGCATAGTTATTGATGGCTACTATGTTTTACAAACATTACTGTAGTTAGAGGCTGTTAACCTGTTACAGGTGGAAATTTGGGGCAGTAAAAACTTGCTAGGAGGTAGCACAATTGGAATCATAATCTAGCTTTGTCTGACTCTAAGACTGATGCTGTGTTATATGTAGCAGTGAAGGGGTTCTTGAGTCCAAGTGGGCATTAGATCGTATGACCCCTAAGGTTTTCAGAACTTATGTTTTCCATAGTTGTTGAAAGTGAAATGTTAGTGTTTCATACAGAAGATATTCTGATTAGGGCTGGGACCATTTACCTGTTTTTACTAGTATAAAACAAACTTCTTCGTCATACGCATTACCTTTAGTTGAGTCTGTGCAACCATTTAACCAAATTCTTGCCTGTACAAAGTTTGCTGTGGTTCAGTGAGGGTTCTAGGACATGATTTTTTGTTTCTGGAACTTGATATAACTACTTTGTCTTTGCCACTGTACCATGAGTGGAGCTCAGTAAATATTTGTGTAACACGCTAGTTATGATGGCTCCTGGACACATTTAAGATTTTTATAGATGGCATTTTCTTCTGGTCATACCTCACTTCCAGGCATAGCAATCTAATTTTTTTTTTTTTTTTTTTTTTGGTAAGACTCTTATCCTTGATCATAGCAAGTGCTTCTGTCTATCAGGTGCCTGTTATACACTACATACTCAGTCTTCTTAGTGTATGTTCTCTCACGGAATTTGAAAACCTATGGAAATCACTCCATAATTACCATGAGTGAGATAACAAACCTGGAGAGGAATCTGGGTTTGACTCATTTGTTACATGTTTTTTGAGTATCCATCAGATGCCCAGCATTGTGCTTGACAATAGCACATAAGATAATCTGCTGTGAGGGATCTTACAGCCTAGTTTGGAAGTACTTAGGTAAACAAGAAATGCAAGGATATGCTTTCCACACTCCAGTGTAGTAAGTACTGGGTTTTCTAGGAGAGTAGAAGGAAGCATCTAACCTTTCCTGGATTGGCCTATGCATTGACCTCAGGTGGTAAAGGAAGAGGAAAATCAAGGACTATGAACAGCAAAGTCCTAGACTAGAACATTAGCTTTCCTAGTCTTCCCATTTGGTCCCTTGCTTTTTCTGCTTAACAGTTTCTATGATGTAAAATATGTAATATAAATAACATTTTGAAACCAAAGGACTTGATTCAGGTTTTAGTTTTATCGCTTCCTAAGTCCATAATCTTGGACCTCAACTTCCTCATCTGTAAATTGAGGATATTGTGTAATGCAGAGGACTGCTTAAAGATTATTAAAATATGTGGAGAGCATTTTGAGAATACTTATTTATATAAAATTATTGGGCATTTATTTTTTTAAGATATAAATCCATTTGTTACTTATTTGATACAATGGATATGCTGCTGAATTTAAGTAAATTCAACCCAAACTTTAGAAATATAATTATGTTAGGGCCTCCCCGGTGGCGCAGCGGTTGAGCGCTGGGTTGTGAAGCTGCCCGCGGCCTCTGCGGCGCCGGTTCGATCCCCGGCTGCTTCCAGGCCACCGGAGGAGGGTCCCACATGGAGCGCAGACCTCTCCTGCCGCCCGCTGCTCCCCTCAGCAGTGTACTTCGGTCCTTCTGCCTGCTCTGCTCCCCGCTCTGGCTCTGGTGAATTCTCTCATCCTCCTGCGCTTCTGACTGTACCCAGTGCTTGTATAAGCAAAATAAACAAACAAACAAACAAATAAATAAAACATGCCTCTATAATAAATAAATAAATAAAAGTGAACGAAGGATGCATTTCTGCTATCCTTCGTTCACTTTAAAAAAAAAAAAAAAAAAAAAAGAGGCGCGCGGACCTCTCCTGCCGCCCGCTGCTCCCCTCAGCAGTGTACTTCGGTCCTTCTGCCTGCTCTGCTCCCCGCTCTGGCTCTGGTGAATTCTCTCACCCTCCCGCGCTTCTGACTGTATCCCTTGCTTGTATAAAGAAACAAACAAACAAATAAATAAATAAATCTTAAAAAAAATATTAAAAAAAAATTATAAAAAAAAAAAGAAATATAATTATGTTAATTCATTGGTGGTAAGAGGATATCATCTTTTAAGGAACACTGTAGCCAGTTGTGTACCCTTTTGAATAATAAACTAATTTCATAGTTAGTATTTTCTATGTTGATATGTTAAAGTGCTGTTACTGGGAATATACATTATCGTTACAAAAAAACACATCACATTAAAGTGTTCCATAATAGAGAGCTGTTCTTTCCAAGTTAAACAGCTCATTTGAATTTATAATGGGGCTTCATTTATTTGGAATTGATAAAATTTTTTTTTCCTTATGGGAATGTTTTTGCACACCAATTTTAAAGAACATGGAACTTTCTCATTAAATTATTCAAATCTTCCATTTACTGTGCAACTTTTACTGTATCTAAGGAATCATATTTGTTTTGTAGTCTGTAGTCCAGTAACTTCAGAGGTGGAAATAAAATGTAATTTTTAATCATCTGAGTGCAAGGTTGATGATAGTTTTTGAAAAGCAGTCAGGACTTTGTACTCATCTAGCATTCTTTAGTCATTCTACCAAACCACTAAGCGATATTAAATATATATTCGATGTTTAGAGATTGTAAAAGGTTGAAATTGTTTAGTCATAAGCAATGTTTAATTTATGTACATGAGTCTTTTTGACTGCCTTTCAATGAGTTTTAAAATTACCTAATTCAGCCTGTTGTGTAAACTTAAAAAATGGTCACAATATATACAAACTTGTTTTCTTAGGCTATTTTTAAAATGTTACTTCATGTGCACTAAGGAATGCCAAAATGTATATTCCTGCCAAGGGTTTCTGCCAGAGGACATATGTAGAAATGTGATTAATTGTATCTGGTTTTGAATCAGCATTGGTCTCATCTGTATTTGATGTAGTTCGTAAACATATGAAAGGAGTTTAATAGCAATAAATTAATTAAATGCAATAAAAAAATTTAAAAAATTCTTGAGAGTAAGACAGACCTGAGTTCAAGGCCCATTTTTGCCAATGGGACCATGGGCAGACTACTTCAACTCTGATCTTAGTTTCATTCTCAGTGAAACAGTATTAATTGCAATTCACATTGTACAGACTGAATGATTAAACTCAAGTGAGGAAACACGTAGCACAGTACAGTGTACATAGAAGTGCATTTGGTACCTTTCTTATCTCATTGAAGAGTCCATGGCCTTTCGGATGCCTAAGAGGAGGCTTCCTAGTGATTGTGAACATAAAGAGATACAGAGAGGAAACCCTGGAACATTGAGCATTTTGCCCAGGACTAGCAGTTTCCATCTTTTTTTTTTTTTATCCAAAACTTGTTTATTAGGATGGTTTTTCATTCATCTTGATTCAGGGTGCTTTTAGTGCTGCTTCCATCTGAAGGAGCATCCTTCTGTAAGCCTTGCTTTTCCTCCTGTAGGCTGGCAGAGGACAGTGGAGCAGCCAACACACAATACTACCGTTTGTGCATGGCTAAAGACGGTGGTGATTTTATAGCATCCTGGGCATTTCACATCCATGAAATAGGAATTGGGGCTCTGCACCAGGCGCTTCTTCTTGTGTTTCCTCTTCTCCTCTTCTGGAGAGGGATGAAGGAGATCCTTTGCAAGAGGCATGTTCTCGTGGGGAGGTCGTCACTGCCGGAAAAGGCCAGTTTCCATCTTTATTTGTGTAGTAGTTTGGATTTCCCATGGCTAATTGGCTGTCATCTTGTTCTATGCAATTCAAAACATTGAGTAACTTAATACCTGGAGACAGTCTGCTAATGTATAGTCAGTCAGCTGGTCAGTGCTCTCTATAATTATAACAGAAGGCAGGATCTTGGAGAGGAAATACTTCAGCAATAAAATTAGTCAGGGCTGTTCTTTACAAGACAGACATCAGAGATAGGAAAGGGAGACCAGCTGGCCCCCATAATAGCACTTCACAGGTGTGTTTAAACAGTACAGGGGTTTATCTTTAATTGTGCAGGATTCCCACATACAAGCAGATTCTCCAGGACTAGCTCAAACCATTAAATCTCACAAGAAATGATGCAAAAGTCATAGACCCCAAAGTCTTCAATCACTTTGGTAAAAATTCACTCTGTGCCCTTTCCTGGGCTTCTCTCTTAAGGTATCAAGGTCCCTGGGTGGCAACATTAGCTAGCAGAAAGTCACATGAGATTAGAGGGAGGGACTTAGCTTGATGGACAGTTTTGTTCTGGCTATATGACACCTGTTCTGTTACGCCAGCCCTAAAACAGTTAATTTCCCTAATGACTCAAATCTTTAGGTCTCCTACAGCTATCATTTCTATGTTGCAAAACAAATTTTGTTGCAACCATTAAAAAACAGGGTACCTGTCTATGAATGCTTTCCAATTGTTAGGAATCCCCTCCGCCACACATACACACACTCTCCTCCCAAAAAAAAAGAAAGGAAAAACAATAATTTTTGTGCATATATAGCTTTTCTCTGGAAGAACTCAAAAGAAATTGGCAATGGTGATTGCCTCTGGGAAGGGTATACTGATTAGCAGGGCACAGGTATAGGAAGATGGATTAATTTAGTTGTATATCCTTTAATATGTTTTAAATTCTACACTTTATCAATGTAATATTAGAGTTAGGTATGAATTACCTATTCAAAAAGTAAAACATTTTAAATCATCATTAATCCCCACCCCCAACATAACTTTTACTTTTCTGTGCCACTTTCTATTTTCTTATCCATGAGCAGATATGTTTTATATGGTTGCAGTCACTTTATCTATTCCTCTATCCAGTTAGGATGCTTTTATTTGCAAGTATCAGGAAACCTTACCTCAGACTAGCTCACAATGGCTGTTTATTCATAGGAACAGAAATAAGAGGCATTTCTAAGTATGGTATGGTCAGGTACCTCATATTAAGAACTAAGAACCCTATTTCTCTCTGGGTTTTCTTTATCCTCAGTATTTGCTTTATTCCAAGGCCTCTCCTCTTTTAGAGTTCCATTATGGCTGCCAGTAGTAATCAGGGCTATAAGCGTTCTTGTTTAATCTAGTGAGAAATAGATTATGTGTGTGAGAGTGTGTGAATGAGAGAGACAGATCAAGAGAGAGAGAAAGAGACAGACAGATCACCACACCATCAGAATTGCCCCAAGCTTGGAATATAAGTCCTTCCATGAGGATTGATAAGGCCGACAGTTCACATAACCAGTGCTTAGTCCAGTCAGATTCTAGCTGTTACTGGGTTGGTGGCGCCTTCCCTTGAACAGATTCAGGGTTTACTTTAGTTAGAAAGGAAGAAGTGGAGAATGTCTAACTGCATAAGAGCCAGCAGTCCACCAGGATACCTTAAAAATACTTTTTTTTTTTTAAATGATTTAGTTATTTATTTATACAAGCACTGGGTACAGCCAGTGCACGGGAGGGTGAGAGAATTCACCAGGGCCAGAGCGGGGAACAGAACAGGCAGACTGATGAAGTACACTGCTCAGGGGAGCAGCGGGCGGCAGGAGAGGTCTGTGCGCCATGTGGGACCCTCGCTGATGGCTGGGGATCGAACTGGCGCTGCAGAGGCTGCAGGCAGCTTCGCAGCCCAGCGCTCAACCGCTGCGCCACCAGGGGAGGCCCTTAAAAATACTTTTTTTCTGATTATATAGAAAGTACTTGTCCATTGTATAAACACTTGGAAAATAAAGCATAGCTGGGAGAGGGCACCAAAAAGCACCCTAATGACACTATCCCAAAAACTATGTTGCTGTGTTTTTACATAGTTGAGATCTTACATCTTACCACTATTTTACATCCTGGTTTTATACTTTTACACTGATTAGGTATACAAGAATTATAAGTTCTTTTACCATTGAATATTTAAGTAATAGATTTTACTGAATAGTCCACACAAAAATGAATTTCCTGAGGCATAAAATATTTCATTTCTGTTGACTATTTCTTAGAATTACTTCTCAGTATTAAAACTAAGGATCAAAGTATTTGTCCATATGTGTGACTTATTTGTAACATAATACGGTATTACTTTCCAAAGAATTATATCAGCTTAAACTGCTATCAAAGTGTGAGTGAACCAATTTCATTATAACCACACCAGCATTGGGTGCTGTCATTTAAATTTTTATGACCTTTTTCCTCATTGTAAAATGATAAAATGTTTTGACATGATCTTTATATTGGTGTCATTATTTTTATCCTATGTTTGACTTGTGGCTTATTCACTACAGGGATCTACAAAGACTTGGAGAACTTCAATCTGAATTAGCAGGAGTAGCTGACTTCTCTGCTACTTACCTTCAGTGTCAACTTCTTCTCATCAAGGTTGGTTTGGATCTGTTATATTCATGATTATGTTCTGTAATCTTAAGCATGTATTTTAACAGACCCAGCAGCGTTTGAGGCCGTAAATGGAAAAATTTATGGCCTTAGACAGCTACTTAGCAATGGAAAAATTTTGTACTCTGTGGTGTAATTCATTTGCCTCTAATTAAAGAATGCTTAACTCATCTAGGAACTTGAATTTTTTTTAATTGGGGGAATTCTTTCATAATTGTGTAATTAGAATAACTAAGTATTTTAATTTTTATATACTGTTTTCTTAAAATGCTAATGCTAATTTTAGTTTGTCAAAGTCAAATGATTCAAAGGTTGATCTCATTGCTCTTAAAAGGGTCAACCTCCTCATAATTCATACTGGGTAGTCAGATTAGCAGTTTATATACTTACGAAATTGGTACCCCCAAAATTGTTCTACTTTGCTGAGTTGAAAACCAGTTAAACTTTCAGCTTCTGCAGCAGAGTTTTGTTATAAATTTAGGCTCGGGATTTAGGAAAATCCTTACTTTTGGTAAGTCTTATCTTGGCTTTAGTGCCAACCGTTGTTAATCTTCAAAAGTAGTTTTTGACAAAAATTAGAATGAATGGAGGGGTCAGAAATTATTTCTCATTTTAAGATGCAAGAGCATAGGGCTGTGCCACTATGTTGTATACACGTGAAAGGTGGGTGTGTTCACTGAAGAGAGCTGAGAGGAAAACAGCTCTTCTTGGGCTAGAGAGTCAAATATTTATAGTTGAGATATAGAATATTTCCGTTATCCCAAAAAGTTCCTTCATGTCTCTTTGCAAAGTTGTATGGTTTTTCTAAGCTTTTTTGAAATAGGGCTGATGATAGCTCTATCCTTTCAGTACAGGTAAGGGTCGGTAACAATTTTTGTGAAACCCCTTGACCTGGTGTCTGGAAACAGCAAATGAGTGCCAATGTTGGTCTCCTTCTTTCTTCCTTAGCTTACTGTCTTCTCCATAGGAAGACCTTTAAAAGGAATCCACTTTTCTACAGTAGCAAAAGAAGGGTGAGGAAAAGAAAAGAGATTATTTCTAGAAAGAGGTGCAGTGTAAGGGACCCAGACTTAGAATCTGAGGAAGGCATGTGTTTGATAACAAGGGAAGAGCAGCTTCCTAGGTTGCGTATTCACCCCTTGAGCACCAGGGACTCCCTGAAGCAGAAGTTTAGATGAAAGATGGGGGCTATGAGAGATGGAAAGTAAAATCTGTGGCTCTTTGGGATAGTGAATATAGAGAGACTGAGAGATGGAGCCGTCTAGGAAAACTCCTTGATTTCTAGTTTGGGTATTTTGGTAAAGTGATGAGTTATTTAATGGATAGGAGCATGAGGCAAAAAATATAAAGAGCCACTGTTAAGGAAAAAAGGGTCTAGATGGCTTAAGGTGGTATCCAGTGTCTCTGGGAAAAAGGAGAACAAAAAACTTCAAAAGCTGGCTTACCTAGACATTCTGGCAAAGCCTGCATGACTCCTGCACTCTGCTTGCAAGCTGTAATCTGGGGCTTACAACCTTTGAATCAGGAATTGGATTTGAATGAACAGGAGTCCATTTAACTCAAACCATTGGTTTCTTCCTTATCCACAATAGGCAGGGCTTATTTGGCATAAAAGAGGAAATCCAATCATAGTAGATTTTCAGAACAAAACAGGTGATATGCTAGTCTTTGTGACTCCTATGTTCTGTCCTTTCCTGATGTGTCTCTGTAGGCCTTGCAGGAAAAACTCTGGAATGTAGCCGCCCCTTTGTATTTGAAACAGAGTGATTTGGCTTCAGCAGCAGCAAAACAGGTAAGCTTATTGAGACCTTCTCCTCAGATACATCTCTGTGTAGAAATTGTTTCATCCAGGTCAGAGCCAGAGGCCTTCACATTACTCCATGCCTCTGCTGTGTTATCCCTAATTTTAACTTGTGACAGAAATTAGTGATATGAAAAGCAACATAATTAGGGGATATGGCATTGGTTTTGGAGTTAGGGGACCTGGTCCCTAGTCCCAGCTTTGCTTATAATTTGCTGGGTGATACCTTGTAGCTTACTTAGCCTCCCTGAATTTTTTCCTCTTCTGTAAAAATATAGCAGTTAAAATTTTTTTTAGCGCATTTTATCTTTTTAAAAAAAAAAAAAACACTTTTTGGAAAAAAGTGCTATTTGTTTTGCAAAATTTCCCATATCATTGTTTTTTTTTTCTCAAATTGTATCCATGAGTTTTCCATTTTCTCTATTTCCTGTACATTTTTAGATAGATCAAATAAAATTTTTTTCTCTGTCATTTTTTTTTTCCCTTCACCAAATCACCCATGCCCATACCTCATGTGCATCCCTCCGTCACCCCCTCCACCCTTTTCCCCCATCCCCTCTGGTAACGCCTGTCTTCTTTTTGCCGAGTCCAAGTTTTATTCCTTCTGTTGTTTATGTATGAATTGTTTCTTGGGTATTTAAATTCCACAGATGCGTGAAACCATCTAAAATCTTTCACTTTTGACTGATTTCACTTAGCATAATCTCCTTGAGGTCCATCCATTTTGTCCCAGATGCTACTGTTTCATCTTTCTTCACAGTTGTATAATATTCCATTGATATTCTCTATTCATTTGTCTGTTCTCAGGTACTTGGATTGGTTCTATGACTTGGCAATACGGCAGTTAAATTAGATAATTTCTAAGACTCTTGTGTTCTAAAATACTATCATCTGCAGTGCCGGTTCGATCCCCGCCGGCCGGTGAGAATCCCACATGGTGCAGCAGACCTCTCCTGCCGCGCCCGCTGCTCCCCTCAGCAGTGTGTTTCGTCAGTCTACCTGTTCTGTTCCCCGCTCTCTCTCTCTGGTGAATCCTCTCACCCTCCCGCGCATCTGGCCTGTACCCCAGTTCTTGTATTAATAAATAAATCTTAAATAAAAAAAATAAAATAAAATACTATCACATTCAGATATATTAAAATCCATTAAGTGTTATCATGACCTTTCATCTGAAAATGTAACTGAATTTTGAGGTGGTGGTTTATATTTTTAACCTGTACCATTTTTTGAATATCAAAATGTCCTTATGTTTCGCATTAGTTTATTAAGTAATATTTAATTTTATTTACCTTAAGTTTATTTCTTTTTTACTTTGAGACGGTTCCTTTTATTTTGAGGTATTAGGATTTGGTAAACTCTTGTGGGTCATGTCTTTTGGGTAGTAAATCTGTATGTCACCCAATGATTATCACCTACTAGAGAGCTAATGATGGTGATTATGATTGTTTCATTATACTTAATGATACCAATTTGGTTTTAATTCACTGTCACAGTAACACCATAAGACAGGAATACTGGGCCTCCCCGGTGGCGCAGTGGTTGAGCGCTGGGCTGTGAAGCTGCCCGCAGCCTCTGCAGTGCCGGTTCGATCCCCGGCCGCCGGGCTAGGGTCCCACATGGCGCACAGACCTCTCATGCCGCCCACTGCTCCCCTCAGCAGTGTACTTCGTCAGTCTACCTGCTCTGCTCTCCCCTCTGGCTCTGGTGAATTCTCTCACCCTCCCGCACTTCTGACTGTACCCAGTGCTTGTTAAATAAATAAATAAATCTTAAAAAAAAAAAAAGACAGGAATACTATTAAATCCACTTTACACATGAGACAATTAAGGCTCAGCAAGATTAAATAGTAAAGTCAGGACTTGAGCCCAGGTCCTCTGATACCGAGAGTCTTTTTTTTAATTCCATTACATGGCCTGACCAGGGAGTGGTAAGAGTTAGGAAGAAAGGGAGGAAGAGAATTACCGTTGCTGTGTGCCAGACACTGTGCTAATCCCTTCGCAACCCCAATTAATCCTTTAAATTTTATGATGTTGGTGCTCTTTCTTCCTTATATACAAGGAGGGAAATTGAGGTGACTTGTAATTAAGCTACTTTTATTATTAGTTGTAGGGGAGCCTGCAGTCATTTCTCTGACCCACAAAGCCTTCAAAGGAAGGCAAACCCAGAAGGGGAAGAGAAGCATCATTTGGATGGGAGTGTCCGATTTGGATGGAATAGAGCAAAAGCTTGTAAGAAGGTGCAGTGGGCCTGAACTGAGGTCATAGATATTATTTTCTACACTCCATCCCCAAACTCCCTCTGACAGAACCATACTGTAGAACAGTCAGTCCAGATGACTAACAGTGGTTAATGGCTCCTAATGCTAAAGTCTTGAGCATTTTTCCTGGGATTTGGGTTTCCATATATAGGGTATGTCCATTTGTTCCCACAGCACAGTGAATTGGTTTAGAGCAACAAGCAATGCTTCACAATTTTATCAACGATTAAACTTTATATGTTTATATTATTATCGACTAAAATGATTTTTTAATTGACAAAATAATTTCTACTTTCAGAAGACATGCTATATTAATTTCTCTCAACACTTAATAGTAATTTCTCTCAATTTTACTAATCTCTCTCAACATCGGCACTTAATCTCAGGTCAGAATTAAAACATAGGCATTAAAAAAACAATTCAATTAAGAGTTTCCTCTTAGAATTCTACGCTGCTCTGAAGACTATCATGATGTATTTACTGTCTGCTAATTACTGTTTCCTTAGATCATGGAAGAGACCTACAAGATGGAGTTCATGTACAGTGGTGTGGAGAATAAGCAGGTGGTGATTATACATCACATGAGACTTCAGGCCAAAGCCCTGCAACTTATAGTAACAGCACGAACTACTCGAGGGTAAGGTGTGCTGTTGACCAAAGAGCACAGTACTTTCAAATGCATTTAGACTTCTCACCAAGGTTAATGATAAGTCTTAGAAAGACTAGCTAAGGCTAGCTAAGGGATGTGACATCAGTCAGTTTTTTCACATATTCTAAATTGTATTCTTGGATCAGATTAGAATTTTGAAAAAACCCTGCAGTGGCTCTCTGTTGTCTACAACACAACACAGGACCTCATCTGGCACAAGGACTTTTTCTCTAGCCCTTTATAGTTTTCTTTATGAATTTGGGGCCAAGAATCACCTTTTCTCTTCTGCAGGAACTAGTACGCAAGTTCTCATCCAGGCAGTAAAGACAAATTAAAAGAATATACTGTGCAGTGAGACCACCATGTTCAAATCCTGACCTCTCTACTTACCAGCTGTTTAATTACACTTTTTTTTTTTTAGCCTTTTTGTACCTTGTTTCCCTGTCTATAGAATGAGAATGAGCATCTACCTCATGATATATCTGTGAAGAACAAATGGGAAAATACATGTAAAATCATGGTATTTGGGTCATAGGAAGAACCAAGTATAGTGGTAACTATTGGATTTTTCTGATAATGAGAATTGCCATAGTTCATTGACTCTAAAAATGTACTTCTGAAAAATTTCCCTTTTCTGAAGTCAGATATTTTGATGGTGTGCTATATAGTTTGAAAGTCTTTGTTTTTGATGTTCATAAAATAAAAGTACATCTTAAGAATGATGGCATAGTTCTGATGTAATATTGTATTTAGGTAACTCATTGCTAGATCAAAGGCACATTTGATGCTCACTTCAGCAGTTGTGTCAACCTAAAGTGGTAGAGAGAAATAAAAGAGTATTTAACTAATTGCTGAAAAATACTATATCAGAAAGAACATTTTGTATATTATTTTATATCTTCATATATGTAGACAGTGACTTGGTAAACCTGAAAAACTCAGGTGGTGATTTGATCTTAGTAATATCCATAGTTCCATTTAATAAATGTTTACTCTTTGCTGTATGCCAGTCACAGCTAAGAAAAAAATAGGTGCTTGTGATGACATCTAGACTTTTTTATTTAAAGAAAATAGGTATGTTTTTCAGTTTACATATTGCTGCTGTAAAAACATATTGCAGATTAAGAAAAGGTTTCCCAGTAAACTTCCCCTTCTGAAACAGCTTTGGTAGACTTTTCCCAATACAGATCAACATGTGGAGATTATAAATGTGTATATTATAATATACTTTGCTGTTCTTCCTCCTCTTCATTTCATCCAACAATATATTTCATCTTCCTGTGTCATTGTGTAAAGATTCTTTTATGTTTGTTTGGTCTTTGTTCATGCTTTATTATTATATATCTTCCATTTGTATGCATTATTGTTTATTTTCTTTCTGGATTTTTGCTGGATTAATTATTTTCTTTGTGTCTTTCTTCTGGAGGTTTGAAATTTGTTTACCCTAAGTCTAATCTATTCAAGTAAAAGGCAGTAAAACCATGATTAAGAGGGCCATGGTGCTTCATTGCTTGGGTTCAGTTCTTGACGCCACCATTTGATAATTTAATGACCTTGGACAAGTTACTTAAGATTTCTGTGTCTCAGTTTATCCCCATTAAGTTAATATGGGATGATTCTAGTACTTGCTTCTCCCTCAGAGATATAGTAAGAATTATTGACTTATTGTTTGCAAAGCCCTTAAAATACTTCTGACACATTCAGATTAAATGGATGATAAATGTTGTGTAAATATATTTGTACTAAACATCTTGAACTTATATGTGTCAGTATAAAAATACAGAATTAATGATCACCTCTATCAAGGTCACCTCAGTTCAAAATGAAAGCGTTAGGCAGCTTTCATTTCATTGTCTCATAATATCCAACTTGGTATTTAGTTTCAACTTACTACATTTTTAAATATTTCTCATTTTAAGACTCTATTCTTAAAGTATACCTTCTTAAAAGAATATTTATCCTGGGCCTCCCCTGGTGCTACAGCAGTTGAGCGCTGGGCTGCGAAGCTTCCCGCAGGCTCTGCAGCGCCGGTTCGATCCCCAGCCACTGGCGAGGGTCTCACATGGCGCGCAGACCTCTCCTGCTGTGCTCGCTGCTCCCCTCAGCAGTGTATTTTGTCTGTCTGCCTGTTCTGTTCCCCGCTCTGGCTCTGGTGAATTCTCTCACCCTCCCGCGCTTCTGACTGTACCCAGTGCTTGTATAAATAAATAAATAAAATCTTTAAAAAAAAAAAAAAAGAATATTTATCCTTTATAAATACTTCATCAAAATTATTTAGCTCAACTTGTCCACCACTATTCTTACCTCAATTTCCTTTTAAATTCTTATTTTTTAATTCACTACATTCTCTAATAATTATTTTTTCAGAATAAGTATATAAGAAGTATACCCATTGAGTCCTGGTAGTACTGCCTTTCTTTTGCTCTCATCGCTCATACATAAGTGGAATTCTTTCAAAAGTCTGCAAATAATGCTGTGTTGCCTTTTAGTATTTAATGTTAGGATGTCTGATGTCAGTGTGGTTCTCTTTCCTTTGTAGGTAGCTTATTTTTCCTGGCTCAAAACTATAAACTTTTTCTTTTTAGAATTCAGAAATTTCACCAGGATATGTCTAGGCATGTGTTTCCTTTCAATATTCTTACTGACCTTCAGTGGGACTTTGAAGTCTCAATTTTGTTTTTAGTGCAGAGATTTTTCCCCTTTCATTATTTCTTTAATTACTCTTCTGTCCACTTCAGGATCTCATACTGAGTGTTGTATATTCTGGGTCTATTTTCTGGATCTTACCTTTTCTCATAATTTCAGTTTTTCTTCTATATTCTGAGTAAATTTCCCAATATTCTCTTAATTTGCCGTTTTAGTTTTCATCATTTTTAATTCTAGTATTCTGTGTTGAGTTCATTCCATTATTACTGTTTCTTACCAAATTTGCATTCTTCTCTACATTTTTTCTTTTTTTTTTTTTTTTAAGATTTATTTATTTATGCAACCAAGAACTAGAGTACAGGCCAGAGATGCAGTGGGGTGAGAGGGTTCGCCAGAGACAGAGTGGGGAACAAAATAGGCAGACTGACTGAAATACACTGCTGAGGGGAGCAGCGGGGAGACAGGAGAGGTCTGCTGCGCCATGTGGGTTGCTCCTTGGCCGGCTGGGGATCGAGCTCGTGCTGCAGAGGCTGTGGATTGCCTCAGTGCTGTACTTAACCCCTTGCGCCACAAGGGAGGCCCCCTCTACATTTTTTTCATATAATTTCTCTTGCTTTATTGATGCAATATCCTTTCATCTCGCTTAAATCTCACTGAGGTTACTCATTTTTGTTTAAGTTTTGGTTTTTTTGTTAATTTTTGTTTAAGTTTTCTGTGCTTTCTTGCTTTGACTTTATCTTATTGAGATCTGCTTAGTCCTTTACAGGTCCTGATTATCCTTATAACATCTAATAATTTTCCATTGTCTTTTCATACTTATAAAAGAAAGTCTAGGCTGGTTTAAGTTCTTTAATTGGTGTGGACTTCCCCAATGTAGGGAAGGTCAGTGTTTGATTTTTTCCTGAGTGGGTCTCACATTTCCTATGTCTACCTTCTTCTCACCAAAGAAAAGGTAGGACTTCTTAATGTCAAGGTCTACTTCATGTAGCATGAAGGTGAAGACTGTCTGCTCTGTTTTGGGGTTTGGAGAGAGTTCCCAAATCTTTTGGCATTTTATTGCTTGAAAGTTCTCCAAGATAGTTCTAATGAAGCACACCAAAAAAAAATAACACTGCATGACCAAATGGTTTACCTTTCAGCCTTAGCTGGAGTTTTCCCTTCTAGACCTCTCACCCCTGATGGTCTTTGGTAGGTTAACCTCACTCTAAAATGTTAGTTTCACTTTTGGTAGTTTTGTCAGTTAAAAAGTTTCACATGCTACCTGTTTCTTAGGAAAAGAATTCAAATGAATGTTGATTTTAGAATAAGTTTCCATTTCTCCTTTATTCATTTAACAAATACCTATTAAATAGCTGCTTGTATCTAGAAATAGATGATGAACAATATAGTCTTTACTCATGGAGTTTACATTTTAGTAGAAACAGTAAGCTAGTTTATTAAGAACCTTGACACTACTCTTATATTTTTTTATACAAGAAAAGAGTATTTGTCTGTTTTTCTTTATTGGAACACTGTACCTTCAATGAATTATTATTAATAAAAATAAATAGGAAGTGTCATGCAGGATTACAAGTAATAAAAAGAAAATGCCAATGAGGAAAAACAAAAAAAATCTGTTGTGTGATTAGTAAGATTCATCAATTTAGTATGTCACCAGAATTGTTTAGGTGTGCATTAACTTTTAACTGAAATGAACTAGTCCAAGTACTATCAGGCAGAAGTCAAGATAAAGATGCAGTTGCATACTCTTGTGTCTGGGGGCAAAGTAGTAACAATATGTTTTCCCCTTCCACATGAGAATTTGACTTTTGGTTCATTTTCTACATCTATTCCCTGGAAAGTTGATTGTTTCAACTACCTTATTTGTAAGCCTGCTATGGTAAAAATGATCTCTGAGGAAATTGCATGTAGAGTAGAAGGAACTATTAATGAACTATAATTGCCTGGTGCAAATTCCATAGTTTGGGACCTGGTAACTGGCGTATCACTTGTGAGGACCCTGCAAGTATGCCTATAGAATTGTTTCAAGAGATACTAGCACGATGGGGCATGCGTCTCAGGATGCTATCCACACTGGCCTGATGTTGAGCGCATTTCCTTGCACCTGAGCTGCCAGTTGCAGGGTCCAGTCTCCCAGATGGCCATATGGACAGCTGCAAGGACTTTTGCAGAGAAGTCATATGATACTGCACTGCTGGCAAGTGGTACTGTTACAGGGCAACCCCGCTCTAAAGTGGGTTGCCTGACTGTGGGTCCTCACCCACGTGCTTAAAGGGGACTTAAACTGCAGGCACACACTAAAAGTTAACAAAAGGTTTATTTACAAGGGAAGGAGAATGAGGAAATGTACAACTAAGGGAGAAAAGAGGAAGATAAATTCTTAAATGCATCCTTTCCGTTCTGCCCCCCTGGAATCCCAAATGACCCGCTGACCCGCGGAGACCAAACCTGCCAGGCCAAGAGCACAAGCCAAATGCCCCAGGCCCCACTAACATGGCTGGTTTTATTTACAAACTGAGAAAATGGCTGCTTAACTCCGCCCTTAGGTCCTCGCAACTTCCCTTTGGGGATCATGGGATTTGTAGTTCCCAGTGTCTTGATGGAGTGGGGGTGGCATCCAGAAAGCCTGTATGGAGTTTGCTCAGGACACCCTTTCCCCCTAAAAATTTCCGCCTTTCACTTTTTGCCACCATTTCCGTGGTGATGAAGATCAAATGTATGGATGCTGGGGTGCAGCCTCAGATGAAAATTTTTCTCAGGGTTCCCAGTGGAAAGAAAACCGGTCACTCCAGGTATTGTCCATTGTGGAAAGCAAAAGTCCTACATTCCTGAAAAATAGTTTATCAGTCCAAGCGGGAAAAAAAAGCATCTGGAGGCATTAGCCAAAATAAAACAGCAAAGATATCAAATCACAGGAAAAACAAATCTTAAAATTGGCTCAACTTATATAAAAACAAGTTCTCTCAACCTTGGTCCTAAACTGTTTTAACAGCATAGCAAAAGTTTGCAAACTAAATCTACTTTTAAACCAATTACCTATTTTTGAATAAAATCACAGGGCAGAATAACCAAACAGCAGTTTTAGCTGCTGTGTTGGACAATCCATACAGGGTCAGAGCGAACTCTTGACATCCGGTCCATGTAGGCTTCAAGGACTAAGTTGGTCTCGCCAGACTCCACCTGGGCTTCCTCTTTTCGAGGGTACCAGGGCTTTTCCGTTTGCCGGGTCGTCCAGTGCAGCCCATGGAGGCAGCTTCCTCACCTCCCTTGGGGGTCTCTGGAGCCCTAGGAACAAAGCAGTGGGTTCTCCTCTTCTTGGTTCAGCTCTGTTTCTCCTTACTGGAAGATTCCACTCACAGCCACACAGTGAAACTCATGTACAATTTTTCTAGTTTAAGCAGACAAAATCCCTATGGAAGTTATGCAAAACTAGACTCTGAGATAGGTAGTAAAAAAAATGCCACCCCCACTCCATCAAGACATTGGGAACTACAAAGCCTGTATGGAGTTTGCTTAGGACATCCTTTCCCGCTAACAGTACCCCTGTACTTTAGCCTTAATCTGGTGCCAGCTAAGACTTGCAGTAGTCCTAGATTTTGAAAGTTGATTGAGTTTATTGGGTATTAATAGTGTCTTAATCTAGTTTTGGGATCCTGGCAAATATATCCCCTAGGTTCATTATAAGTCCTCTATTTCTCTTAAAGGTCATTTTTGTAGTAGTATATGCTCTTTCTCCTTTTGTTTAGGCTCAGGTGTCTGGGACTTTGGTCCTCATTCCTCAGTTCACAGATTTCACAGCTTATTATGTTGTTTTTTCTTTAATCTTTTCTACAGAGTTGATCTTTTATTTGGTATGTGTGAAAAATTCTTGCAGGAAGTGGACTTTTTTCAGAGGTAAGTATTTTGTCACTCTTCTGGCTTATGTAGAGAATAACACAAGGCAACAGTGGTGATCACAGTCCAGAATTCTTGGTTTAGCCCATGCAACCGATCTATTTTTTATGGCAGTGTGCTCTAGTTTGTGTATAAGTTTCTTTAGTTGTATATAAACTTCTTTAACATTAACTTCAAACCTAAATACACAACAGCAGAATAATAAAAACATCCATAATCATTTACATTCAGCACTAAGATGAGCCATGAAAAGACAAATATTATGTATCAGATACTCTTGTGGAAAAATCATGACTTCTCTTCTCCCCATCCCACCCTACCCCATATTCTTAAACTTGCATGTTTCTTTATAATCTACAAAAAAAGTTCCATAATTCTGTAGGTAATTTTTATTTTGTAGAATAAATGTTTTCTTAGAGTTCTTATTATGAAGCAAGTCAGTTAACACAGATGGAATAGACTTTTGGCAGACTTGGCAAAAAAACTGGGAGTCAAGGTAGTAGACAGACCTGCAGTGTGCTGTCAGTATAAAACTAGGAGGAACGATATTAGGGAATTTAAAAGCACTTGATTCTCTTTTTTGAGGGGAGCAGGGTTGGGAAGAACAGAGGGGTAATCCTTTAATGAAAGACTCGATGCTTAATTTCATTCTGCCACCCCTTGTCCCTCCACCCATGAACTTTACCATACCTGAGGTTTGTATGACAATGCTTTTCCTTTGGCTAATCAAAGCTTGCTGTGGGCTGGATTGCAAGGCCAGCCTTCAGGGCTGTAGTTGCTACTCTACAGCAAATGATACAACTATTTTGGCTCTTTAAGCGCCTTGCCTCAAGGGTGAACAAAGTTCATGCTTACTTTTGAGTTTGGATTCTTTGAAGTAGAGAGTAAGTTTTTGGCAGTTGGGTTGAGAAGAATTTTGCAAGAGTAGCAAGTCTGAATTGCCCAAGTGCCTTTTTTGTTGTGTAGAGCTGCATGTTGTGAGTACCTGCACTGATACTATCTCCTCAGGGAAATATTTTCTGACTGTCCCCTTCCACAAGATAGGCGTTCTGTGGAATAAGTAAGAGCTGGGAATAAACTACTTAACTTTTTTAGCCTTCAACATCATCCACCTTGAGTCTCAGTGTTTCTATCTCTTGACTATAAGCTCCATTTAGATAGGCATATTCTTTTCTTTTGCTCATTGTTGTAGCCCGTGTCTAGGATAGTACTTGGCATTTAGTAAATCCTAAAGACATGGTTTTTAAATTGATAAATATAATTAATTTATGTAATTAATCAGTCTGTAGTATTGATAAAATAATTCTGACAGTGAACAGGATTTCTAAGAGAATCATCTAAGGTAATGTGAAACACTGAGGGGTATAGCTGGCACATAATGGGTATTCAGCAGACAAGATTCTCATGATGAGGGTGTCTCTAAGGCATCATTATCTAGGTACCTACCTGGCTGTCTCATTTTGGAACCATGAGTTCCTCCAATTCATCACTTTTCCTACTTCAGAGTTTGGGAGATATTTGGGGTTCATCCTGTGGTGAATAAGTACAAAATCCATTGCTTCTGTTTATTATTCTAGATGTTTCATCGCTGATTTGCCCCACCTACAGGACAGCTTTGTGGACAAACTTCTTGACCTCATGCCTCGACTCATGACATCCAAACCTGCAGAAGTGGTCAAAATTCTGCAGACCATGCTTCGACAGAGTACCTTCCTGCACCTCCCCCTTCCAGAGCAGGTCAGGGTCTATGTCTCACCCCTTTAGACCAATTCTGTCCTGACAGAACTGCTCACCTTGGTGATCTTCTTTGACCACCGGTGCAAAGGGCCTTTCCTTTGATCAACTCTCACATGCCTACTCTAAAGCATTCTATGTTAAGAAAGGAAAGGATCACTTTTTTTTTTTTTTAAGATTTGTTTATTTATACAAGAACTGGGGTACAGGTCAGAGGCACGTGAGGGCGAGAGAATTCACCAGAGACAGAGCAGAGAGCAGAACAGGCAGACGGACCAAAGACACTGCTGAGGGGAGCAGCAGTCGAGGCAGGAGAGATCTGCCGTGCCATGTGGGTTTCTCCCCGGCCAGCCAGGAATCAAACCCGTGCTGCAGAGGCTGCAATGCTTGACCTGCTGTGCCACTGGGGAGGCCCAGGATCATGTTTTAATACCCAGGGATGACTTGGCTTTAGAGTCATTGTATCTTCTTGTTTACAGATCCACAAAGCCTCAGCTACCATCATTGAGCCCGCAGGCGAGTCAGATAACCCTTTACGGTTTACGTCTGGGCTGGTGGTGGCCCTGGATGTCGACGCAACCCTGGAACATGTGCAGGATCCTCAGAGCACTGTGAAGGTCCAGGTCTGTCAGGTTTTGCTCTTCATGGAACTTCTAGACTTAAGCACCCCTATAATCTTTGCCTGAGAGTCAGAAACTGGGAAAGGAGAAGACATGAGTCTTTATGGAAGATACTGGACTTGAACCCCACTCTACTGCTGAGTGAGTTCTGGAGCAAGTTTCTTAAACTCTGAACTTCAGGTTCTACAACTAAAAAACAGTAGTAGTTGACTTTGAATCAGATGTATTCTTGAATGAAATTGTATTACAGTATCCTGTGACCAATTTACACATGAGTTTATATGAATAGGCCTCCCCACACCAATAAGCAGTTATTAGACACTAACAGGATGACACTGTCTACTCATAGACAGCCTCAGATTGCAAAGGACAATGGTTCCGTCTTCCAGGGCACCCCTCCAACCAACTGAAAGTCCAGGCTACTGCCCACGCTTCTGAACAACTGGCTGTAGACAGTTGTAATAATGAAGTCAGTTTTGGAGAGGTGTTGGGTGAGGGTGGGGTCCTTGGGTTTACTCTGGGCAAAGTGTCCCCAGAGTTTCCCTCTCAGCAGCACCAGCAAATTTCCTAGTCGAGTTTCTCCACGAGACAGAGGTGTTAGTTATATCCAAAAGGGCAGATTTATTATAAAAGGGAGGGAAGGGTAAATAATGCTTGCACAGACACAAGTGGGCAGAAGGAGCTGCCCCCGAAAGGGACAAGTTTGCTAAACTAGAGGCCTGCATAGTCCCAGGCAGCAGCCTTGGGAGGAAGCTGCCTCTGCTGCTTTGCAAAGGGAGAAAGTTGGTGACGAAGAACACCTACATAGGCCAGGCAGTCAGAAGGGCTGCTGCCCCACGCCAGTGCAGAGAATGCACAGATAGGGTCTTCTTCTTTCTGGGAGGGGCTCATTACTTTGTGGAGTTGTTAACTTTTGTTAACCTAATCCCTTCTAGGGTGTGACTAGGTTGATTTATAAGGACCAGTGATTCTCTACAGTTGCCTCCTATCCCCATATCCCCACCTCTGGTCTGTACCTTCCAGTACTCTACAGTAGTCTAATACTTGCTCTAGCAGTTGGTGCCTAAGGAGTTTTCATTTTTATAGCTGCTTTAAGGACTATGTTAATCACGTTTACCCCACCTCCACTTTTGGCCTTGTGTGAGCAAGGTCTTGTGGTTCCTCCCTTCCAAATTTTCTATTCTTAACTTCCAGCGATAACTCCTTCTCAGAATATGGGTAGGTTAGCTTGGCAAACAAAATTTATGAGAGGTGGAAGCAGCCACTGGGAGCATTTTTCTGAAGATAGATAGATTGGCTATCTAGATCTATAGGTGTTAGATACAGACACATAAGAGATACAGTAGAAACACTGAACAAATTTAGATAGTCTTCAGTTAAGTCCCACAAAGACTACTTACCGTTTATTCATCCATTCATCTATCTGTCATCATGGAATGAACAAAACCTTCCTGGTTGAAGCAAAATATAATGGGGTTTTACAAGGACTGCAGCCCCAGGGACTCAGATTCCAGAAGCCTTTGAATTATGTTCTGAATTGCCTGGATGAGGTGGCGCTTTTATCCACATAGAAAAGGCAGAATGTTTCTTGTCTGGTCAGCTATGCAAATTAGGGTTAGAAGTCCATCAGTTTCCAATAGGGGTTCCTTTATGCAAACTAGGCTAGAAGTCAGTCAAGTTCTGACTGGTGCAGTAACAAGTGAAAAGTTAGTTGAGATTGATTGATGGACTTTCAATCCTGGGCTGCCTGTAGCAGAATGACTTTGTTTTCATTTCTTCTGAAAGTGGGATTTGGGGATATTGGAGCTTGCTGGGGTGAGTCTGGACATGGCTGGAGCCCAACCTTCAACAGCTTCCAGGCTGTTTTACCCAGACTCGAATGTCTCAGTTTTCTCTCTTTTTTCCTTCCTTCCTTCCCCTTCCCTCCCTTCCTGTTCCCTCCTTCTTAATTTCTTTTGTGTTTCCTGTCACATGCATTCATCCTTTCTTCTTTCCATTCATGAATTAATGTTTATACTCGAGTGTGCACACTTAGTGCTGGGGTTGCAATGGTAAACATGCCTCACGATGATCCGTTTCGGTGAAAGACGGATAACGGACAGGTAATTTAAGAGAGTAGACCAATCATCGTTTCAGACATGCGCAGGGTAAGTTCAGAATACCATGGCCTTTTACTGAGACCTGACTACTCACGCAATATAGGCTCAACCTTGGGAGTCTGTGTGTAGCACTGTCTCCTGAAAGGAGACACAGCTGTTGACGTGAACTTCCCTCTTCTCAAGACTATAAGACTGGTTCAGTGAAATGACAGAACAGCCTACCAGCCGGCATCTGGACTGTGAGATATCTTAGAAGTTTCAAAGACAGAATGAAAGGAAACAGAATGTGCTACCCTAAAATATGCCTCTTTCGCCTAAGGAATATTTTGGGATAATTTTTGAGAAGCTGCAGATACAGGAGAATCTTTGAAAACAGAGTAGACGCTGCCTTTTTGTGAGAGAAATTTACATTCATGAGAGACATCTCTATTTTTAAGGATGTTTCCCTCTCTTAACCAGGAAGAAAAAGATGACTAAATCTCTAGAAACTTTTATCAACGGAGAAGGCATAAACTAAACCTGCATAGCAATCATTGTTTACTGTGCTTTGCCTGATTACCTCTCATTGCTGACCCTGCTCCCCATTGCCAGCCCAACAGCTTTCATCTTTCTTTCATCTTTAGCTGAAGGTGGTATTTAAAGTGATGGATTGGCCTATTTCTGCAAGTTACTCGGTTTTCCGTCGTCTCTCCTGTGCACACAGTGGTGTACGTGTTATCAAACTTTCATTTGTTTTTCTCTTGTCGATCTGTCTTTTATTCAGGAAGGCTTAGCCTAGAATCTATAAGGGTAGAGGGAAAATTGTTTTTCCTCTCCCACAGGGTTGTTTCCAATTTTTATACTATCAAGAGGCAATTTGGAGAGTGATGGAGGCTAAGGGAAGGAAAGGATTTGTGGAGATGCCGGGGCATGGGCGTGGGTGAAGTCTGAAAGGATGAGTGAGATCAAAGGATAAGAGCTAAATTCAGGAGATATTCTAGCAGGAGGAGCATGAATAAAAAAGTACAGACCACAGAGAAGACTTCCTGGAAGAGGCAAGGATGAATCCGGTCTTAAACATGATTACAAGTGCAGATGGTGACAAAGGAAAAACCTCCTGGGTTTTCTGAGCTGGCATTAAGGTTTTTTTGTAATTTATTTGTTTCCCCCACATTAGTGTTTCTTTTTTTTTTTTTTCCTTAAAGATTTATTTATTTATTTATTTATTTATTTATTTATACAAGCACTGGGTACTGTCAGAAGCGCGGGAGGGTGAGAGAATTCACCAGAGTCAGAGCGGGGAGCAGAGCAGGCAGAAGGACCGAAGTACACTGCTGAGGGGAGCGGCGGGCGGCAGGAGAGGTCTGCGCGCCATGCGGGACCCTCCTCCGGTGGCCGGGGAGCAGCCGGGGATCGAACCGGCGCTGCAGAGGCTGCGGGCCGCTTCGCAACCCAGTGCTCAACAGCTGTGCCACCGGGGAGGCCCCCACATTAGTGTTTTTTTACCCTGACTATACTTTAGAATTTTTCTGAGAGAAATAAAAGCTCTGATACACAGGCCTCAGCCAGTACCCGTTAAGTCAGAATCCTAGGGTACCAGGGTACCAGTACTTCTTTTTTAAGAGCTCACAGGTGACTCTAATGTGCAGCCAGATTTGAAAAATCACTGGTTTACATGTCCTTAAAAAAAAGTTCACAGGGCCTACCCTGGTGGTGCAGCAGTTGAGCGCTGGACTGCGAGGCTGCCCGCAGCCTCTGAAGTGCCGGTTTGTTCCCCGGCCGCCCACGAGGGTCCCACAAAAAAAAAAGTTCACAGACCAACCAAGCACAAATGGAATTGCAGGCAAATTATTTTTGGGTCATCTGCTAGACTTGTTGAGGGGAAGACACCAAGGACTACAAACCCCACAATGCCATCTTCCCTGAAGGGAGGATTGCTGGGAACTGAGGATGGAGTTAAGCAGCCAGGTTTGGTATATAAGCTGACATAGGGGCCTTGGGGGACCTTGGTTTTTTGCCAGCTTTCAGCATGCTATTGGGGTTCCAGCTTAGCAGAACGGGTAGGATGCATTCACCAATTTATCTCTCTCTCCCTGAGTTACTCATTTCTTTATTTCCCCTTCTTTGTAAGTCCCCTTTATTAACCTTTTTGTGTGTGCCTACAGTTGAGTCTCATTATAAGTTCCTTTTAAGCACACAGGTGAGGACCCACAATCAGGCCAACCCATTTCATATTGGGGTTGCCCTGTGACAGACTCTGCTGACAAATCCCTCTAAAGTAATCCACTGCATGCACGGCTATACTATTAGATGCCTGTACAGTGAGCAGATAGGAAGCTCACCACTCCAGTATGGGACAGTTAGGTGATTGGGAAGCTCTGTCCAGCCCAGCCAGCTTGCCCTGAAAACTTTCTTCTGTTCTGGACAGTGCTCTAGGTATCAGGAATGTAGCAGTGAATGTGACTGAGATGACCTTGAGATTATATTCTGTGTTAAAATAATGTTTTGTAAGTTCTTTAAAGCAGACCCTACAGGAACTCCATCCAATTATACTTTTTTCTTTTTTGCTCAATTTAGTTTTCTATATCATACCTGATATAAAAGATGGCAGTTTTTAACTTTTATTAATTTTAATAATTAAACTTATTTTTTTACATCATCCATTTTTTAAAAGATTTATTTATTTATGCATACAAGAACTGGGGTGCAGGCCAGAGGTGTGGGGGGTGAGAGGACTCACCAGAGAGAGTGGTGAACAGAACAGGCCGATTGACCAAAGGACACTGCTGAGGGGAGCAGCGGGCGAGACAGGAGAGGTCTGCTGCGCCATGTGGGTAGCTCCCTGGCCGGGGATTGAACTCGTGCTGCAGTGGCTGTGGACAGCTTCATAGTGCAGTGCTTAACCCCTTGCGCCACCAGGGAGGCCCCATTGTTTATTTTTGTACAGTATTTGATTTCTCCCCTCAGGTGTAGTCCCCATTGTTCTCCCACCATTTATAGCACCTGTGAACCATCACCTTAGTCCCTCTTGTTCTTCCCTCCCCTATTTTAATCCCTCTGCCTCCCGTTCCCCTGCTGTCTGCCTCAGATCTATGGTCAGCTTTCAAGTTTTGTCTTTTCCTTATCCTTTGTTCGGTTTTCCTATATTCCACTTATAAGTGAAACCAACTAATATTTATCTTTTTCCCTCTGATGTTTTGCTTAGCATAATCCCTTCTAGCTCCATCCATGTTGTTGCAGATGGCACGAGTTAACTTTTTTGATTGCTTTGATTGTGGAGTCCTTTTCAATTTTGTATATATACTGTATCATCTTCATCCATTCATTTGTTTTGGAGCATTTAGATTGTTTCCATATCTTGGCTATTGTAAATAGTGCTGCAATAAGCACAGGAATGTGGGTCTCCTTTCAAATTAGTGTTTTTGTGTCCTTTAGGGAGATTATTGGGAGTGGAATTGTTGGATCATATGGTAGATCCATTTTTAATGTTTTGAGGAACCTCCACACAGCTTTCCATAGTAGCTGAACCAGTTTTATATCCCCTCCAGCAGTGTACGAGGGTTCCTTTTTCTCCATATCCTCGAGATGGTAGTTTTTCAGTTGTTCTGAAATTCTGAATAGAATTCACACTGACTGTTTTCTTCCTTTGACTTACTTGGGCCATAGGTTTCTATGCTGTACTCTTGGGAGTCGTCGAGAAGTGAAGGAAGGCTTCCAATAAATCAAGATGGATCAAGGCCTTTCACAAAGGGCAGTTTTTCCAAGACTTTGTGAGCCTCTACTACCTTTATCATTTTCTTTTCCATGTTCATTACTGTCTGCCCCTGCCTCCCCTTTAAAAAAATTGAAACCCAGGTACTTAAGTGTCTTGAAAGATCAGGAAGCTGGAATACCTTCATCTTTCTACTGTGATTGGGGCCTGGTATCTGAAGATAGAGCAGAGAGTAGAAACTTTGGGAAAAAAAGGGTGGAATCAGGGGAAACCCCAAGATCTAAGGAGAGATGAAAGGAAATTGTGGAACACGTGGGTTCAGCCATACTTCCCAGAGTTTCAAATTTGAAAGACCTGTTATTCCCTACTTTGTCTTGTCAGTGTAGTTCCATAACCTAGGTCATGCCTGGCTGTAGAATGAACCCAGTTTTTTGTTTAGTTCATTTGTACACTGTGCAGCATATACTGGGCCCTCTACAGAGAGGATTGTCAGGCCCTCTGGGATGCTGAGGGGAAAACTCACAGCAATGTGAGATTTAAAGAACTGGCAGTGTTTTCAGCAAACCCTTCATGGAGCACTATCTCTGTGAAAAGAGACAGATAAGCAACTTCCTAACTTCTTATAATTTAGTGGAGAAAATGTAGTTATAAAATCGCTCTTACTGCTTGGGAACTGGTGATGGATGCTGGACCATGATATATGATTCAGAGTCAGGACAGAGAGTCATCCTAATGTGTGTGCCCGGCGGGGCTTTTCATGTCAGGATTAATATTTTAACCTGTCTTTGTACTTTTTTAAACGATCTCCAACAGAAAAAAGTTTAGAAAATAGAGAGAAAATTGAGGATTCATAGGCAAGTTTCTTGGTGGTTCTTTTGTTTTAATTTGGGTTTTGTTTTGTTTTGTTTTTTTCAAGATTCTCCATATAGGTGAGATCACAGCAGAAAGATAAAGGTGCTCCAGCTTCCTGATATTTCAAGACCCTTAAGTACTTGGGTTTCAATTTTTTAAAAGAAGGAGGGGGTGGGGGGTAGCCAGTAATGAACATGGAAAAAATTATAAAGGTCACAGAGGCTCCCCAAGGCCTGGACAAAACCGCCTTGGTGAAAGGCCTTGATCCTTATGATTTATCTCACTTATTTCACATATAACGCCCTTTAAGTTCATCCATGTTGTTGCAAATGATAAGATTTTATTCTTTTTTCATTGCTGAGTAATAGTCCATTGTGTGTACATAATTTTATTTATCCATTCATCCATCAACAGAAACATGGGTTGTTTGCCTATTTTGGCTGTTGTAACTAATGTTCCCGTGAATATGGGAGTGCACACATTGTTTCAAGTTAGTATTTTCCTTTTCTTCAGATAAAAACCCAAAAGCAGTATTGTTGGATATGATAGTCCTATTTTTAATATTCTGAGAATCTGCCATACTGTTTTCCATAGTTACTACATACAACAATACTTAGTTGTATTCCCAGTCACAAGAGTTCCCTTTTCTCCATATCCTGTCTAACATTTTTTTCTTGTCTTTTTGATGATAGCCATTCTTACAGATGTGATGTGATCTGTCATTGTGGTTTTTATTTGCATTTTCCTGATGATTAGAGATGTAGAACATCTTTTGATGTAACTCTTAGCCATCTGTGTATGTTTTTGAAAAATGTCTGTTCTGAGCTATGGCTCATTTTTAAATTGTCCTGTTTGTTTTCTTGCTACTGAGTTGTATGAGTTTGTTTTTAAAGATTTATTTTCATTTATTTATGCGTAGAAGAGCTGGGGTGTAGGCCAGAGGTGTGGGGGGGGGGGGTGAGAAGATTCACCAGAGACAGAGTAGGGAGCAGAACAGGCAGATCTACTGAAATACACTTGATGTAGGCCCACTTGTTTACTTTTGCTGTTTGCTTTTGTCAGATTCAAAACATCATTGCCAAAACGAGAGGCAAGGAGAATACTGCCTCTGTTCCCGTCAAGAAATTCTAGTGTCAGGTCTTAGGTTCAAGTTTTTCATCCTCTTTGAGTGATTTTTCTTTTGCTCTAGTTTGTTTCCGTTTCATTCTTTTGCACGTGACTTTTCCATTTTCCCAACACTATTTTTTTTAAGAGACTGTCCTTTCCTTATTGTATATTGTTGGCTGCTTTGCTGTAAGTTAATTGGCGATATATGTGTGTACTTTATAGAGACATCATAATTCCATCACTTGATCCCCGTGAATTCTGGAAAACATTTACTAACCACTGCTTTGTGCTGCAGCAGGGAGTGTAGAGAATTGGGCAGCACTACCCTCCACTCAGGGAGCAGTCTTCTTTGAAGGCTGGTGTCCTCTTTCTTTTCCTTCAGTTTTGGGGTTCATAAAAGGTGTCACCAGCAATTCTGTTAAAAAGTTCATGCCTTTTCTGCCTTTTTTAAATTTCTGTTGCCTTTAGGTCTTATATCCAGATGGCCAGGCCCAGATGATCCACCCTAAACCTACAGACTTCCGGAATCCTGGCCCAGGGCGGCATCGACTTATCACTCAGGTGTACCTGTCCCACACTGCCTGGACAGGTAAGGAGACAACTGGAAAAAAGAAAACTTTTTGCAGTTTGAAATATACGTGGTTGAATGAAGACTGCTGAGGATTGAAATTCATTTCGTAAGGAACTTAAAGGCTGAAATTGGGCACATTGAGACTAATTTGATGCAATGTCCTGATTGCACAAAGCACTAGGTTTTTCCAAAAGATGTACAGGAAATTACAATAGAATGGAGTCTCGTGGAAAGAGCCCTGGAGCAGATGCCAAAAGGCCTTTCCCTGACCTAACTCAGCCTAACTTGCTCCATAACCTTAGACAAGTCACTCTCCCTTCTGAATCTCTTTCCTCATCTTCAAAATGATGATGACAGTTCTCAATCTACAAATTAGTTCTGAGGATTTCTCTGTCTAGAAATTAAACAGTTTTATATTTCTTACTAAAAATTTAAAATCACTCTCATTGTATATGAACATTTCAGTTCATTCCCCTGAATAAGTAAAATGACGACTGTTACTGCCCTTCCCACCCACGTTGACTGGTTTGTGGGGTAATGCAAAGTAAGATGATCTAATCACACTTTACCCTCCCCGTATAGCAACTGAGTAGAACCTCAGTGATTTGTGGAAAGACAGGGAGATTACATAAGTTGTTTTTTTTTTTTTAACTGTTAAGAATAAAATGGAAGAATTCAAGTGCAAAAGATACTACATTTCAAGCCTAGAAGGCTGCTTTGGAAACTTTAAAAAAAGGCTCAGTCTACAGAACCTAGAATGTGGGGCAGAATTGGCCTCAGTGGTGTTTCCTAAATTACTGAAGATGATTTGGAAGCATGGCATAGCTGGAAAAGATGTTTAACCCCACCATATTTAATTCATTCTAAAAATAGGTGAATGCTTTCTGGAATTTTCCTTTACTGTATTTTATAATACAAGAATAACTATTTAATGCTATTAGCAGTTTTCCTCTGTCAGCCTGCTAGATGGGTATAGATGAGTTTACAAAGTTTTCACAAAGAGGAGGTGGTACTGTTGAATGTCAGAGCTGCTTCTTTGAACATCCAGTGACCCTGGGCCTGGCACAGGTGAGGAAGTATCCAGCAATGCTTTAGCAATGCTTTAGCAATGCTTCCCTAGGCATCCCTCATTCCATATTCTTGCTGCCTAGAGTGTTTCTGCACAATTTCCCAAAACTCTCACCCCTCAGGAGGGTAAAATTCCTTATTCTAATCTCTTCTGATGAAAGGATCCTAGATGTAGGGAAAGAAATGCTATGGAACAGCATTGTTTGGAAGGACCAAGGCTCAGGGAGGCAAATCACATGTTCAGAACATGAAAAAGTAATTTTCCTTACTTATAAGAGGAGAGAAGAATATGTACCTTTTAAGAGAGGCTCATAAGTGGGCCTCCCTGCTCCACAAGGGGTTAAGCCTCAGCACTGTCAGGCTGTCTATCACCAGCCACTGCAGCACAAGTTTGATCCCCAGCAAGGGAGCTGACCCACATGGCGCAGCAGACCAATCCTGTCTCGCCCACTGCTTCCCTTCGCAGTGTATTTCAGTCAATCCGCCTGTTCTGCTCCCCACTCTGTCTCTGGTGAATCTTCTCACTACCCCCCACCTCTGGCCTACACCCCAGTTCTTGTATGCATAAATAAATAAATCTTTTAAAAAAAACAACCCACAGGGCTTAATTGCTTAAGTTTATGAACTGGGAGCAAATTCTGTCACTCAGGTAGATTTGGGCTTGCTCACAGAATTTCTTAGAACCTTGGAACTTTCTTGGGATTGTGTCAGCCATTCTTTCATGGTGTGGTAGTACAAAAATTCATAGGGTTACATGCTTGGCCCAGGCTAACTGTAGTTTTCCACAGCCTTCTTGAGCTCCCCCCTCAGTACTTCTTACATACCTAATTAGAGTGTGTACTGAACTCTATGGTAATTCTCTCTGTCTCTCAACTGGTCAGCAACTTGAGAGAGGTCTTAATTTACTTTCACTGGAGCCTGTCACCTATAGACACCAAATCAGTGTCTTAATGTCTTGTCATGAAAGAATAAAAAGTATGATAACGTGACTCAGGACCCTTGAGACCTTCCAGTTCATGAGCCAGTGTTTTGGGTCATAGAGATCCTCTAATCAAAGACGTCTCCACTAACACTAGGTAGCACAGCCCTCAGGTCTGAGCTCAACTGCAAGAAGAGCCCAGTTATCTGCGCAGGAGAATTGTTCCATACATGCAGCATGTGGCCTCTGTCTTAAGTCAGGAAGACCTCAGGTTTTTAGCTTTTTCTCTGGTCATTTCAGCAGCCATAGCTCTGAGCTGCTTGAGGCCAGAGGAGGAGGTGCCTGTGGAGAATCAGAGGTCAGGATCTTCATCTGTAGGGTCAGGATCAGCCTCACAGGATTTAAGGTGGGAAAATGTTTGGTGTGGGAGAGTGAAGTGATGTGGACAGATGAAGAAATGTCCTTGAAATCCTGCTTCTGGGCCTCCGCTGTGGCACAGGCAGTTGAGCGCTGCACTGTGAAGCTTTCCGCAGCCTCTGCAGCGTGGGTTCGATCCCGGTCAGCCAGCGAGGGTCCCACCCACATGGGGCGGCAGACCTCTCCTGTCATGCCCGCTGCTCCCTTCAGCAGTGTACTTCGTCAGTCTGTAAATCTTAAAAAAAAAAAAAATCTTCATTCTTCTATCTTGGATGTTGTTTTGCTTGACATTTCTTCCCTATTCCAAGCAGTTGCCCAGTCATAGAGGATTTCTTTTGTCTTTTTTTTTCCAGAACCATGCCAGGTGGAAGTGAGGCTGCTGCTGGCCTACAACTCCAATTCACGCATTCCAAAATCCTTCTGGCTCGAGAGTGGTGAGGTGTCACCCCAGGTGGAAAACATCATCGAGGGCACTATCCCTTTCAGCAAGTCTGTGAAAGTTTACATAATGCCCAAACCTGCTAGGCGCTGAGTCACAGGATGTCTTTGTAGCTATGGCCTAGCAGGCCCTGCCTAGGTATTGGAGTCAGAAGCCTGCAGCGCTTCACCTGGAAATGGTGTATAGGCTTACATCACCCTTACAGTCTCATCTGGTATCAAAACGGGATAAGTAATTCTGCATTAAAAGAACAAAAAACCTTCAAGACTACTCATAATGTCCCCCACTCCCTACCCCCCTAATAAAGTTGAGAAAATACCAAACTGTTCTACTTTCTGGTGCTTCCAGAAATTTGTGTGGCTATATATTCAAAACTTTTAAAACATGCTCACATTCCTCACATGTGAAACACAAAGATCCAGCTTTCCCAACCCAGATGGCCCCAAATAGATGACTGGATCAAGAAGATGTGGTATATATACACAATGGAATATTACTCGGCAATCAAAAAGATAAACTCATGCTATTCACAGCAATATGGATGGAGCTGGAAGGGATCATGCTTAGTGAAATAAGTCAGAAAGAAAAAGAAAAATACTGGATGGTTTCACTTATGGGATCAATGTAGAGGATCCAAATAACGGATCAGGGGGAGAAAAGTTATTATAATAAAGTGAAAATCAAAATCAACAAGGACTATAAACCAGAGACACTCTGCAAGGGGAAGAAGGGAGTAGGATAAAACGGGAGGAAAGAGCACAAGGGACTATGGTGATGGTACACGGGTTAATTGGTGGTGGGATTTTCACGGGGACTGTAACTGAGATGAGAAAGCATACATTGTAAAAAAAAAAAAAAAGGAATGATGTAAAAAATATATTAAAAAAATAAAATTATTTTTAAAAATCCAGCTTTCCAAGATTATTGGAGCCATAATCTTATTTCTTAAAGTAATAGTCTGTTTGCCAGCGCCAACTCCAAAGCAGCTTTAGCAACTATACTTTTTCTGACAGTTCCTGAATAGCCTTAGATACCCTATTATCTTGCTGAGAAGCTCCTTTCCTAACTCTGGGCCAAGAACTGAATAGAAGTTGAAGAATGAATCATTTTCATCCCTGAGGGAAATTCTTTATCTAAAAAAAGAAAAAGAAAATTCTTGTCTTCCATTATCCTTACAACCAAAATAATAAGAGAAGGGCCATATTTAAGAAAAAGAAACAAGGATTGAAGGAAAAGGCAGCCCGTGTAAGAGATATTTTCCACTACTGCTCTGATGATTCTGGTGTTGGAATGAGTGAAAGTACAGGGTACTCTAGAGTTGTTCACTGTGTAGGGCCCGTGCTACCGTCTACCTGCCTTTTAATCCTCACATCAATGAAGAGAGCATTTAAATCACTGTTAGGAATACTGTACAATAAGTAGTAAAGCCTTTATTCATGCAAATCCAAGATGATTCAGGTGATGTATGTGAAAAAGAACCTTCAAATCTTAAGCTCTCTTGCCTCAGTGTCCTTATCTATAATATAGAGACATTTATACCTTAAGGGTTGTTGAATGAGTCATTAATGCCGTTAGTCTTGATCACACTTGATCTGCAGAGCACAAGCTCGTAAAATTGTACAGTTACTCAGGTGAAGCCAGAAGTTGCATTCAAGCATGTTTGGTTATTAATGTATATAACGTATGCCTAGGGGCCTCCCCAGTGGTGCAAGGGGTTAAGCATCAGCACTGAAGCTATCCACAACTACTGCAGCATGAGTTCAATACCCGGCCAGGGAGCTACCCACATGGTGCAGCAGACCTCCCCTGTCTCACCCGCTGCTCCCCTCAGCAGTGTATTTCACTCAGTCTGCCTGTTCTGTTCCCCACTCTGTCCCTTGTGAATCTTCTCATCCCCCGCATCTCTGGCCTGTACCCCATCTCTTGTATGCATAAATAAATCTTTAAAAACAAAAGTATGCCTAGCAGTGTTGTAAGCTCTTTATGTGAATTAACTCATTTAAATCCTCACAGCTGTGAAGTCAGTACCATTGTCTTCAATTTCTAAAGAAGGCATTTGAAGTTTGGAGAATTAAGTAACTGGGCCTCAGTCATATGACTGGTATCTAAGAGCTGGGACTTGAGCCCTGGCAGTCTGACTTCAGAAGGTCATAACTGCCGTAGGGGGACTAGGGGAGAAAGGTCATCTCCAGGGGGCTTGGTTTTATGCAACTCAAGAACATGCCATCTCTTGTCAGTAAGATGCCCTGAAGAAAATGTCTGCTTTGAAGAAAAAGTGAAGCTTGAAGCCAGACTAAATCCTAACGTGGCCCTCACCATCACCTGATGATTGCCAGGCTACAGTACAGACAGAAGCAGACCCATAGATGCAGCTGAGCCCCTCATGCTATAGCTGCGAAAGCCTTCAAAGGGAAGAAATGCAGAATCCTTTTCAGATACAATACTCCCTTTACAAAAAGACTTTGAGGTTATTCCCACATATTACAGGTAGGGAAATCGAGGTATTGAGGCAACATCTCAGGGACAAAGCCAGAACTTGATCTTAGGTTTTATTTTTGGTTTTCTTGTTTGTTTTCAATTTGAAAGCAGTCACTGCTTAGTAACGGACAAAAATTTTCATGGTAGACACCTTAGTTCAGCCTTCTAATAAACCTGTTAATCTGGTCTTCCTTGACGCACATCCCCCTTCTACAAAATAGGTGCTCTTCATTCCACCTCGTGGAGAAGATAATTCGAAGGAGCAGAGGAAGTCCTTTGTCACTATGAAGCATTTCAAAGTGATAAAGTAGTAAAGATCTCATAAATCAGATCCTCCATGCAGCTGACGCCATATTTCCCAAGAGATCCAGTGGTCAGTGTGTTGTCTATTAGGGAAGTCACTTGCTGATTTTGCCACAACCACACCTATTGATCAGTTCATTTATTGTCTTCTCATGTGGGTTACACCCACACAGTGTGTGGCTCCACACCCCTGAGCTTGTTAACTGCAGCCTTGTTGAGCTTAATAAAGATGCTATTGAAGATCTGGTGAAGATGAAGAAGCCATAACACCATTCAGATCTTTGGGCTCACACCACTGATACTCATGCTGATGACAAATCACAACTTGAATTTGCAGTTATGTAGAAGTTGCCAGCTTTTCTTGCCATCCTACCCACTTGAATTTTACTTCTGTACATGTGCCTATATTTGTTGTGCTAAGCTTTTTTGTAATTAAGCTTCCTTCTTGGCCTTTGAAACATCTTTTGGACAAATATCTTTTTTTTTAAAGATTTATTTATGCATCCAAGAGCTGAGGTACAGGCCAGAGGTGCGGGGGGTGAGAGGATCCACCAGAGATATCAGGGAACAGAACAGGCAGACTGACTGAAATACACTGCTGAGGGGAGCAGCGGACGAGAGAGGAGAGGTCTAATGTGCCATGTGGGTTTATTCCTGGCCGGCCGGGGATTGAACTCGTGCTGCAGAGGCTGTGGATTGCTTCATAGTGAGGTGCTTAACCCCTTGCACCACCAGGGTGGCCGGGACAAACTTCTTTCTAACACACTTGATGTAAAACTCCATGAAATTTCTTAAGGGTTTCTGGCACAGCAGGAACTTTGTTCTTCTGTACCCTTCATAGTACCAGCCAGCAAAGAGCAATCCTAGGTTTTAAAACCCAAAGTATTGTGCAATTATTCTTAGGGGCATATTTTGGCTTAGTATCAGGTGGAGGTTTTCAAAGCTGTGTAAAATTTGAATGAGCTATATTAGGAGGTAAGGAATTCTCCATGATTGTGTTCAAGCAAAGGTTGAACAAGCTCCTGACATGTTTGTTGCAAAGGATTTCAAGTATCACATGGGGGACTGGCCTCAACCTTTTAAATTCCTTTTCCCCTGAGTTCTCAGGTTCTGTGAAATATGAGAATCTTCATTTTTCTACATTTTGTTTCACACTCACTGAAGTGAAAAAATGACCTTCTATTACAAAGACCTGAAGGGAACATAAAGATCACTCCAATGTGGCTTAACAAAGATGCCAGCGCAAGTGACCGAAAGCCCAGAAAGTGTGAGTTAGTGGCAAAAGCAAGCTAGAGGGCCTCCTTGGTGGTGCAGGGGTTAAAGACACAGCACTATCAAGCTATTGCCAGCCCTGCAACACGAATTCAGTTCTGATGCCAGCCCCACCAGGATGCTGCCCACATGGCGCAGCAGACCTCTCCAGTCTCGCCCACTGCTCCCCTCAGCAGTGTATTTCAGTAGATCCGCCTGCTCTGCTCCCCACTCTGTCTCTGGTGAACCCTCCCACCCACCACTATCCCCGCACTCTGGCCTGTACCCCAGCTCTTGTATATATAAATAAAAAAAATTTTTTTTAAGAAAAAGCCAAGCTAGAACCCAGGTCTCCTGATTCTTCGATATTTAGTAAGAGGGGTCTGTTCTTTATAAGGGCTCTCTACATTGTCACCAACTAGAAACTTGCCTGTCACATTGGACTCATTCCTTGTCCCTCATATAGAAATAATCACGTCTTTTAGATTCTGCTTCCTTAAATATTTCTTGACTCACTCTTTTTCTCATCCTCAAGTTTCTATCCTCATGCAGGCCACGATTATCTCACCTAAAACATGGCATTCACTTTCTTTTTTCTTTTTTAAAGATTTATTTATACATGCATACTAGAGCTGGGGTACAGGCCAGAGGGGTGTGTGTGGGGGGGGGGGTGAGAGGATTCACCAGAGACAGAGTGGGGAACAGAACAGGCAGATCTATTGAAATATACTGCTGAGGGGAGCAGCGGGCGAGTCAAGCGAAGTCTGCTGCACCATGTGGGTAGCTCCCTGGCTGGGGATTGAACTCATGCTGTAGGGGCTGCGGACAGCTTCATAGGTTGTGTCTTAACCCTTTGTGGCACCAGGGAGGCCCCTGATGAGCACTTTCTGATGCCGCTCTCAAACATTGCCTCCTTCAGTCCATTCTTTACACACTTGTCAGAATAATCTTTGTAAAACCCAGGTTTTGATTACACCCTTCCCCTAAAGCTTAAGTGCCTTGAAGTGTATCACTTTTTGTCCCTGGATAAAGTCTAAATTCCTTAAGGCTCTTCATGCCCCTGCTGTCCTCTCCAGCCCCATACTTCTTGTCCGAAGCATTCTGTGCTTCTCCAGCTGTGGAGCCCTAACTGGAGTCGCCCCCATTCTTTCTTTCCATTTCTTGCTCACTCCTAGAGCTTTGGACCTACTGCTCTTCAGGCTGTCGCCTACAGTCCCTTTCTTCAAGACAGCCTCATTCTAGAACCTCTGTCTCCTGTGGGCTTGATGTTTTACCATATGTAATACATAGGCCCATAGGCGCCTATATATTCTTCAAGCATAGTATTTGTTGCAGGTTCACAAATGCAAACCCCTAAACGAAGGCACACAGGCCAAAAGGACTAATACATCCTCGGGAAGAAAACGGAGACTGAATCAGTACATTTTCTGTCAGAAGGCAGTGCTGCTCAGCTCCACTTGGTTGTCTATAAATGTGGGCCTGCTGGCATCAGCTCTTCCAATTCTTCCAGAAATCTGCATTTGCATGCAAAAAAATACCCAATTTTAAAGTCTTAGTAACTAATGTAAATTACAGTTACTGAGACAAAAAAGATGAAATAGTCCCTTAAGGGATGGACCTGGAAGTGATTTGCCAAGTGAAATAAGTCAGATATCAGATGGTCTCACTTGTCTGTGGTACATGGATAACAAAATATACATACACTGGCAAAGTACAGCAAAACAGTTCTGAGACTGAGTGAAAACTACTTGCTGGAGGGAGTGGGAAGGAAGGGGATGGGGCACTGGCCCTGGGGTTTGGTGGAGTGTGCGTCATGCACGAGCACATACGAAGGAATAAACGTGTAACCCGAGAGTTACGTGGACATGTCAACAGTTGACAAATTTAGTAAAAACAAAAATTACTGCGGCAAAATATCTTTAGTAGAATAATGCCAGTTTGTAACTCCTGCATCATAATTGTGTGTGCACATGTCTTACTTCTTCCAACCAATCTCCACGCCTGGAGAGTAAGAATGCTGGTGTTTTAGTACCCCTAGCACAGCCCCCGCTATATGCCAGGCAGGGAAGGAAGCATAAGCATATGAATCCAAGCAATCTTAGCAGTATCATGGCATGCCAGTAAAAGCCAGCCTTGAGATTCAAGTTTCTGAAAGGACTTTATATTTGACTCTGACATGATTAACTTCAGCAAACAGAAGCATGGGGAACATGGGTACCCATGTAGTACCCTGGCAGAAGCTTTGTCTTAGAAACCGCTCAAGCTAAAAGAAATCAGCTGTGGGCAGCGTGAGTTGTGCTATCTACAAATCGAACCAAAGGGCTTGATGACTAAGACATGGGACTAAGTATGTATCGTGTGGAAAAATAGGTTCTCTCCAGGCTCTGCACATTTCAAACAATGACCAATCTATAGAACAGATTCAGAAGTAGAAGCTGTTTCCTACCAGATTCTATACAAAGTATATTCTCACTGCAAGATACTTCTGTCTCTAAGAAGTCTCTACTAAATTCTCTTTAATGTGAGGACAACTCACTTAGGAACACTGGTTACACCCACACCTAATCCAACACCCACTGGAGCTGTCTCACTTCACATTTGACACACACAAAAAATATTTCATCACTAGAGAAAGTCTGAATTTTATCAAATATCCCTCCTACTTATATATATCAGTTCCTGGTCTTAGGAGCTGAGGAAACAGAGCTAGAAAGAGCTTGTCACCTGATCACTGGCAGCTTGCAGAAAGGCCACTGAGCAATACCTCCCCCAACCCTCTATTCCCCCATAGGGTATCAGGTCTGTAAGGTTCTCATTCCCATGGGCCTCCTAAGGATGTGGATGGTAGAAAAGATCAAGACAGAGTGGTGGGTTCTAAATTGACTCTACCACTTACTTGCTGGGTGAACTGTGAAAAATCTAGATGGTTTGGTAGCTCATCTTTTCCTGCCAGCCCATAATCTTAAGTTTCTGTACAATCTATGGATTGGTTTCCCTTAGGTTAGGTATCCAACTGGGCCAATCAGGTGGTGGGGCCATGTGGAACAAAAATCAGCTTTCTGGGCTGTGGCTTCAATGAGCACTGAGGTGGCGTGATTTTATTTAGTTGTGGCCTTGGTATGCACCATACTATTAAATGTCTAGTTAACAAGTTGCCAAATGCTTAAGAGAATGAATGAGCATCTTCTTTGAGACTCAGCTAGTGTCATGTTCTTAGTGATGTCTTCCCTAATTTTCCTTCCATTCTGGTAGGATAAATTTGTGCCACCACTGAACTTGTAACTATTATAATGTTAGCACACTGTATATTTATTTGTCTGTCTCTCCAGTAGGACCCCCAAGGGCAGGAACGACTCATTCCTGTAGCCCTAGGGCCCAGCCATCAGAGGTTATAAGACAATTAGTAAGAGTATTTCAGTAAAAGCGCATAAAAGATAATTACTGAATAAAAGAGTGAGAGAGAAAAGGGTAGACAGTTCCTTTGGGTTCTAACATTCCATGAATCTGTGAGATAATAAGATGCTATATTAAGAACCATAAAATAAAACTAGCTGGCTTTATATAGCAGCCCCATTAATAGGTAATGACAACAGTGGCTTCAATTTATTGAGTCCTTACTACATGCCAAGCAGTGTGCTGAGACTTTCTCTGAATTACTTCATTAAATATTTCCAGTAACTCCAGGTATTAATATTATCTTTATCTGACAGACGAGAACAGTAAAACTTTGAGGAATTAAATAACTGCCCAACCAGTGACACATGTAGAAAGCCACAGTTCAAAGTTAGGCTTATTTGACATGAAGATCATAGTCATAACTCTTAAAAGAGGGGGGATGAAAAATAAGGTGACACTGTAAACTTATTACAGTTCCATCAATCTCTTTGAGGACTCTGCAAGGTCACCTGGTATTTCATAGGACAAAGACTATCTGAGCCAGGAGATACCACTAAGGGGCATCTAGTATCTAGGCCAGCCCCATCTTTCTATAATGAGGGAGTCTGAGGCTCAGAACTGTCTGGTGAGGCTCAAGTTCAGTTAGAGGGACAGCCTGTCAAGACCCAAGTATGAGCATGTATCTCCTCATACTATTACTTAGCTGGATGCACCTTCACTCGGGGCTCAGCTCTCATGTCCTGTGTACAAAGAAACACCCTGACGACGTACGTGAAATAGCCCCCATCACTCTGTCTTTCTATCCTGCTTTATTTTTCTTCATAAGTGAGCCTACTTACACTCTGTATTTATTTGTTTACTTGTGTATTTCCCCACTAGAATATAAGCTTCACGATGACAAGATTTTTATTGCTGTTTCTCTGCAACTCATAGCGGTGCCTGGCATGCAGGGTACTCAACAGTGGTTGAATTGATGGCTGAACATTCCAAAGCATCAATTGCAATGTGATTAAAACTTTTCTTTGTCCTTCAAAACAGAAGACTTTATTTTTGGCTCACCTAAGTGGGAGCCAATGTTTACCACATTATTCAACTGTCTCCTGATTTCTCAGGCCACCTTCCCCACCTCCGGTCTACCGCCCCCCAACCCCCTAAGACAGGATCTTGCCTGAGTCATCCATGCATACCAAAGCCTAGCACAAGCAGCTGTTTAAAATGCTTGGGGACACAGGTTTGAAGAGTGGTCAAAGTGACAGTCACAGGCACTGCTGCTTAGTGATTTATTGTCTCCTTAAGGCTCCATCAGCAGGTAGAATGGAAAACTCCTCCCACCCTGACACCTTGGGCAACCAAGGCATTGTATTCCTTCACTGCCTGCTCTGTCTGGAGGACCCGGACATCGATGCCTTGTTTCCTGAGGTATTCCACAGTTGATGGAGGCACCTGGAAAGAGGGGGAAAGATGAGTAAGTCAGTGCTGCATCGGCAACACCGATTGTAACAGGGTGGTCCCCAGGAAAGGGGGAGGTTCCCTGCCACACCCAAGGGAGGGTGGAGCTGAGCAGGAAGAGGAGAAGCTGCAGAAGAGACTAAGGAAGGAAGCAGGATGGAGCCAGGAGACCTGGAGGAGGCGCATGGAGCCTAAAAACACGTGAAAAAACTGCGCTTGTCTTTTGGTCGTGGACTGGGTGACACAAATGTGGGTGAGACCCATGGGGAGGTGACAATGGCAGCTTTTATCTTAATGTTAATTTTGCTTTTTTCCTTCCAGGCTTGTCCGGTTGTTTGTGACCCTTTGCTGTGGGTCCCCACTGGAAGATGCTTTAGACTTGTAGCAGGCTTTGGGGCCTTGTTCTGGGCCGATCCCATATGGATGGACTTTTACCCACGAGGGGACGGGTAACTTTGGGTGCTTCATTTAAAAACTAGACTCTTTGCCTTACCTGTGTTGTTTCCTAGTTTAATTAAAGTTCCTTCCCATTAAAGTCTCCTATGTTTTGTGTTAATGCAGTGGATGGCAGAACCCATTTAGAATAGGCAGGTTTGCGGGGCTTGGGCTGCCCCTCTCCCTGTCCTATAACACGATGACAAAAGGGAGTCGTGGAGTAGGCTGCACAATGCACAATGCTTCCGAGGAGCAAGAATCTGGCCTTTTTATTGATGGGATAATCATCAGTTGTGAGGGGAAGGAGGACAAAAAGAAAAGGGAGGGGTGAAATGTATGTTGTCATCCATAGTTATCAGGGATTGTGAGTCTGCCTTCCAGGCATTTCTCATCTGCCTGAGGACTTGGTATTGCAGTTGAGATCAAGCTCTACATCCCCAGCCTTGGTTTCAGTCTTATCAACAGGCTTTCCCCTGATCAGCTTTAAGATCTTGGTTGATTTGAAAGGCACCTTGTAAGCTTTGGCTCCTATAACTGATTGGCCAGTTCTTGACCTTGTTTAGGAATGCAGAACTGCAGGTAACAAAAATGGTGGCCGAACAGGCCGCTTAGGATTAGCAGACCCACAAGTCAGGGGAAGGGCATGCTGGGGTTTCTTTCCCTGCCATGAGATAATACTCCCCAGTCACAGGTGATGCCTGTGACTCTTCTTTCACCCAGCATGTTAAGACACAGGGCAAGCTAGGGTTATTAGGCAGTTTCAGGGACAGTGCAGGAGGGGACCTCTGAAGAATTTAGGGAGGCTTCAGAGATGAGGACAACCAAGGGAATGTAACCCATTCCACTAGGAAAAACAAACATCTCAGGACCAAGGACAACATTGTTAACGGTGGTCCTGGTTTCCTTCAGGTGGTAAAGGGAGGCGGAGATTGGAGAAATGGAGAGTGGTTTAATTTATGGACAACTTAGAAGGGCAGCTGTTTAACTTCAATGCAGGGATGCCCATCCCGAGGACTGGGCCATAAAGATAAAGATGCAACAAATGGGGAAAGAGAAACCTGTTAGATAAGGAATGTGAAGATCCCCCACTCAGTAGCAAATTAAGTGAGACAGCCGAGAACTAACCAATCACAAAGAGACTGGTGGAGCTTTAGAATAATTAGGGAAAGAAGGTCTATATTCCCTGAGACACGACTCCACTTTGGCTTCCTTGCCCCTCCCAGGCCTGGTTTCCTGGCCTGGGAGTCCCACTTTATTTCTGTTCTTTTTCTCCTCAATAAACTTTTTCTTTCTCTAAACAAACCTGCCTCTTCTCGCTTGCTTGCCTGAGCGTCTGCGAAGTTCCTGCTGCGGCTTCGTGAGACACCAACCCGTGGGGGTCTAGTGGCCGGGACTCAGCGCTGCCCTGCAGCCTGGGGTCCGTTCCTGGCTGGGAGACTAGGCCTGACAATTCCGGTATCAATGTTACCAGTCCAAAATTTGGTAGTGAGCCCCAAGGAGTCAGAAGAAGCTTCTAAGAAGTTGACAGAAGTTCCATGATATGCATGCATAAAGCTCAAGAGAAATAGAAATGGAAAGAGCATGGAGTTTGGAGTCAGACAGACTTGGATTTAGGTCCTTACTAGCAGCGTGAGCTTGGGTAAGTGAATTAAAATCTATGAACCTATTTTCCCATGTCTCTAAACAGGGGTGATCATAACTAGCTCACAGGGTTTGTATAAGAATGATTTCAGTTAAAGCATGTAGAATGCCTAGCATGTCGATGTTAAATGTTTGAGTCATCCAACCTGACTCTAAATTCTAACTTTTCCAGTACCAACCAAGAGACTTTGAGGCCAATTATTTAATGTCAATGAACGCCAATTTCCTTCCCTGTAACATGATAATAAACCTTACAGCCTGGAGTTGGTGTGAGGATGAAGGTAGTTAATGTATGTATATTTCAGCTCAAATGTATTCTCAGAAAGCTCTTTCTTGACCACCCCCATTCAGAACAGCCCCTCATAGATCACCATTTCTTCATAGCATTTATTGTGATCTGAAATTATCTCCTTTTAATTATTCATGAGGGCCAGGAGTCTTGTCTCTCTTGATTATCTCATTATTCCCAGTGCCTAGAATGGTGTCTGAAGGTGCTGAATAAATATGTGCAAATAAATGTATCAAAAGATTCTCTGTAGTGGCAGTTATAATTGGCTATTTCCTCAACTCTGGCTTGCCTCGAGTATTTTTCTTAAATATATTTTAATTAGACTCTGGCTCAGTAAGAGCTCTGAGTGAAATATTTTTTTAAATGCCCTATATTTTCTGTATGTTTGAATGATTTTATAACAATAGCCTTACAGATAGAAATTATTTTAATGAGCAATGGGGGAGGATGGGGGAGGGAAAATTATTGTAATGAGAGAAAAACTAGGTTAATACAAAAAATATAAATAAACGGTACCTTCATCAGCAGGGAACTGGGTTTTGCCATATCTATAAAGAGGAAAGAGGTCGAACTCCATATATTTGTGTTAAAGGCTATCCATAATAATGTGAGGGAAAGACTACAGAACAGTATGTGTAATATAATCCCATTTATGTGAAAATAGTTATAAATATGTACATGTATATCTGTATGTGTCAGTGTATATATTTGCAGATGCAGTGAGAGAGAATTAAAGCAGTAAACATCAAACTGTTCACCTTCTACATTTATGCAATGATTCTTTTACAATAGCCATATATTATTTCTATAATAGGCATAATTTTTTCTCTGAAAAGGAAAAACAACTTGAATATGTCCAAGAAAAGAAAAAGAAAAGGTACAATAAAATGTACTATAAAAAGGTAAAGTACTACAAAAATTTAAAGAACCAAATATTGATAATCATAAAGCTTGAGAAATTTCAGGATTGAGAAATTCCTGAGAAATAGCGTAAACAACACAGGCCCAGGGCTAGGTGGAGACTGGTGACGCCAACCCTGCTGAGGAAGAGAAGTGTGTGCAGCCATTATTTTATCCTGGGCTGTCAGCTGGCTGGCAGAAGGGGCCTGTGTGATTACAGAGATGAACTCCAAGAAGAACACATCTCTAAGGTAAAAGTCCAAGAGACCACCAGTTGTCTCAGAAATGCCGTGCTCACCACTACATACCTTCAAGGCCTCACTCATCCCTCGGCCAATCACAAGGGTCTGCACACCCTGCTTGACAACTTCCTCCACATCTGCCGGCTGCACACCAGGAGAATGCTAGACGTGAGAAGAGAAAGTATACCATCCACCTGATTTTTTAATCTTGGCAATTGACATTCTTTTTTTTTTTTTAATGCATATAAGAACTGGGGTGTAGGCCAGAGGTGTGTGTGTGTGTGTGGGTGAGAGGATTCACCAGAGACAGAGTGGGGAGCAGAACAGGCAGATCTACTGAATATATACTGTAGAAAGGAGCAGCAGGTGAGAGAGGAGAGGTCTGCTGTGCCATGTAGGTTAGCTCCCTGGTTGGGGATCGAACTCATTGCAGTGGCTGAAGACAACTTGATAGTGCTGAGATTTAACCCCTTGTGCCACAACAGGGAGGTTCAAGCAATTGACAATCTTGTGGAATCATTCATGCATTCACTGAAGAAACATTTACTGAGGTGTACTCTGTGCCAAGCATCATTCTGAGTTCTGAAAATAACAAGATACAGTTCTTCCCACAAGGTGCTCTAAGTCGCATGAAAAATACAGAAGACTAAACAGAAATTTCAATAGTTTTATAAGTTTTACTCAGAAGTAAGTTCAGGATGTTGTGAAAATAAAGAAAGAGCACCGAATCCAGATGCAGGGGGTCAGGGCAGGTGGTCAGGGAAAGCATTCCATCTTTGGTGACAGTTAAGCTGAGACCTAAAGGACAAGCAGGAATTAGCCAAGTTAAAGGTAATCAGGGGAACAAGGTATTCCAAGTACAGGGAACAGCATGTGTAAAGGCTCAGAGGAAAGAAAAAGCCAGTGAACTCCAGGTAGGTGAGTGTGTTTGGAGCTGAAACAACTCTAAGGAGTGGGAGAAGAAAGCACTTGCACATGAAGCCAAAACTGGGGCTGTTGGGAAGAATTCATAAGAATCTCTATACTAGTTCCTTGTCATAAGAATCTTTTCTCTTAAGCTCCAGGCTTTAAAGCCTCCCTATTGCTATGTAAAGTCCCCATATTCTTCCAGGGTTATCTGCTGTAAGGTGTTTAATGAATGGGAATTCAACATTAAAGGATGGTAGCTTCTGAATAACTCCCACTTCAGCAATGACAATATGGAGGGCAGAGTCTGATAAATACCAGCTCAAGTACAGGGCTTCCCCTACTATGGATCTGTACAAGAATGACACTTTCAGCAATGAAACTCAGAGACACAAAGTCATCCTTACCTGATTAGTCTATCTCCATTGTTTCATTCCGTCAGCAAGCATTTGCTGAGCATCTACTCTGCACCGGGCTCTATATACTAAAGCACTGGAAGTACTGAGGTGAACTAAATAGCCTCTGAAGGAGTTTTAGTTGGATAAGATAGTGAACATGTAGAAATAGTTGCAGCAGGATTAGATAAAATACAGTGAAGAATCTCAGAAGAGGGAGCAATAAGTATGAGTAACAAATTGTAGAAGATGTGTTATTTTAACTGGGTGTTGAATAGGAGTATGCCTTGAAGCATTGGTTGTGGAAGGAGTGCATTTTAACCATAGTTAGAGATGATATAGGGAAATTTAGATGCTGAAAATATCAAGAAGACAATATGTGGACCAAATAACCAAGGAGTTTATACTCTACAAGATGATGGTTTAGAAGAGCTAGAATGGAAATTGTATATAGTTGTAAAAGGTAGGAGAGCAAGTAAGTCTTTATTAAACCTTTAGAATAATAATATTTTGCTTTTATAGTTGCAGCCTTCATCATATATCTATAGAAATTACTCTATGGGATCTTCATAATGACTCTATAAAGTAACACTAAAACATCCATTCTCTTTGTTTTCTAGATAAGGAAACTGAAACGGGCCTCCCCGGTGGCGCAGCGGTTGAGCGCTGGGTTGCGAAGCTGCCCGCGGCCTCTGCGGCGCCAGTTCGATCCCCGGTTGCTCCCCGGCCACCGGAGGAGGGTCCCGCATGGCGCGCAGACCTCTCCTGCCGCCCGCTGCTCCCCTCAGCAGTGTACTTCGGTCCTTCTGCCTGCTCTGCTCCCCGCTCTGGCTCTGGTGAATTCTCTCGCCCTCCCGCGCTTCTGACTGTACCCAGTGCATGTGTAAACAAACAAACAAACAAACAAACAAATAAATGAATAAAATGCATGCCTCTTTAAAAAAAAAAAAAAAAGGAAACTGAAACTCACAAACTATATACACATCGGCCAAGATGTCATAGTAAGTGGTGGGGCTGGGTTTAAATTGAAACATATTTAACTTCTGGTTTAATGTACTTTATTAGGATACTATACTCAGAAACAACTTTCATGACACTTTGAAGTACTAAATCTGACAACCACATAGAGTTGTACTTAGCTCAAAACAGTAAGAAAGCTAGTGTGGTTATAGTAATACCACGTTAAGTAGACTTCGAGACAGGAGTAGTAATGGAGATAAGAATGTCATCTCATGGTGCTTAAAGGGCCTATATCATAAAGAAAAACCAAGCATCCCAAATCTGTATACCTTAGTAATACAGCTACAAAATACATGAAGACAAAAATAACTAAGGGGATAAACAAACCCAGCATAGATGGAAATTTTAACCACCTTTTCTCAGTAATTGATAGAACAAATAGGGAAAAAGCCAGTAAGGAAATAGAGTATATAAACACTATCAATTAATTTGACCTAATAGACATCTGTAGGTTATTACACCAAACAACTACAGAATGCACATGTTTTTCCAATTACACCTGGAAGATTCACTAAGACAGACTAAATGTCATGCCATAAGTCTCAATAAATTTCAAAGAAGTGAAATAATATAGAAAATGTCATTTGACAAAGTAGATATAAATTGTAACATGATATTTTGAGGAGTGACAAATAACTGGAACTTGAGCAAAAGAGAGTGTTTTATACTGAAGGATAAAGGAAAAATATATTATGGGCCTCCTTCGTGGCACAAAGGGTTAAGTCACAGCACTATGAAGCTATCTGCAGCCACTGCAGCATGAGTTCTGTGCCCAGGCAGAGAGCTACCCACATGGTGCAGCAGACCTCTCCTGACTCACCCGCTGCTCCCCTCAGCAGTGTATTTCAGTCAATCCACCTGTTCTGTTTCCCACTCTGTCTCTGGTAAATCCTCTCACCCCCACACTTCTGGCCTGTACTCTAGTTCTTTTATGCATAAATAAATAAATCTTTAAAAATATACATTTTAAATTTGTGGTTACAATTAAATAATGTTAGAGGGAATTTAGTGCTCTAGGAACTTATAGTAGAAAAATGGTCTAGAATCAACGATCTAAGCTTTTTATCTTAAAAAGCTAAAAAAAGAAAAACAAATTATATCAAAGTAAGTAGAAAACAGAAAATAATGAACATATGTATGTCAATTAATGAAATAAGAAACAAGAGAAAATCAACAGTGTCAAAAGTTGGTGATTTGAAAAAGATGAATAAAATTGATAAAACTCTTCAAGACTGACTAAGCAGGAAAAATGGAAAAGTAGACACAGATCATAAATATCAGGTATCAAAGGCGGCATTATTATAGATCCTAAGAGACTAATAATATTAGGAATAGCTTTACACTGATAAATAAGGCAACCGAGATGAAATCATCCAATTTCTTGAAAAACAAATGCATCAAAAGTAATACAAGAAGATACAGAAAATCTGAATATTCCTATATCAGTTAGAAATTGAATTCATAATTTGAACCATTCTATAATAAAAATTCTGGGTACTATGACTTCACTGATTAAGTATCTTAATGTAGGGTAAAGAAAATATCAGGCTTTTCTGCCTTTCCGCCATCAGGATAGATGATGGATCCTTGTCCTGAATGCATGCCTGATGGCGGGCACCTGGAATAGGGTGTGGGCATAGGTAGATGGGATTCAGCTGAGCTAAGACTGTGCTTTTAAGGGCGGCGTCAAGGGGACGCCAGCAGCAGCAGTAGCAGTAGCAGCAGTAGAAGTAGAAGCCGAAGCAGAAGCCGAAAGAGAAGCCGAGAAGCAGCAGAACGAACGCTAGAGAGCCCAGATAGAGTGAAGACTTGCTGGCAGGCCTCCCAGCCCCCCAGCCAGCACCCCTGCATGCCATATGCCTGGTGAACCCCAAATAAAAAACCTGCAAAACTACTGAGGACTCTGACTCCTCCTTTACCCGGTCTGCATGGGATCAGAAAACCTGCACTGTGGTCCATTCCTGGCCCTTACACTTAAGCATTTCATGAAAATCTTCAGTAAAGCACTAGTAAATCCAAGGTTGGTTCAACATTCAAAAATCAGTGTTGTGGGCCTCCCCTGGTGGCGCAGCAGTTGAGTGCTGGGTTGCAAGGCTGCTTGCAGCCTCTGTAGCACCAGTTCGATCCCCGGCCACCGGCGAGGGTCCCACAAAAAATAAAAAAATAAAATAAAATCAGTGTTGTTCACCAGTGTAAAGAATAACATATAAATATCTCAACTAATGTCGAACAAGCATTTAAAAAATTTCACCATGTATTTATGATTTTTAAAAATCTCAGCAAAATAAACTAAAGGAAACCTTCCTTAAATAAAAGACTTCTAAGAAAACCCTACAGCTAAGCAACAAATACAATGTTGAAATAGTAAACATTCCCTCCCCCGCAAAAAACTGGATATAGTGGGTATTAGCTAGATATTTTCTTCTTTATTGTCTCTTGGATCTGTCCATTTCTTTCCATCTCTACTGCCACTACCCCTGGTCTAAGCTGCCATTTTCTAACTGGTCTTCATAAAACATTAGCTCTTTGCAATTATCTATTCCTCAAACTGTAGCCAGAGGGATCATTTCATGATCCCATCCATGTCACCACTTCTCCTTAATTACATTCAATGGCTGCTCATTGTCCTTAGTAAAAATGCCAAACTCCTTCACATGGTCTGTAAGTTTCCAGCTGCCTCTCATTGCATCCATTTCATGTTCTATGCTCAGGTTACACTGGCCTCCTATCAGTTCTCTAACAATAGTATGTATTCTCTCACAATTAAGAAGAGGAAAAGAAAATCTACAGGTTGAGAGAAAATATTTGCAGCTCACATATCTGACAATGGGCTTGTATCCA